CTACCACGGTAGTAGACCCAGGTGCTCGAAGTCCGTACACTTTTACAGTGTGTGTTTGCCGAGCTGAAACCCACACTAGCAATGATCACTTGCCAGAATCCTGCTCGTGGATGGAAGGTATCTTGTTCAAGTAAGTTTGTTCTGAGGCCAGGCTCGATTGAACCAGGCCATCTTTCGATCCGATCTGTTCCTCTGGAGATCGCTGATTTTTCATATCAAATTTTTGTGTCGCAGAGGGTACTCTAAGTCCGTACTGATCAGAGGTGACTCGAAATACACACATATTTCTGCTAATTGCTAACTTGCAATCCCTCGGTTACGACGAAAGCACCGAAGGGATATGTTTGGGATGTGCCTCCACCAGTATTTCTTGCAAAAGCGTAGTTTGTTGCCGAAATGCAAGCTGTTTTTAGTCGGCTCAGAGAAGAAGCAGCTGCGCTGTGAAAACCGCGGGAAAACAGTGGTGGAGATGCCAGGAGTGTCAACCTTTCTGCAAGGATTGGTGGTTCTCTGTAAATTCTTCTCCTCTGGCCATTGTCAGCTCTAAGCTGGCTCTTGATGATTGAGTGAAGGTCTATTTGACGCTGTGTCCGTTCGAAATCGGCAAAGTTGATTTTTGCATGAAATGTAACCCAATTTGTATTTCGTACGGACACTCGAAAACCCACTCGCGTGGTATGGGACTTCTGCTTATCGTAGATCCCTGAAAATTGCTACGCGAGGAGAACATATGCCACACTGTCCCCTCCATAGAATATTTGAGTCGAATACAATAACAGAAGCGCTGACCGAATGCACTCTACGACAGGACTTTGAGCTGGGCAATGCCATTGCGCGCGTCCGGCAGGCAAAGGCGCAGGCCAGATCCGATACCCGGGATAGTGCTCGAGCTGATGCTTTGCTCCTCCGCTCATCGGTGTCGGCGGACATGCAGAGAACCCTGGATTTGGCAGCGGAAAAAGGCGCCTCCAGCTGGCTCACCTGCAGACCTCTTCGCTGTCACCGCTTCAACCTCACGAAAGGAGAGTTTCGCGACGCTGTGTGCCTGCGGTACAACTGGCTACCTCCCCGACTTCCGACATCCTGTCAATGCGGGAAGGAATTCTCCGTGTCCCATGCCCTGTCATGTTCCCTAGGGGGCTTCCCAACCCTCCGGCATAATGAGATCCGGGACCTAACCGCCAGGACATTGAAGCAAGTCGCCCATCAAGTTGCTGTGGAGCCCCACCTTCAACCACTGACAGGGGAACAGCTACGGTACCGGTCTGCCAACACCGATGACCAAGCCCGGCTAGATGTGGCAGCAAGTGGCATTTGGGGTGGGCGATTCGAGCGCACCTTTGTTGATGTTCGGGTGTTCAACCCACATGCGTCCTCGAATCGCTCCAACTCGATTGCCGCTTGCTATGTCAAACATGAGCGGGAGAAGAAGAGGGCATATGAGCAGCGGGTGCGCAATATCGAACATGCCTCCTTCGTCCCAGCCGTCCTGTCCACCACTGGGGGCATGAGCAGATGCGCCACTGCATTCTACAAGAGAATTGCTAGTCTGCTAGCTGAGAAGACCGCCGAGCCCTACAGCAACGTGATGGCCAACCTCCGCTGCCGCTTGAGCTTTGCATTATCGCGTGCCAGCGTCATGTGCCTCCGTGGGGCTCGCAGCACATTCACAGCTCACCTCACTGCTGATCCTGTCTCTGCTGAGGTTGTTGTTGCAGAAGCTGGCGTTGCCCGTTTTTGAAATTATGGGCATGTGTTTCTGTGGAGAAGGCGGAGAGCCGGAACGCAAACAATAATTATTACTTTATCATTTTATTAGTGCAATTAGGAGTATAATCGATGCAGACATGGCCAGACAACAACGAGTTCATGGAATTTTTAAGGATTTTTTATGTTATTCAAAATCGATTTTCGTGTTCCGCTCATCAGTGAATAGTATCGGAACTGAGGGTACTGTGTACAAAATAGAACATTTTATAACAGCATAATTAATTAAAAGTGTGAACAACAAAGGAAGTGCTACAGCATTACATAATAGGTGTCAAACATAGTGCTAACGTATATAACTGAGTGCAGCCACAAAGCAAGAAGTGATACAGTGCAACATGACACAACATTTACATCATTTCACCTCGGCAGTTGCCCTTGCCTCCACCTGAGCCACCCCCTTTACCTTTGGTGACTACCGAGACGGTGGTCCCCCCCGTCCTGGGATCCACGGTGCCGACTGTGTCTGGACAGAGAGGGAGATCATCGACAAACCAAAATGAAACCAATATCCTCACTCATAGACCCAGAAGAAGCACAGCAAACTATTCACTTGAAATTTATGCACGGAATGGACTTGGCCCACGCAAAATGGACAATGGAAATGGGTGTGCAGTAGCAGAGAACCCAGCAACGGTGACGCGGAGCAGCGGTCAAACGACTTGTGATGCTGGTGGAGATGATGGAGCCATGTTGGAGGCTGATAAGGAGTGCAGTGAGACTGAGCATCAAACGGATGATGAGGAAGTGACTGATGATGATGATGATGGTGGTGATGAGGACGATGATGATGAAGATGAGACGGAGGACGAGGATAGGGCGGAGGAGGTCGAAGGAAAGGAGCGGGATGAGACGGAAGAGAGCGACGTGAGCAAAAAGTCAGCTGTATTTTGTCACTTGTTATCACGTCCAGATTGTCTTAGTGTGTACGATGATTCTCACTTTTCTGTTTTGTGCCGTGCAAGTTATGTTAAGCAGTTGAAGGTTCTGGAAGCTGTATGTATTCGTGTGCATAATCCTGTTCTTTGTAAACAAAAGAAGCACGTAGTCGCGCTAAAGTTGTTCTCGTAGCTGGTTATCAGATGTAAATGTTGTGTCATGTTGCACTGTATCACTTCTTGCTTTGTGGCTGCACTCAGTTATATACGTTAGCACTATGTTTGACACCTATTATGTAATGCTGTAGCACTTCCTTTGTTGTTCACACTTTTAATTAATTATGCTGTTATAAAATGTTCTATTTTGTACACAGTACCCTCAGTTCCGATACTATTCACTGATGAGCGGAACACGAAAATCGATTTTGAATAACATAAAAAATCCTTAAAAATTCCATGAACTCGTTGTTGTCTGGCCATGTCTGCATCGATTATACTCCTAATTGCACTAATAAAATTGCTTTCTCCACGCCGACTCTTTAAATACTTTATCATTTTGGTCATCTTTTGTATTTTCATGACATGATTGTATGGGTTTATTAATTTTGCCCGTACAAGAGGCTTCGTAGCTGGAAAAAAAATACAATAACAGAACATGAAATTATGGGCGTACGAACTTAGGATACCATGTACGGACTTCGAGCACCTGGGTCTACTAGTACTATGTACAAGACCTACAGCCTTACAGGCTACAGTACATGACTTGTACAATGATTATGTACACCACTCATCAGGGAGTACTGTAAAAGCCATAATAATAACGAAGTGAGAAATCTGTCGTTAAAATAGGAATCGTTATACAGAAATCGATACATATACTGTCCTATTGAGCGTTGAGAATGAGTGAAAATCGTTACCTTTGCTGTCCCCGGGGAAAATTGCGGAAAAAAATCGCAAAAAACGCGGCATATATATGGCATAATTTGCGGTGAATTTGCGGTAAATATGCGGTGAATAATATTGATGTGCGGCAATTTTCAGTGAGTATGTAGTGAAATCAATCAGTTACAAGTCTCTGGTGTAAGCACTCGTCATATTTGAGTAAAAAGCCGCCACGATGAGACGTTGCTGACCGAACAGTGCACTGTGTGTACGTGTAGTGCAACAAAAAAGTTCAAAAAACGCGAGAAAATCGCGGAAAACGCGGTCTTTTAAAAATCACAAAAAAACGCGGAAAAAAACGCGGCCGCGGAATCGCAATTTTCCCCGGGGACAGCCTTTGGTACACGTAAACTAGTCAATTTTGGGAAATCGTTTATAATATATGCGCCTCGTTAGAATAAGTATCTAATATTGACTGAGTACGAGGTCAATATAGGAAATAAAAGCCGAGTAAAAGACCGAGGCGAAGCCGAGGTATTTTACGAGGTTTTTATTTCCTATACTGACCAAGTACGAAGTCAATATTAGATTTATCACGACAAACAGTCCGTATTTCAAATTCCAAAACGATAACCTCATGAATCCTGGTTTTATGATTGCACAACCGTTGCACCACCACCTACTCAATAGTACTCATGCAGTGACAATGCTGCACTAGGCACCGTTCAACTGCGCGACCCCTAAGCAGTCAAATATAAGCAGTCAATATAGCCCTAAGGAGTGAAATATGCAGGAATATTTGACTGCTTAGGTATGGCAAAAATCTATGTGAGTCAATACTAAGGGAGTGATAATGCCTTAATGGCTTTTACAGTAGCATTCACACCGCGTGCACGGACCGGTTGTAGTATGAGCATTTCACTCCCTGGTCGGATCCGGTGGACCTGTACTTGTCTTGCGCCTGGTCAACAAGGCTGTTGACTGTTGCGGGATCGTCATCATGGTCATGGAATTGAAAATGAAACGCTTTCCCGATCCCACTGTTTACAGACCTACGCCAGAAGATGAGAGTATGCAGGTACAACAGACATGGCATGGCCAAAGAAATCCAACCACATGAATAAAAATAGCGTTCCCGGGCGCTACGCAGCCCTAGTACTACACGTGCTGCACTGGTCCGTGCACTCTAACACGACGCTGCTTTATTCATGAGGTTGGATTTCTTTGGCCAGCACTGTCATGTAGTACATTTTACCTAACAAGGTTGAATGATCGGATCATGAAACAGCCGTCCAGAGATGGAGAACAATAATAACCTATTCGCCATACAAAATGTTAGGGTTTTCCCCCCGGTGCACAGACGAATCAATTAGTCTACAGTCAGAGCGAGCACGCATAAAGATAACCTAGTACCGGTAATACCTTTTTTGTAGTGCGAACTATCGCCAATCTCACGGCTGGCCGGGCAAGAAATCAAGTCAAAAAATGTTCATGATGAACATCTCGCCTCTGGCATGATCTGTTTGGCAAACTGTTGTGAAGCCAAACAATTGCAAAAATTGCTGGAAGTAAGTTGGTTATGGAAAAAAGACATGCAACTCAGCATGAGTCACAATCAACTGGTTATTATAACTGTAAATGTTCCACGTACTCAAGCAGCTCAGGATTTACAAAAGACCATATCTACAGAGCTAGCGGCTAGAGAGCTGGACGCGGAACTGGAAAAAATATGATCATCATAGGTGAAATGCAGGATCCTAGGAAATGAAACATAATCAAGAGGCATCTGGTAACAACTGATTCACATTAGGAACTTGTATGTGGTTGCAAATTCTAACTACAGTGTAAGAAATGATCACACACAGTATAGCAAACAGGTTTAAGCCAATGATGGGCTATTATAAGATCAACTCACAGTGGCGGATCCAGGGGGGGTTCCGGGGGTTCCATGGAACCCCCTAAATTTTGCAAAGTGTACTGCTGAGAAATATCGAAAAATATCATGTGTGCACAAAAGGACGTCCGTCCGATCACAGTGCAGTCACTGAGTCAAGGAGTACAGTGCACTGCATGCGGTAGATCGATACTGTACGTAGTCTGTCTACTGGCGTTCATGTCCGTGATTTACAAACGGACACTGCACTGTAGTGTAGACAACATTGGGTGGTTGTTTCCTTTTTGATCTTTGGAAACGATCCAAATTTTACCTCCATTGGCGCTGTCATTCACTGCTGCTCTGGATGGGTATGGTCAGTATTCCTTGGACAAGTTTTTTTCCGGAAGAGAAAGGATGTTCCGATTGATGACACTCTTCAACGAACTTCGAATCGTACACGTAGAGTTCAAGCTCTTCAGAAGATGAGGGCTCCGACATCAAAGCAAAGTCAGTAATCTCTACCTGCTGCAGCATGCAGTAGTGACTAGTTGTTACTCCGCAGGAACGGAGTGCTGCGCCAGCGATGTGTTTTAGATGGCCTTGAACGGATTGTCGAGACGACACTGTTTCGCTGTTGTTGTTTCTGTCAAGTGAAGACAATGCTCCTGTGATTATAGAGCATTTCGCATCGTAAAAATGCTAAAAATTTCCGAAAGTACAAACGGACAGGGAAAGTTGTCATTTCGGCATTTCTGGCTCTCAACGAACCCATGGCTTGCATATTCGATCTTTACAAGAAAAGTTGAAAGGGTCTTCAAGCCCTCACTGAACCTGTGTGCCAGTCGATTGCAAACATGACTATGTGTCCATACAAGTAAATATACAATGTAGGGTAAGCAGCAGCATTTGGCCCTGTACAGGTTTTCCATCGTCCACCACACCACAACTGAGCTCTCCAGCGATGGTGCAGTGGTGGTGTGCTGTGGCAACGTGGAGAGCGCTGTTGTGGTGTGGTCGATGATGGAAGAATATGTGTCCGTAGTTTGTTTTAAAAGCATGCGATTCCAACTATTACTTAGCACAATCGGATTGTCCTGTACAACCGCACAACTAACTTCAATACAATCTGATTCCATAATATTTTGGCTGTTCAATTTTGGTTCAACCGGAACCCCCCTGTAGAGATCTCTGGATCCGCCCCTGACTCAGTGGGCATCGTAGCCTTTCCAAAGAGAAATGATTATGACTGAGGTCAAGCAATCAAAGCAGTCAATGAAAGCAATATTTTCACATGGCTGCATCACAGCTCGGATAGCACAAAATTTAATACAGATACAGAAAAGGTGCTACGGTGGTTTTAGGTCCTTGTCGTCAGTCATGAAGTTATCAAGCAGAAATCCAACTGGATAATTTTTTAGGAACAAGAACCTGATAAAGGTATCAAGAGGCTACTTGTGCTTTGTGGATGGGCGTGGGTGGCTTGACTGCCATTGGCCTGCTGCCAGTATGTCTTAGAGAATCACTTTGAGTTCGTGTTCGGTGGTACCCAGTCTCAACAGCTCTCTTGGCCACCTTTCGTCGAGGCAGTCCTGGCTTGCTAGCGGCGGCGGCAGCAGTGATGATTGGATCATTGAGTTTGTTGTACTGTTCTATCCGGTCGTTGGTAAATGGCTTTGGTGGTAAGTCTGGTGGTGGATGAGCAAGGCGTGCATAACCATCGATGACACGTTTTGAGTCGTGATCCAATCTGTCATAGCCATGGTGCATGGCCGGTTCTGATGCGGATCTTACTCGAATTTCGTCTTGAATATTTGCACGGCTGTAGATGCCTAGCTGAGATGAATTGGTAGGTAGGTCAAGTGGCGGTCTGGAATCGATGCTGCAAGCCGCACTCGGATGGCTGGACACGGATGATGCCAGTGGAGACTCATTCAATGGAGAATAGCCTGCAGAATCAGGGGATGTAGATGAGAGAGAGTGCATAGGAGATCTCAGTGGCGATGGAGACTGTGTCTGTGGTGGGGAACGTGGTGGTGATGATAGTTGAGCAGGTGATAGAAGTGGAGAGGATGCATAAGGAGTGCCTGGGAAGGACGGAGAACCTCTTGGTGATGGTGACATACGTAAGCGTGAGGAAGGATCTCTGCTGGCCACAAATATAGGACTATACCGGCGCTTCAGAGCTGCTTGTGCTGATGCCTCTAAGTTGAGTGTGTTTGCATCTGATTCAAGTTGAAGTGGTGAGAAATCTTTGACGCGGGCCGGTTTGGGTGGTGTTGGCGGTGAACTTCCGTGTAGTGGACGGCACTTGGGCTTCACTTCACTATAGCGAATATCTCTTGTCTCGACTTGATCCTTCGAGCACGGATCCTTCTCTACTTGCCGTCCTGCGGCCCCGGGCCGCATTGTTTCGTACTTGTGACAATCAGTACTAGGCAGTGCCTTTGTCTTGAGTGGCGGAACAATTGGCTGAACAGGAGCTGAATGTGAGCGTATCTTGACAGTTGTGGCAGGGGACATGTGGCCATTGGGAAAGCTGCTTAATTCTCCGACGTCATCTTCTTCCTCGGACATATTAGTCTCTTCATCATTAGACTTGTTGAGAGCTTTACTCAGCGCGATCCATGAGTCCCTGATGCGTGTTATTGAGTACGGGCCCTGAGCAGAAATAGAGCAAAATACAAAACATAGCGAGTATTAGCTGTGGTGGATGCAGGCTATGCCCTAGTGGTGTTGATGTTACCTCCAAAGCGAGACCAAGCAGCTTTTGAAGTTAAAAGCCATGTCCTCACAGCTGTCTTGCAATGCAATCAGAAATGGCAAGCACAAGCACACGAGAGCTTACAGCAGTCCTGTTTCATGAATCACAATAGTTGGTGTTGAATACTTCAGAAGGAATTGCGACGCACAGCAATGCGCGAAGTACCAATGAGTTTCCATACACTCTTTCATGGGTAGGATGTGATATGTACATGTACTTTGTGCTGACACCTGCGCTACCAGACTTTACTGTGGTGGACACTACCGGGTCTATTCAGTTCCTACTCACTCAACGCGCTGAGTTACTTGAAAAATAGTCTTTTTGATCAGATTCTGCAGAATTTTGACTTTTCGGGTCAGTAACCCGTCATCCGAACGAAAAGGTTCTGACGATGGGTGAGTGGACTGAAACGTCATTATTCTACAAGTGAATTAAACTTATTTTTCAAGTAACTCATCACATTGAGTGAGCACAGGTAGTCAGCTAACAAAGTTTTTCTCTGTACTATCTACAGTGAAAGAATTCCTACTTTCCCCGCCATCACACTGCGGCTATACATCAACAACATGATCTACAGTGCTGGCAACTGAACTATCCGACCCCTTAGCGATGCGTTCACATTCTAGCGGTCTCTATTTCCTAGTTTTACTATCCCGTGTTGGGTGTTTGCGATGTGAGCTCAGCCGGGTCGGATAGTTCAGTTGCCAGCACTGTACTTATGCATACTCACAGCATTATCTTCATCAATGTTGAACTTCTGCAGGAGAACATTCTCGGACAGCAGAACATTATCAGAGGTAGAGCGCACCAGCAGTGGCTTGACTGAGGGTTCACTCCGGATACATGAGCTGCGGATCTGCACTGCTTCTGTGTTGCCAGCAAAACACTGTGGCCTAGTGTTGACCGACGGAATGCTGGGCCTCACTTCAGTGTCTGTGTACTTGCCATCCGCTAGCTTTTTTGACACAAACCGGAGCTTCTTGGCAATTTCTTCTGCTACATTGGTATCGGTGTTGAAGGAGAAAGTAGCTGGTCCAGTGGAACAAGATCTGTAGGGTCAACAGTCAACACAACCCAAAGTAATGAACTAAATATACCGTTCATAATGATAGGTTTTCCCCATGGTGCAGGAAGTAGCTATAAGTAGTTTTCTCCAGGGTGGGCAGAACAGTGAGAAGGTGTGCCCCATGAGCAAGAAGAACATAACAGACACACCCAAGCACTCTGCCAATCCCTTTCTGTTTATAGCAAGACCAGCAACATGCTTTATTTGTCTTGGCAAAACTTTATAATATGCAGTATGTTGCATATGTCACTGTGAGAGCAATTGCCGGCTATGCCGTATCAGGTTTAGTACATGCAGCTGTCTCTCCAGGTTTTACTGACCTTCCTGATTCAAAGTAGAAGAAGTGGTCCCGGAGTCCAAACTTCCTGATGGAATTGACCGGCCATTCAACCTGCTGGCTGCTCTTCGGGTCGGATAGTGTTAGAGATGACGCTGTGATGGTCAGTGTTGATTCTCCCGAGAACGGAACAAGGGGAGAAGGCTCCAGATGAACAGAGTAGGTAGACGCTGTAGTGTACATAAGCGTGGCAAAAGAAAGAATGAATTAGAAGTAAAAACAGGATGACAGTGGGAATAAACTGGGGAAAAATTGGATACTAGTATAAAAAATTTAGGGGAAGGTCCCTAGTTCGAGTCCTGGTGGTCACAGCCATTTTTCTTCTTTTCCCTTTTTTTCAAATCCCTTAAAGGGGAACAGTCACCCAAATTTTCTTTTTTTGCCTTATTGCTTTGAGGTTGTGTCCTTGCTTTGAGGTTGTGTCTTTGCTTTGAGGTTGTGTCCTTGCTTTGAGGTTGTGTCCTTGCTTTGAGGTTGTGTCCTTGCTTTGAGGTTTTGTCCTTGCTTTGAGGTTGTGTCCTTGCTTTGAGGTTTTGAGGCTGCTGATCACTTCATTTTCTTTGGAGGCGATTGAAAGTTGGTCAAAACTCCAAGCAAAATTGTCCGTAAGTGCAGAGTGACGTCACGCTCGGCTTCAAGCGCATCTTCATCATCACAATGAAACAAATCACGTCTGGTGTGCTGTACTGTAGTCAGTAGTGCTGAAGCATGCAGAAAACCAGAAATGTGGGGAGGCATCAGTATGTGTTGAGTTTTATTTGAAGCTTCTGGTAGCCATGGTAGCCAACTGAGACTTCCTTCACTGTGCTTCATGAAAATGAAATACTTACCCACAAATTTGGGAGAGAGAGGAAGAGATAGAGAGAGAGGCAGAGAGAGAGAGAGAGAGAAAGAGAGATTGTATGACTTTCCTGGCTATCCCACTGTGACACACCTATCTCACTGTGATTAAAGCTCACAGCCCCTGTCACCGCACTATCCGCACTGCACTGTGACAACAGCAGTCGCATGCACGCAATGGGTACAAGCAATGGGTGTACATGTGCAAGTGGTTATAATACATTATAGTATCTGAAATGCACAACCTTAGCTTACCTGAGGGCTGATACATTTTGTTGAAATCCAAACTGTGCAGGGAATCACGCTGTTTTGGATCACCTTGCTTTGACAGATCCGGCAAAGATCCAGTGAGGTTCTTCCTTAAGGAAGTACTGCCAGATAAGTGTGAGGATGGTGCGCTTTGTCTGAGAACTTGAACCCACTCTTCAGCCGCATCTTCACAAGAGGCACCGAAATAGAATGTTGTAGACTGCAAAGCCATGTGCCGATCCCCAATGCGAGCAGCTGACGTACATTCCACCAGAAATGAATGCTTCTTCTTCTCCTCGGGCGTTGGCCGGATACACGTGGCGCTTCCTAAATCGATACGTGCAAAGCAGCCAAGATCTTGTGCTGCATCGACCTGTGACTTGTACTGGGAAAGTTGCACTGCTGGACCCCGCCCTGAAGAACCGTTCCTTCGAACTTGACACCACGTCTTACGCCACGTTGACCTCTACATAAGATGAAACACAGCAAACATGTGTTAGAACCTAATCACGACTGTGAACTAATAACACTAATGAAATACTAACTGATTGAGCTATGCGCCCAGGCTGAAACCAGCAAGTGCCGACACAAATGTCACTCCACACACTTACAGCTAACAACAATTAATACAAAATACTCATAAGATACAAAATAGTTGACCCTTTGGGTCATTTTCCCTCACAAAAGAACCAGCTGCGGCAGTTACTGCAAACACTAGCAGATTTTTTTTAAATTCTTTATTCTCACGATGGCACCATCGCCAATAAGAGATGGTTGTTGTTGTTGTTGCTGTTGTTGTTGTTGCTGCTGCTGTTGTTGTTGTTGGTGGTGTTCTTGTTGTTATTCTTTCTCACGATAGCGACTCACGCCAATAAGAGATAATTGTGGTTGTTGTTGTTGTTATTGTTGTTGTTTGGTGGTTATGGTACAGCTTACACTTGAATTCAAAGTGTCCCCTATGCCCTTTCATATACGAACAGCTTCGGTATGTTGTTCAGGGCATCGCATAGGCCTGTGACATTTTTTACAGGTGCCTTGTGAATGCAGGTGGTGTACGAAAGAACTTTTCTTCTTCTCATTTCTGAAGACAGTTGGGCGTGCGAAAGCCACAACCCTGCAAAGTACCAGACCTCACCTTTGGGCCAATGGTGCTCCCCAAAAAAATCTACATAAGAAAATACAAAATTTAATATTCTTCTTGACTGAAGACTGTCTAGTTTTCAGATTCTGCAGTCATGTCCCAGGCCATCCTACATGGAATGTCAACGAAACTAACTTTGACGCACCACAAATCCCTGTTTCTCTCAATACATCTCCGTGAACTGTCCCCACCTTCCTGATAAGATGCGTTCTTACTACTTGTACACGCTTGAGATTGATGTTACTCTCCAAAGCCAAAGGGATATTTAGGTGCCCTCCTGCTGATACCATACCAACAGTATCCTAGCAACTATCATGTGACTACACAAGCACGTCTTGAATAACAGAACAGAGAGCCAGGACTGGCCCTGTAGTGTATGAACAGGCGCGTGCACCAGGTCAAAAAAAGGTGGTTTCCAAAAAATTTCGACCGCCATTTTGCAACAAGCTACCTGCAGATTCAGCAGTATTAATAACACGCATTACACACTGAAAGAAAGCTTTAAAAGTTATGGCTACCAGTCCCACCGAGCCATCAAAACAAATGTGGTACAAAGGCATTTTCCTGACACAGGATAAACGAATAGGCTAGCCGACGTTATACAAGTAGTTCGAAGTAGTGAAGGACGATTCAGACATTAGACATGGTTAGCATTTTACCGTTCACGCTATCTTCGACGGTCGGCCTGTACCGTTTTTTCGTGTGTGTGTGTGTGTGTGTGTGTGTAGACATGGCATTTTACCGTTCACGCGCTAGATCCAACGGTACTCGTACCCAACACCCAAAATACCGTCAGTTTGGTACCGTTTCGACCATAGAAAGCTCTGTTTAGCGGGAGAACGAAACGGTAAGATTCCAACTAGGGTTATTCCCAAGTCGATCGTTGCGTCAGGAGTGAGGACTCAGAAGCTGAAGTGCTAACCGTGTCTCGAAAACACCAAAAAAGACAGTAGACTCGCCCTACACGCCGACCATCGAAAATAGCGTGAACGGTAAAATGCTAACCATGTCTAGTAAGTGAGTCAAAGAAGCAGGTCAAGCCATGTCACTGTCGGAGTCTGCAGTGGCACTATAGCCCTGAGAAGACACGCGCAACCGGAAATTGAGACAATTCGTTAAGATCCATGGTATTTTTGTACATGTAATATCCATCGTAGAGCGCTCCTTTCTTTTGTAGCCGCTAAAGACCTGTGCCTGACGTCAAACATGTCTATGCATGTCTGGACTGTCGTGCGATAGAGGAAAATATTTATGACAATAATAATAATTGCCACCCAAGTGCGGAAGTGAAAATTTGCAATGGGACGTAAAATACCTGTTGAGTGCCGTAACTCCACTATTCGACCTTGGATCGACTTCGGATTTGTTGGAGCCGACAGCTGAGAACTTTCTAATGCGAATAGACCTTTCAATTCAATTCCGTTCAGGGAAAGCCAAGTTACGAAATATTCGAGTGTTTGCAGAATGCACTTCATAGCGGATGCAAAAAGGTGGTTTCCGGGCTCCAAGAAAACCACGCGGTGCACGCGCCTGATGAACATGCCAAATAACAGCCTGAAGAGGGACAGGAATGCTGTCGTAACTGAGCAAGACCTTACATGCAAGGTGCTACGCCCTGGGATACTAGTAACTGAAAGGATCATTATGTACATCGTATGACAGGTTACGAGCTGTTGTAGTAAGGTGGCAGGGGATGGCGCTCTCTTACCAAACTGCAGCCTTCAGGCTAAAAAAATACACCCACAGAAATTTCAGATTGCAAATTGTGCTGAAGACGCCTAAAACAGGTGAGATACAGCCAGGACTGGTGGGGACTGAGGATCATGACATTCCGCCTCTGCACAGGGAAACCAGTTGACCAGTCTCAAGTCTCAACCCTACTATTCCTGTACTACTACTACTACTACTACTACTACTACTACAGCAGCCCTGCCACAAAACATAGGACATTTCAAAATACAAAATGAGTCGTTTATACAGCTCCCTAGTAGGCCCTGGGCATACCCGATGATAAAAACCGTATTTTAAAAAATGAAGTCCAACCTCATAACCTCATAGGGCTTGAAAGTGATGACGTTAAAACGGCCAGGGAGTAGTAAGTTGACATCAGATTTCTATTTTTGGATCCACTAAGGTGTGACTTTGCTATTGCCTAAGTATGTGGGTGCATAGCAACCCACTCATGTCGCATGCAGGTGTGACTTTTATTTCACCACCAGTTGTAACCCTGCCCCCAGTAGCTAAATCAGTCAGTTTCACTGGCTACATCACCATGCTGTGGTAGTGTGGGTAAGACCGCTTGAAATGTGCTTGGATCCATACAAAACTGGATCCAAGTGGATCCAGTTTTTGAATTTTTGAAATTGTTGCTATGCTGTGACGTAGCACTTTCAAGCCCTATTGTGAAAATAATTGGACGGTGCACCAGTGCATGCAAGTACTGGCTTTATCATTCAGCCGGATTTTACAAAGCATGGCGCCACCGTATTTCAGTCTGACTTCCTTTTTGAGATACAGAACTGTGTATCCTAACTTGCAGAACTGTGTATCCTAACTTGCAGATTGTGTATCCTAACTTGCAGATTGTGTATCCTAACTTGCAGATTGTGTATCCTAACTTGCAGATTGTGTATCCTAACTTGCAGAACTGTGTATCCTAACTTGCAGAACTGTGTATCCTAACTTGCAGATTGTGTATCCTAACTTGCAGATTGTGTATCCTAACTTGCAGATTGCCTAACTTATCACTTTATAACTACAGTAACAGTCACCGATATACAAGGAATCCACATAATCATTGATCCTGTACGAGCTGCTACTAGAGCATGTCATTGAACTCGTTCAATGAACGTGCTAGAACTGTACCCAAAACGCCTCGTGTCGGAGTCAAAGTACCAATGCCGAGCTAGTAGTAGTACAATACAAATACGTGACTATTTGTTTAGGCCCATGATGGGAACGACCTCTGTGACTTCTCTCTATCACTACGAATGCACTTACCAAGCGGCTGCGCGACTTCACCAGCAAATATCCTTCCTTGATGACCTCAACGGACTGCGTGAATACACTCTTTCGGTTGGCCTCCATAGGCAAAGCCATCTCGATCTTCTCTCCAAGGTCCTCACGTTTTCGCAGTTTGACTAGCCACAATGCTAGGTTTCTGGCAAGGACACTCTAGAACTATCACTCCTCACCAACAGTACTCGCTAACTTCGTCTCACAGTTTAGCGCTGGATTACGTCTCTGGCAAAGTTTAGTTTACTCAGAGGCAGAATTGTTTTTTAGGTGAAACGCTGAACGTGCCAACATTGAATGCACTGAATCACGTCCGATGCAGCAGTGAACAGCAAAACTCATTGTAGTACTACATGTACATGTACATGTAGTACGTATTAACAGTGTGTTGTAGCAACATACAAGCGCTGCCTGTCCGGAGGGTCCGTGTACCTAGCAATCACGAGTCACCCGTATCACTCGGGGCTACGAGAGAAATTTCCAAGCAGTTGCCATGAAGTAGCAGCCGTGATGAGCCTTTGCACTTGCCCCTCACACTGCCAATTGCCTTATTCCGCATGAAGGAAAATAGTGACTGCCTACGAAGTTTCCTCTCTTGTCCAGCCTAGCGCCTCGCAATTGTTCTTTCACACTCCGTGTGTGTTCGAGCGCTCTGCATGTCACGCAGTGGGCAGGAATGTGTCATGATCTCAATCACAGACAAGCTGGGAAAGCCGTCACCTTTAGGTCCGCACGTCAATCGTCTTGACTAATATCTACAGTCAGTAGTTGAGCAACTCGCCTTCGACTGGCGTGGATCCGGCGATGTGCGACTGAGGCCCAGTGAGCAGGGTGAGGGACCTTCACCGCCGCCAGATAATGAGGTTGGAGGCTCGTTCAGAAATGAAATGCCTTCACACGGGTAAGACCAAGACTGGCAAGAGCTAGAGGTGAGCATGAGATGATCGTCCCGCTAACCTTTCCAGCCGTATTTTTTGTGCTGATCTGCAGTGGAATTATGTATAAACATGAACGAAAGCAGGCAGGCACAGTGGGTTGGTCTAAGACCATGATTGAGAAACAGAGGGTACCAGGTTCAAGTCCTGCTTGGAAGCGGAAGGAATTTTTCCAGCCGTGCTGCGACCCACAGTTATTTGGGAACTTGTGGCCTGGCACGAGGGTAACATGGATGCAGCTAATGATAGTAATGGGATTTCGGTCTTTGACCACTTGGTGGTGGGTCTGATCTACTCACCTCCCACCGTTTAGGCGCTGCATCTGCGCCTTTGATCGTAGACTAGAGGGTGGTGGCGTTCCCATGACGGATGCGGAAAACTGGGCTTCCAGCCGAGTCTCACGCGAACCATGAAATTTTAATTTATTATTTATTATTTATGAACGAAAGTAATTAGTTCGGTACCGCATACCGGTACGCGGTGCCGCCAGGCGCTAGGCCTAACATTTGTACGTGTAGGCCAGCCGAGTGAGCTTGTATCAGGCCAGGGAGTGGTAGATCTACGACTCCCTCCCTGCTTGTGAGTAACAGTAGTTAGTGTCAAGCATGCATGCATGGAGTAATAGTAGTTAGTGTCAAGCATGCATGCAGGGAGTAATAGTAGTTAGTGTCAAGCATGCATGCAGGGAGTAATAGTAGTTACTGTCAAGCATGCCGCAGGGAGTAATAGTAATAGTTAGTAGTTGTAGAGTCATAATTATTCATAAAGCCTGATGGCTATGTGGGTCTGTAGAGTGTAGTGTAGTGTACATGTAGAGTGTTGTTTTCAATGAGCATGTCTTGAGCACTACCAGACAACCGTAGGCAGGTGGCCTGCCAGTTCTTTGAAAAAATTGCGTCGAGTCCAAACTAGATTTGTGGTTTTTATGTAAAGAATGAAGATCATAGTTCGTGATTGATCGATTCAGTATAACCAGGGAGTGCTAAACCTTCTTCTCTCTTTTTTAAAGGTCAAACGCTGGTTTTAGTACTCCCCTGTTTATGATACATGTATATATAATATAACCCAACATTCTGGTCGTAGGGGTGCCATGTATTTCATAAGGCAGCATGTGTTTCATAAGGCAGCATGTGTTTCATAAGGCAGCATCATCAAAAGAACAGAGAAAAAAACAAACGTAACATGTACTAGCCAGTAAAGACCGAGTCGCGCTGTGCAGGTGCTGCAATCTTGCTTCAGGGTGGCAAAGCTCGGTCGACCTTCTCGCGCTTCTTTTCCCCAGCACATGCAAAGACTGAGTGAACGCTGACATTAGCATGGCCGGTACAGCATGTATAGGGGTGACGACTAAATCCCCAAACAAGGAGTTGTCCCTGGCAAACGATATCTCCTGGTCAAATGGTAGAATAAAAGTTACCCCTAATGTCGTTGGGGGATAGTGTGTAGTTGTGCAGAAAACTATTGTCGGATCCACTTCCAAATTCCACCATCCTTTTAAAAACAAGCTCGAAAATTGTCACTTAGGAGCTGGGGAAAACAACCCCCGTGGCTACCGAGCAGATTGTTGAGGATTGAACTGTGCCTTTCACAGTAGACTGTTGCTGCAGAGTGCAACCCTAGACCTGTCCTAGACCTGTCATAATGGTCCTGATGCTTCCATACCTGCCAGCTATGTTCTGGGAGAGCTGGCACACACTGGCTTGTCGGCATGGAAACCTGTTGGCTATCTTAGCCATGATCTCCGCAATGTGTGTGTGGGTGTGCGTGTGAATGTGCATGTGCATGTGTATGTGTGTGTACATACTATGTGTGTGTCTGTGTGCGTATGTGTGTCTGTGTGTGTCTGCGTGTGTGTGGTGTGTGTGTGCCGTGGAGATCCCTTTGATGATTCGAACCAATATGTTACTTGGCATGCAGGTTAATAACATGTGACTTTATCCTGCCCAGAACATCTTTCAAACGTATTTACTATTAATTTTTAGCATTTGACACGTGCACAAGAATGTGCTAACAGTCACATGCATGACTCATTATTGCTTTGACTACTCTATGAATCACAGGGTGTAGTGTGTGCCTGTTTGGCCTAACAAACTCCAACAGCAGAGGTACAGGGATGTCGAAGCCAAGACAACCAGAGCAGTGTATTCTATGTAGCAGCATGGCCGCATCTCATTCATCATTACAAACTGTTGAGAGTAACACGGCCCTTTACACATCCCCTGCTACCCTGACCAGGAAGTGATAAACAAAATCCTGCATAGCCGAATAGCCCAACTTACTTCTCCAGGGACATTGTAATGAATCGGCATTCAATGCATGCGTGTCCCGGGTCAGAATGAGAATGTGTACATGTAACTTATGACGTATGTAACTTCTTACAGTTGAGTTGCTTCGGCATGTGTATTTTGTCAAGTGACACCACCATTGTACTTCAGCTATTTGTACATGAACATTGTACAGTTGTGGCCAAAGAAATCCAATCCCCGTGCCGAAAGCAGCGCCAAGGCTCATGTGGCCCTCGGATCAGATTTTGGGAACATGCATGATGTAATTGAAATGGAAACGCGGCGCTACTTTTGACTCGCGGGTCGGATTTCTTTGACCGCGGCGACTGCACATGCCAAGGCTCATGTATGGTGTCTCTACCTCGTCTCACATCTTCCCATGATCTGGATTCTGATGGTTCATGTGCACTGCAGATGATGTCTTTCCTTTGCTGTGCTGTGTCATGTGTGTGTGTGTGTGTGTGTGTGTATGTGTGTGTGTGTGTGTGTGTGTGTCTGCGTGTGTGTGTGTGTGTGCGTGTGCGTGCATCATCATGTGTGTGTGTGTGTGCGTGCATGTGTGTGTGCGTGTGTGTGTGTGTATAACCCATACATGTCTATGCATTATTGTGATGGTATTCTGCTGTTTCACTTGCAGCATAGTAATAGACTGTGTGGGGGTCTGTGTTTCGGCCAATGAGCCATCATCGGTGCAACTTCAAGATAACTAGGAGAAAAGAATGATGGTGCTCTCGTGTATTTCAAGAATACATCGGTTCTAACTTGCCACATCCCTATCTTTGTCACACGGTACAGTGCTCTTCACGACACTCACTTACATGACTGTGTTGACAAATATGGGCGCAGAGGTAGCATGTTATGCTGTGAACGTAACTGACAACTGCCAGATACTGAGCATTATCATGTTGGAGTCGGCGTGCATTGACGTCATATGCCATGAGAACCTGGGAGATTACGTACACGTGTCATAGCAAGGGTTGATTTAGCTTTGTCAGTTAGACTACCACTTTCTAAGACTAACTGTACGTTGTCATGGTTGGTTAACCATTGTACTATGTACGGTACTACATGCCTGCAGTACGGATGATAACATGTGTGCTGTACGGATGATAACATGTGTGCTGTACATGCCACAACTGACATATTTGGAGAGACCAGAGTCACATGCTAGAAGAGCCACTCAGTGACCTGTCAAGACTTCGGTGCATCCAGACTTGACCAGTGTAGGGGTAAGAAACAGTCCGAGGTATTTCTGCTGCTTGCACTTTCTACACTGTGTGTGTATGTGTGTGCGTATGTGTGTGCATATGTGCGTGTGTGTGTGTGTGTGTGCGTGTGTGCGCGCGCGCACGCGCGTACGTGTCTTTGCCTATCTGTGTGCACTCTTCCTCATCAGCAAGTGTGTGGTTGTGCATGGTGACCCGACGCATGTATCCAGCGGGGCACTACACTTGTAAGGCACTGTCTCAGCCTCAGCCTCAGCCTCAGCCTCAGCCTCAGCCTCAGCCTCAGTCTCAGTCTCAGCCTCAGTCTCAGCCTCAGTCTCAGTCTCAGCCTCAGTCTCAGTCTCAGCCTCAGTCTCAGCCTCAGTCTCAGTCTCAGCCGCTCGTGAACTGAGTACTTTACAAGTAGCTATGTACATGTACAGTAACACTGCCCAGATCCGGGTTGCAGGCTGGGACCGAACACTGCCCAGATCCGGGTTGCAGGCTGGGACCGAACACTGCCCAGATCCGGGTTGCAGGTTGGGACCGAACACTGCCCAGATCCGGGTTGCAGGCTGGGACCGAACACTGCCCAGATCCGGGTTGCAGGCTGGGACCGAACACTGCCCAGATCCGGGTTGCAGGCTGGGACCGAACACTGCCCAGATCCGGGTTGCAGGTTGGGACCGAACACTGCCCAGATCCGGGTTGCAGGCTGGGACCGAACACTGCCCAGATCCGGGTTGCAGGTTGGGACCGAACACTGCCCAGATCCGGGTTGCAGGCTGGGACCGAACACTGCCCAGATCCGGGTTGCAGGTTGGGACCGAACACTGCCCAGATCCGGGTTGCAGGCTGGGACCGAACACTGCCCAGATCCGGGTTGCAGGCTGGGACCGAACACTGCCCAGATCCGGGTTGCAGGCTGGGACCGAACACTGCCCAGATCCGGGTTGCAGGTTGGGACCGAACACTGCCCAGATCCGGGTTGCAGGCTGGGACCGAACACTGCCCAGATCCGGGTTGCAGGCTGGGACCGAACACTGCCCAGATCCGGGTTGCAGGCTGGGACTGAACACTGCCCAGATCCGGGTTGCAGGTTGGGACCGAACACTGCCCAGATCCGGGTTGCAGGTTGGGACCGAACACTGCCCAGATCCGGGTTGCAGGTTCGGACCAAACACTGCCCAGATCCGGGTTGCAGGCTGGGACCGAACACTGCCCAGATCCGGGTTGCAGGCTGGGACCGAACACTGCCCAGATCCGGGTTGCAGGCTGGGACCGAACACTGCCCAGATCCGGGTTGCAGGTTGGGACCGAACACTGCCCAGATCCGGGTTGCAGGCTGGGACCGAACACTGCCCAGATCCGGGTTGCAGGCTGGGACCGAACACTGCCCAGATCCGGGTTGCAGGCTGGGACCGAACACTGCCCAGATCCGGGTTGCAGGTTGAGACCGAACACTGCCCAGATCCGGGTTGCAGGTTGGGACCGAACACTGCCCAGATCCGGGTTGCAGGCTGGGACCGAACACTGCCCAGATCCGGGTTGCAGGCTGGGACCGAACACTGCCCAGATCCGGGTTGCAGGCTGGGACCGAACACTGCCCAGATCCGGGTTGCAGGTTGGGACCGAACACTGCCCAGATCCGGGTTGCAGGTTGGGACCGAACACTGCCCAGATCCGGGTTGCAGGCTGGGACCGAACACTGCCCAGATCCGGGTTGCAGGTTGGGACCGAACACTGCCCAGATCCGGGTTGCAGGCTGGGACCGAACACTGCCCAGATCCGGGTTGCAGGCTGGGACCGAACACTGCCCAGATCCGGGTTGCAGGCTGGGACCGAACACTGCCCAGATCCGGGTTGCAGGTTGGGACCGAACACTGCCCAGATCCGGGTTGCAGGTTGGGACCGAACACTGCCCAGATCCGGGTTGCAGGTTGGGACCGAACACTGCCCGTAATTAGCAATTGCTCCTAACTCAGAACTTACATACTTAGTGCATGCAAGTAAGATTATGGTGCCAATCAATATTACTGTTTTGGGGCTGTTTTTCATTGAAAAGCCATTTTCTGTAACTCTAGATGGGTCAGATAGGTGCCTGGTAGACGGTCGTGCCCGGATTAGGGACGTCCTGGTAGACGGTCGTGCCCGGATTAGGGACGTCCTGGTAGACGGTCGTGCCCGGATTAGGGATGTCCGAATCTGGCGAGTTTACCTGTATGAGCAAGTGGAGTAATAATGTCTGCACACCATGACTAATGTCTGCACACCATGACTCGAAAAATCTATTCATGCGTGGGGACAACAGTGTTTTTTTTCTCAGTGAATCTCTATGTTGACAAGAGTGGTCTTGATCTTGATGATAGCAGCTCATGTTGACACAAATGAACACATGGATATACTGGTTCCTGTGCCATTCTGTTGAACTAGGCTTACAACACAGCTACACAGCATGCAGCTTCAGCTGAGATTGCTGGCAGGGCGGCGGACCGCTGCACAAAGCTATCAAGAAACAATATAAACAATGCGTGTGTGCACTGAGTAACACTTAGTTTGATCAATGGATCTGGAACAAATTGGTAACGGGCTCTCTAACCAATGTGCATCCATTGACCGTGTTTGGCATGTTCCACATGATGAGATTCTGCAGTAATCAGTACCATGCCAGTAGAGTCTAGTGGTGGTTGACGTGGGAATGACGAGGCATTTTCATTGCATGCGCCATGCAGAATGCCTGGAGCCACCATGCCTGACAGGAATGTGTCACCTGCCTTTGCAACAGGTCTGCAGGGTCAGAGTGACAGTAATTACATGCTGCGTTGTTTGAAATCAGATCTCCATGTATTTGGGTTGACCGTGACAGAACCAGTATGCCACTTGTCAACTCAGCAGACAGGTTGTAGCCGAGTGTAGGCATGGGCGGGTTGCACAGGCCGGCTGGTACATGCTGGTGTGAACCCTGCACACAACTACATGTACAGTGGAGATTGGATATAACGACCTTGGATGTAGCGACAAATCGAGTTTAGCGGCAAAACTCTGTTGCCCAAGTCGTTTAGCAAGTCCTTTCTGCACATTATAGATCGGGTATAACGACCTCGAAAACAACGCGATCGAATTTACTGACACTTTTCTGGTGCCCGAAGACCTGAAAATACATCGAGTACAACGACTTTCCTCTTGTATCAGACAGACTGGCGTGCATGGAACATGACTGTGTCACGTGTCCGGACCTCCGGGTCACTCCACACGTGCTTTACATAATGTCATTGCGCATTGTAGCCGCAGTGCAGCGGTGTAGTTGCCATGCATGACTTTTGCCTTGAACACTGCATGCAAGACACATGCCCATAGGATGATACACATCTGAAATTCACATGCATTATATCATGCACATGCAATACATTTCTGTCATTCTGATATACATATTGCATACTAAAATCGGGTTTAGTGAAAGATCGAGTGTAGTGACATTTTGTTTTCTCCCAAAAGAGTGTCATTATATTCAATCTCCACTGCACATGTATGAACCAGAGTGGATAGCAACAAGGCCAATAAAGGCAGACAACCAGTTCAACAGTTGATACTGCTAATAGCTGGGTGGACTGTTTGTAGAGTGACATTATGAACCTAGTGACAGCACACAATAATGAGTTGATAGTACACATGGTACATGCACTGGTCCAACACCCCAACACCACTGGCAACAAGATGGAGAATACCGGCAGTTGACTGTTGTGCATAGTGTTGATCTGGCATCAAGTACAGCTATTACTGTATCACTGTATCAGCTGGTGTATCAGTGATCAGGCAGAACTACATGTAGACAGTGCTGGTCAGTGCAACCTTGCTCTGGGAACACATTACCAGTAGGACACAGGCCAGAGGCAACTACCGTATTTCCTCGATTATAAGTCGTACTCAATTAAAGTCGCACCCCCACTTTCAGGTTTGAGCCAAAATGATTCGATAAATTCACTTCAGCAGTAAGTCATGCTCGATTGTAAGTCGCACCCCTTAACCCTTTTGCCCTTGAGTTTTGTGTAAAAAAGTGCGACATGTATTTGGGGAAATATGGTAAACCAGGGTGGACACACACACACACACGCGCACACACACACGTGCGCGCGCACACACACACACTTGTACTTGTTGCTCAGTGCCAAAAACTGGACACGTGGCTCTCCCCGGGAGAGGGGAGAGAGACTCAAAAGGAATCTCGGAAAGTTGACTCAATTGGCTATTGAACCGCCCAACGGCCGACACCCCCTAAAATCCCCAAAACTCTGGGTGGACTTGAAAATGATCCCACTTATGGGCTCACCACACCTCAGTATTAAAGTGGGTGAGGACGTATGGTCAAGTGTTTGTTCACCTATATTTTTCCCTTTTTCGTTTTTGGTTGTGCTTTCTTTCTCTTTTTCTCCCCTTCTCTTCTGATATCATGTCTAACATTGGGTGTGGCCCAAGCGAAGGCTAGGCTAACGCCGATGCCAACGCGAAAGGGCTGATGATGATGATGATGAGGAGGAGGAGGAGGAGGAGGAGGAGGAGGAGGAGGAGGAGGAGGACAAGGTGCAGAAAAAGGATTGACGGCACCAGGGTATCCATCCCGGGATCCAACTGCAGTTACCCCTGCCCCCAGTGAAGGTAATACATGTACTTGCTACTAGTGTGGGTGGCTAAATCAGAGTGGATCTGATATAAGCTTAACTAGCACCATTGATTACACAAGAGTTAATCTAGCCAGAAGCAGTCCATGGTTAACAGGTATGTATACTTCAAATAGAAAGTATATGAACCCTGGAACCAACAAAGGTGGCAGGTACAACATTACACCTTCAAGGAGCCAAGCCCGTTGGCAACAGACCCAACACAATCAGGCATAAGTGTACCCACCAACCGAACTGACTGGCACACACACACACACACACACACACGCACGCACACACACAGACACACACACACACAGACACACACACACCTCAGACACACACACAGACACACACACACCTCAGACACACACACACACCTCAGACACACACACAGATACACACACAGACACACATATGCATACGAGAACACACATGTACGCACATACATACATACATACATACATACATACACACACACACACACGTACACACACACAAATGCACACACATATGTAGACACAACTGGAATAACTTAGAAATGTGTTACACGACAGGGCCAGCCAGTTAGAAGAGAGTGATGTGCAAACGAAAAGAAACACTGTGAATTCTGATGACATTCCGTCCGTTGCCGTATTTAGCGTGGAATATAAGCAGCCGTGCCTGTGGATGGAAAATGTATGAACATATGTATCATGTATAGTAGACAGTCATTATGCACGCCGACAGAAAGATATGCAGCAGCCGCATAAGCAGCATGATCCGCAGTTCCTTACACATCGAATTTGGGTGTTGGCACAAGATATGAAAAGAAAAGGTGGCACTGCCAGCAAAGGTCTCACATCTTATTTTAATAAAAGAGAATAAATACAAAGGAGATGACTAATGCAGCAACAAATTACAATATGTGAACAGCAGTGAAACCCTAAATTTGCAAATGTGATTCAGTTTTCTGTGAATAAGAAAATATGCGAAAATCAAGAAATCCAGAGCACTAACATCAACAAGACTCAACAGAAGAAACACATACACACACACACACACACACACACACACACACACACACACACACACACACACACACACACACACACACACACACACACACACACACACACACCACCACCACCACCACCACCACCACCAGCACCAGCACCCAAGCGGATGCATGCACACACACACACACACGCTCGCGCGCGCACACGTGCACACACACTCGTGCGCGCACACATACAACTTGCAGGCGTCGACTCCAACCTTGCAAGCATACAAACTGCTGCTGCTACTACTACTACTACTACTACTAGACACGATCTTTATTAGGAAACTTGAAATGGAGAAGTGAAAAACAAATACACCCATGTAGATGGAGCAGCAATGCAATACAATTTCCAAAAAACTCAAAAATTCACTGTCATGGGGCAGTACTACTACTACTACTACTACTACTACTACTACTCCACACACACACACATACACACATACATACTAGGTAGGTGCAAAAAGCAGCGCTGCGATGACCCCAGCATCGCAGCAGCAACTACTAGCCATAGTTAAATGTGTGCAAGAAGAAAAAGAGAAACGGTTCAAGAAACAGAGAAAATATCTTACACATCGCAAGTGTCGGTGCCAGCAGTTGCATGGTCATCAATGCGAACTTCACCCAGATGATAGCGAACGGTGGGATTAGAGATAACATTGAGAGCACTGTGATTTGATAGCCGATCTTCTTCCTCTTCCTCCATGGCACCCATGTCATCAGTCTGCTTCGATGCAAAACCAATAAAGACCTGGTCAAGTGTGGTTTGGCTGACAGAGTAGTCTTCGATCGGTAGGTGACCACGTACCTCCTCGAACGACTGGAAAATGCGTGAGAGCGACAGCAACGCGCTCGGCAACTGGTATACCACCATGTTATGATGCTCTCTCTGCATGTAGGAAAAAGAGACAATATTAAACACAACCATGATATGATGCTCTCTCTCTCTCTCTCTCTCTCTCTCTCTCTCTCTCTCTCTGTCTGTCTGTCTGTCTGTCTGTCTGTCTGTCTGTCTGTCTGTCTGTCTGTCTCTCTCGACTGATGGGCATGAGGTGTAGAAGAGTCATCAATGCTACCTAACAGGTGCTCCCGTTTTCCACAAGAGCAGACTCACAAGATATAGGATCAGAATGCACACCGTGTCAAGGAAACATAATGCATCGCTGTGACGGGAATGGTCTTAGAGACTGCTTCTCCCATTCCCGTTGGCCTTCCAATCACATAATTACTTACACTCTTTCTGCATGCTCTGTATGGTGATCCCCGAATTACTTATTATTATTCATGCATAATCGACAACTATTACTCTACACACTATCCACCTTTAGGAACAATCTTTATTTCTACACATCCTTATTCTACCTCCTACACCGTACTCTGAACACAGCAGGGAGTCGAATACGACTCCGTGCATTTGATTCTGAAAAGATGAAGCTGGCCACGACGAGGGTTTCCCCTCAGTTCTTGGTTAGTCCAGAAAAGAGTGAGATTGATTTGTCGAGTGAGCTGGTTCTCTTACAATCGCACAAGCCTATGACATCGCTGAAACTACTGTGAAAAGCTGCATTCACCTCCATTGGCTTTGGGCGCAACAAGGAAGAAGGGAGCAACACGACGGAGTGTTCATCACTAGATTCACTACCATTACAGGCATGTGCTTGGCATATAAACACAATGAGTGATCAGTCACACGTGCTCTCTGATGAAACTGCGTGTGCGCATGACTAGAGCACATGATCACAAGTGTAGCACTGTTCCCACACTTGTACACAAACACTCTGAGTCTCACACATAGATAATAAATTAATAAGTACAGTGCTGCTCAATGAAATCCAGTCGCATCACTCAAGGTTGCGCCTTGCACCATTTCGCAGCCCAGTGTTTGCAGGTCTAGAGCTGCGCAATGTCCGGCTCGTACTTGCGTGACAACGCGACTGCATTTCATTGAGCGACGGCACTGTACATGTAAGTACGTATGTAGCTATGTGTGGACACTACACACACACACACAGGGTATGTAGCTATGTGTGGACACTACACACACACACACACAGGGTATGTAGCTATGTGTGGACACTACACACACACAGGGTATGTAGCTATGTGTGGACACTACACACACACACACAGGGTATGTAGCTATGTGTGGACACTACACACACACAGGGTATGTAGCTATGTGTGGACACTACACACACACACACACAGGGTATGTAGCTATGTGTGGACACTACACACACACACAGGGTATGTAGCTATGTGTGGACACTACACACACACAGGGTATGTAGCTATGTGTGGACACTACACACACACAGGGTATGTAGCTATGTGTGGACACTACACACACACACACAGGGTATGTAGCTATGTGTGGACACTACACACACACACACACAGGGTATGTAGCTATGTGTGGACACTACACACACACAGGGTATGTAGCTATGTGTGGACACTACACACACACAGGGTATGTAGCTATGTGTGGACACTACACACACACAGGGTATGTAGCTATGTGTGGACACTACACACACACAGGGTATGTAGCTATGTGTGGACACTACACACACACAGGGTATGTAGCTATGTGTGGACACTACACACACACAGGGGATGTAGCTATGTGTGGACACTACACACACACAGGGTATGTAGCTATGTGTGGACACTACACACACACAGGGTATGTAGCTATGTGTGGACACTACACACACACACAGGGTATGCTAGGACAGAGCTACGTGACAAGAGTGCACGGTCACAAGTGTAACACTCTTCCGAAAAATTTATAGTAATGTTCATTTCATGGCAACCGCCATACTGGGGAAGGTTGCCATTAGTTTCCTTCATTCAGAAAGAAAATGCCTGGAGTTTGCAAATAGAACGAAAGAAAGAGGTCCTTATCACTAACCTGTAGGAAAGATCCGGGGAACGTTTCACTGAAGAACTCCTTGACTGGTGTTAAGTCCGGGTGTGTTCCAGTCAGACGTACAGTCACTGTGTAGCCATTGCCGAATCTGAATAGCAGCAGTACATAACACCAGTACATGTGCACAAAAGGAAAAAATCAGACGGTGCCCATGCTGAGCATAAAGTGAAAAACACACCTCCATACGTGGTAAATTTGCATGTGAACATAGACACATAGACGCACAGCCCGCCTTTGCTTTAGCCCTACCTAATGCTTCTTCACAGTATGGTCTCTACACTTTGCCATTCCTGGCCGCTGACAGGTGGAATTCGTTTCCAGCAGAGTGCCGCCAGGCAGCCTCCTTCGCCATGTTTAACAGTATTCTACGCAGCCTCTTTTGCAATACATAATGGCATTAGTATGCAGCCACCGTTTTTCTTTACTCTATTTTACACACTTACGGTTTTCTTCATTTAGCTCTATTTCACGCACTTACCTAGGGTGCCCTGTAAGAAGACTTACAGTCTGTGGGGATCGCCCTAGTCCTAAAAAAATAAATGCTACTACTACCGTAAAGTACCGCCAGAGCGCCCCACCATCTGGTCCTTCCGTGGCCGTCTTGTGGGGGTGGTTTCCTGTCTGTAGGTCATACGACACGGACCTTGTACACACATTGCACGTTGTGGAGTCAATCCGTATCCAGTTTACCTTCGCGAATTTGAGCGGATGCGAGCCCCACATAAAACATGCCAAGTGTGACCTTAGTACACTAGAGGCATGTTCGATAGGTAAGGATCGGGATCCAGATCTCAGATCTGTTGGATCCTGCACAGTCAACAGAACACTTTATTCCCGTAGCTATGCAGAAGACGTTACTTCAGTAACGTCTGGCGCTAGCCAGGGTCCACCCAGCTTTAATTTGGTGTTTGTGTGTTTGTGTCACGCCTGGCGCTATCCCGTATCTGTCCCGTACCGTACCGTACAATCAAACACAGCTGGCCACATACAGCTGGCCGCAATATTCAAATAGGGCTTTCAAACGCAAGATCATAGCGTGAAGCAACTTGGAAGAATGAATATGAATGCGAAGTGTATGGGGGAATGCATGTAGGGCGATAGTGCGGGTTCGAATCCCAGGTAATGCATGAAAAAAATAGGAGAATTGAAAAATTTATAACATCCCTATGCTTTTTTTGCCTAGGTCATTGTAGTGCTGGGATTAGTGCTATCATAGTGGTCAGTGTTAGGTTGTAGAGTATAGGTTATAGCATTAACGCCATCATACTATAGTGTAGAGTTTGGCACATTCCGTATTGTGTTATAAGCCGAGTGTCGCATCATGCAGAATCAGAATACAGATCTTCTGGAACCAAGCAGTTGCTCTGGCAAGCGTGGGCTACGGTACTACATTGGCGCAGTGAACCGGCAGTCAAGCATCTGGACGCTATGGCGAAGGGCCGGCCACCCAAGGAATTTCATCCTGACTTCGGACAAGACACGGGTGCCGACTTCGACCTATGGCTGGAGGATGTGAACGACTACATGAAGATCTGTCAAGTTTCGACTCCAGAGGACAAGAAGTGTCTCTTCTTGAATCTGGCTGGTCTTGGGATCAGGAAGATTGTCAAGGGTCTGGTTGTTCCCGCTCCAAGTGATGCAACACACGACGACCCAGGAGACACATACAAAGCCCTTACAGAGGCAGTCCGTGCTCATTTTCGCCCATCCAGAAACACGACGTCTGAAAGGCACAAGTTTCGGCAGATTAAACAGACGCCAGATGAATCTGTCTCCACCTTCGTTAGTCGGTTACGCGAGAAGGTGGAGTGGTGTGACTTTGCAGCGACAGACGTGGACTCGGTCGTCAACACACAGGTGCGTGACCAACTGATTGCAGGGTTGCGATCGCAGGAGCTGCGACGGGAACTGCTAAAGGAGGCAAAGCTGACGCTAGCGGATGCCGTTTCAAAGGCTGTGGCCCTAGAAGCATCTTTCTCCGACTGCAAGCTATACGAAAGTCGGACGAGTCCAGGAGGCTTGGAGACATCAGCGCATAGAGGACCAGAATTGGCTGCTGTAGTTTCGGGCAGCGTCTCGGGTGGAATCGGAAGTGGCGACCCGCGCGCCATGGGGAAGACGTCCACCAAGAGCCTAGGATGCAAATACTGTGGTCGTGTACATGCCAAAGGCAAGCAATTTTGCTCGGCTGCACATGTAAGGTGTCGGGACTGTGGCAAAGTAGGTCATTTCGCAGCAGTCTGCCTCTCCAGCAAAGCTCATGCGGTGCAGGATGAGGACAGTGAAGCCGCGCGAATTGTGTACGATTCGATTTACGCTTGCAGCGACAAGGCAGCCAGTGGTCAATTCACTATGACGCTCATGGTGAATGACAGGCCGTGCGAGGGACTTCTCGATACCGGCGCAACACGGACAATCCTGACGGATGATGTGGTACAGCCCACTCGCTGCAGTGATCGTAAGCTGCGCGCGTACAATGGCGGCGAAGTCAAGACACTTGGCATGGCGGATGTCGATGTTGCCGTCGGGGAAAGGTCAATCCAATGCGAATGTTTCGTTGTACCGGCAGGCCGGCGAACTGTACTGTTTGGCCAGGATGTTATCGCACAACTGGAGCTGCTGGTGAACGCCCACCTGGCAGACACGGCACGGCTGGTGGACACTGCTCCCGTGTCCATCACTGTCGACCAGAAAGCACGGCCTGTGGCGCAGCCAGCTCGTCGTCCACCGTTCAGCGCCAAGGCTGACATCGAAAAGGAGCTGACGCGATTAGTGAATGCGGACATTATTGAACCAGTGAAAGAGGCGTCGCCCTGGGTGTCGCCTGTCGTCCCTGTGCGTAAGTCGAATGGTTCACTCCGATTATGCGTAGATTATCGGCAATTGAACAAATCTATCATTAGGGAGCGGCACTGCTTACCTACTGTAGATGAAATCACGGGAGAGCTAGCAGGCGCGCAGGTCTTCTCAGTCTTGGATGCGGAATCTGGTTTTCATCAATTGCTATTAGAGGAAGAATCCCGATTCTTCACAACCTTTGCTTCGCATTGCGGCTTATACCGGTTTAAGAGGTTGCCGTTTGGCATCTCTTGCGCTCCTGAAATATTTCAACGTGTTGTTTCTGACATCTTGGCTGGTTTACCCGGTGTTACTGTCTATATAGACGACATCTTGATCTTTGGCAAGAATCGAGTGGAACATGATGCTCGTCTAGCGAGTGTTCTAGAGCGTTTGAGGGCAGCGAACCTCAAACTGAACTGGGACAAGTGTAACATCGGCAAGGATCAGGTGAAGTACCTCGGACACATGCTAACCAAAGACGGAGTTCAAGCCGACAGCAGCAAGCTCAGCGCTATTTCCGAGATGGCACCGCCAAAGACAGTGGCAGATGCTCAGCGCTTCCTGGGTATGGTCACCTACCTCGGAAAATTCGTGCCTTGTCTGACCGGTGCCACAGACCCTCTGCGTCGGCTGATGAAGCGTGAGCCGTTCACTGTGGATGAGAGCCTGTTGAGCGCATTCGCAGCCGCCAAAGAAGCAGTGGTCTCCTCCCTACAGACGCTCGCTTATTTCCAGCCATCTATGGACGTAGCAACAGCCATCAGCTGTGACGCTTCACCCACCGGCCTTGGGGCGATATTATGGCAGCAGAGCGAGTCAGGTCAATGGCTGCCGATTACATGTGCAAGCCGCACACTCACAGACGTCGAGTCACGGTACTCTCAAATGGAGAGGGAGATGCTCGGGGTAGTGTTTGCGCTGACGCGGTTTCGTCAGTATGTCCTGGGTCGCCACGTGCAGGTACACACCGACCACAAGCCTCTAATTCCGATTGTCCAGAAACCATTTGACGAAGTTCCCCCTCGACTCCAACGGTGGTTGGTGGCTCTTATGCCTTACGATTATACCCTGAAGCACGTGCCGGGTAAGGAGCTATTCTGCACTGATGCGCTGTCCAGAGCCCCAGTTCCAACAACGGATGCTTCGCCTGCAGAATCGCGTTCTCTACACGAGTATGTTGGTCTAGTGCTGGAGGCAGCCCCGGTAAGTCTCGACGACATTCGCTGTGCTGCTCGAGATGACCCAGTCGCAAGCAAAGTAACCCAACGCGTGCTGACTAATTCATGGCATGATCTCTCGTCGTGCGAGCAGCAGTACTACCTCATCCGAGATCAGCTGACTGTGGTCGACGGCATCTTGATGATGGGCGGGCGGTTCGTGATTCCGGAAGGAGTGCGATCAGCAATTATGACACTGGCTCACGAGGGGCATCCAGGGCAAGAGGCGTTCTTAGACACTCTTCGCCAGAGAGTCTGGTGGCCAGGGATGACTGGAGACGCAGGAATCTTCGTGGAGCGTTGCTCTGAGTGCTGGAGAAGGCGCGCAAACAGTCCGCAGGAGATTCTACCGACAGAGATTGTTGGCATCTGGAACAAACTGGCAATCGACATCGTGACAATTGACGGATATTCTATTCTTTCGGTCATCGACTACGGGTCTCGGTATCCTCTCCTCAAGATACTGCGCTCGACTACCTCTGCCGCAGTCATCGAAGAGCTTGAGGACATTTTTGCTACTTTTGGCATACCCGATACCCTTGTTTCCGACAATGGGCCGCAGTTCGTCTCCGGGGAGATGGAGATTTTCCTCAGTCGCCTTTGCATTTCCCATGTTCGCTCCAGCCCACGGTACGCCCGCTCGAACGGCATGGTGGAGCGACTACACAGGGTGGTGAGGGAGAGATTGGCTGCTTTGAAAGCACACCTCCCATTCCGACGCCGGCTCAACCAAGTGCTGTTTGACATCCGCAGCTCGCGTCACAGGATGTTGGGCACATCACCGAGCGCAGCACTGTTCTCTCGGCAGCTGCGAACAAGAATCCCAGCTCGTATAGACCCTACGATCGTCAATCCACAGCATCAGTTGAAGGCTAAAGCAGGCATGGCCAACGATCACGATTCTCGACGAGGTGTACGCATGCTGCCTGACCTAAGGCCTGGCACGAAGGTTGTGGTGCAGGATGGCTACTGCGACACGGCAAGGCCGTGGACGGTGGTGAGTCAGTACGGTCGTCAGATTGGAGTAACGGATGGCTCCCGATACCTACTCCGAAACCGGCAGCATGTCCGCGAGTACGTTAGCCCTCACAAACCCGTCGAGTGTCCGCCTATGCCATTATTACCTGAGTCGAGACAGGATACGTCTTCTGCGCAGAGGTCGGTGTTGACCCCTCCGCATCCAGTGGATTCACCCCCGGCGTCGCATCAGCCTTGTGTCACCCAGAATCCTGAGCTCCAAGATACATCCGAACGGTCGACGACCGAACAGACCACTGCTGATTGCGAACCCGTGGCGTCCAGCAGCGGGGACCGCCGTTTCATAGATGGGGCAGTCACCCGCTCCGGACGGCAGATCAAGCTGACAGAGAAGGCCCGTCTGTATTCGGACAGTCTGCGCTAGACATTGTATGAGCTTTGGTACTTACCACATTGCGTTACTTAAGTTCTGCTCAACCTTCATTGTGTTCTTCGCTTATACTTCTAGCCTTTCTGCTTATCTCTTCTTCATTGAGAGGGAGTAATGTAGTGCTGGGATTAGTGCTATCATAGTGGTCAGTGTTAGGTTGTAGAGTATAGGTTATAGCATTAACGCCATCATACTATAGTGTAGAGTTTGGCACATTCCGTATTGTGTTAAAAGCCGAGTGTCGCATCATGCAGAATCAGAATACAGATCTTCTGGAACCAAGCAGTTGCTCTGGCAAGCGTGGGCTACGGTACTACAGTCATCAAGGCGGTAGACGGTGTCGTGTTACCCTCGACCGTACCTGTCCCGTACATATCCCGTACCTGTCCCGTGCCATCAAAGACAGCTGGCCACAATGCATATTCAAATAGGGCTTTCAAATGCAAGATCACAACGTGAAGCAACTTGGAAGAATTAGTATGTATGCGAAGTGTATCGGGGGATGCATGCAGGGCGATAGTGCGGGTTCGAATCCCAGGTTATGTCTTAAAAAAAGGAAAAATTTATATGAATTTATAACATCCGTATGCTTTTTTTTGTCTAGGTCATCAAGGCAAAAAAGCATAGCGTAGGGCCCTGAGCTTCCAAGCTCTCTCGTTTTGGACCTGACTGTTGCCATGTTGACAAAGTAATAAAATGGCGCTCACAAGTCACCCAAAAGAGTGAAAGTCGTACTCATCGCGCGCGCGTTGTACAAAAAGTCAACAAGCTCTATCTTGATCCACGTGTGCGTACCACAAAAGGCACAATGTGTACAAAAATGATTTTTACCCGCCATATACGCACAAAGGTCATATTTGGATCCGTTGGATCCGGTCAACCCTGCTCCCCGAGGTGGGTTGACTGGATCCAGATCCGAAGGATCCGGATCCGGATTTGACCAATCGAAAGGGTGTGAATCCAGTGGATCCTACCAATCGAACATGCCCTAAGGTTCTCAACACCGTACAAACTTAGTAGCACTCTGCCATACGGTTTTCTTCCCTTGGCTGTAAAAATCAAGGTGGGGCGCTCTCACGGGACGGGGCGCTCTGGCGGTACTTTACGGTACTACCGTAAAGTACCGCCAGAGCGCCCCACCATCTCATCCTTTCGTGGTCGTATTGTGGAGGTGGTCTGCTGTCTGTAGGTCATACGACATGAACATTGTACACACATTGCACGTTTTGCAGTCATTTCGAACCTTCCAGCCGACACAAGCTCCACACAGAAACCTGCCAAGCTTGACCTTAGTACACTAAGATTCTCACATCGTACAAACTTCGTTGCACTCTGCCATACGATTTTCCTTTCTCTGGCTGTGAAATCAAGGTGGGGCGCTCTCGTGAGACGGGGCGCTCTGGCGGTACTTTACGGTACTACTACTACACATGTGTTCGCGCAGACACAGACACACACTATGGGCATACAAATCCTAGCTCCATGTTATGAGCCCAAGTGGGAAATACCCACTTAGATTAGAAACGTACTTGCTGCGAAGGTGTTGTGGACTTCCAAGGCACTTGAAGCGACCGTTGACCATGATAGCGAGACGCTGGCACAGTGCTTCACACTCCTCCATGCTATACAACACAAACACACACACACACACACACCCCCACACACACACACACACACACACACACACCCACACCCACACCCCCACACACACACACATGTACACACACACACACACACACACACACACACACACACACACACACACACACACACACACACACACACACACACACACACATGTACACACACACACACACACATGTACACATACACGCACGCACGCGCGCACACACACACACACAAGCACACATACACAGTGCAGCAGAGTCATTGAAGAACACATTGTAAGTCCGTATTTCATATTGTGGTACAGACACACCAGTGGCACAATACATGGTGTGCATGTAGGACTCTCTTGAGAGCTCTGCAAGTAATTATCAACACCAGCACTACTCCACAATCCACTACATAACGGTACATAACGGGGTGTAGAAAGGCAATCTACAAGAGTGGGCACTGGCAAACCTACTGCTTCATAAAGCCGTGGTTGGCTATAAAAACCTTGCAATCGACACACAAAGTGGTCATTGGCTACCCCAGCCATGTATTGCTTGGAATAAAATAAATAACAACAACAACTAAAAACAACAACAGCAGCAGCAGCAGCAGCTCTGCTAACAACAAAGTAGGAATAGAACACAGTGTTACAGTATTCAGCACAGCACAGAGAGTACTGTACTGGTCTTACCTGTGCGATGTCAGGATGATGCAATGGCCAATACGTGCCAGACCAGACACGATTGTCCACAAGAAACGCCTTGCCTTCGGATCCATGCCAGTTGTGGGCTCGTCCTTCACACCAAACAACACACCAAACAACACAGACAAGAATGTCATCCCCACCAGCACCAGCACCAGCACCAGCACTAGCACAGGGATCAACACAAATAAGCAGCATCAACAGTTGCACTACCTGATATTCACAGTAGAGACAGTTGACGTGCCATTTGCCTCAGCGGAGACACTATCACAAGAACAACAGCTGGCCAAGCAACTGTCAGTTCATACACACGGACAGCATCTACTACTATCTAAAGTACACCGTTGCTTATCAGCGCTACACCTATCCGTGATTATTAGGTCATAAACAAGTGGCCTATTGCGTGTTCATGCACCATGGGCAATACCTGCTGGCAACAATCGGTGCCGAGATCAGTGCTGTGCATGAACTGTGTGCCTCACACTGATCTACCATTATCTGCACATGTATCAGTGGACCTGACAGGGGGGTATGTGAGGGACTACTTTACTACCGTGACAACACTGTGCTCTTCTCCTTGCTACATACAGGTATCAGAGTACCCACACATCCGCATGACTCCTTGCACACCACTTACCAAGAATATGACTGGTGGCTTTCCGATGAGAGCCATGGCGGTGGAGAGCTTACGCTTATTACCACCGCTGTAACTGCCAGCTGACTTATTAGCATAGCGTGTTAGACTGAGCTTTGACATAGCCCAGTTCACAACCTACAAACACACACACACACACACACACACACACACACACACACACACACAGCACATACAACACATACACAACAACAGTAAGGTGGTGGTCAGCTTGACAACTGACAAGTCATCAGTGCATCTAGACATTACAGACGGTCAGCATAGGTTAGCACACATACACACGCACACACACGCATGCGCACACACACGCATGCGCACACACGCACGCATGCACACACACACACACACACACACACACACACACACACACACACACACACACACACACACACACACACACACACACACACACACACGCACGCACAGGACACAGGCTGGTAACAGCACTGTGTTGCCATGTATTTATATGCTGCAAAGGTACGAGATACGTTTCTAACCAATACGCCTCAGCTGGGTTTGGCATAAACTTGTTGCAACACGCACTTCTGTTCACGCTGCCATGTGAACTTCACGCTTGTACTAGTTGTAGCTTCTTCGACCTTGAAGTTTTCTTCTGTTGTGCTACTGCGAACTGCATACTATACACATTGCCCCCTGCATGCATTGTCATTTCGTGCCATACTGCTATGAGTGCTGCACGTAGGTTGCTGCTTTAGGTAGGGGTTTCGTTCGCTTTTGATATTTTGATACTGTATTAAAGACATGGGTTTGCTGCCACACTGGAGCTCGCGCTATTCCGCCGACGACTTGACGACTTGACACTTGACTGACTCACGACTGCCATCCAGAGATCCAGAGAACACGAGAAGTCCATCGAATAGCGCGAGCTCCAGTGTGGCAGCAAACCCATTCCTAAACAAAATCATCGCCGAAGTCGCAACCTCTATTTTGTATTAAAGACATGTTATTATAACGAGTCGCAAATTTAACGATTGTCCAAAATTTATAGGTTAACGAGAAGAAATGTTAACGATCTTGCAGTATTTCGGCATATCCACACACAACATATATGACGGAGTACGGCCTCGACGGATCTTACTATAACGAAGAAATGTCATCCGTTAAAAAGTTAGATTTACTTCCTCGCTATATATACATGTCTTACAGTATTGCATTTGCCAGGCTTTTGCTGTTCTTTCTCTTTTTACCTAGTCGTATTTGCCATGTAATTTTCTCCCTCTCTTTTTCCTTTCATCATCTTTCTTTCTGCAATAATACTAGTCCCGAACATTAATGAATAAGTGGTGTGGAGACAAGAGTTTGACTAGAACGATGACTAATATTAGTGAGCTAGACATTGAACGTGCTGAACATTAGTCGAGATGAGACTAGGTGACAAACTGGCAATACTATTGTACCTTGCGACATTCAGACTCTGGTACGCCGCGGAGTCGTGCATAGAGTGTCAGGTGCTCACGGCCAGTCAGGAGATCATCCAGGGCATCAAACTGCGGACAGTAGCCCATCTTCTGTTGAACTTGCAGCCTTTCCGTTACCACACTATGCATGGCAGTACACAACATGAAAATGGGTCACAAGAAATAGGGGCAACTCATGTTTGTAAGAAGAAAAAACAAGCAGAAGACTTCACTGTCACTCACATACAACTATTCACTTCAAGCACAACAGAGACATCACACAACGTCATGTCAGGCGGATGTGTGTGGTGCTGGTGGTGGTGGGGGGGGGGGAGGGGGATCTAACATAACCCGTGCAAGTAGTGGGACGTGTTGACCTGACGACTGGCGAGTACACTAATTCATGTTCTTAATCTCCGTAATCACAGGTTCAGGTTTGTGTGCACTGATACATGTTTAAAACATCTCAAAGTACAATGTAGCAGCGGTGTCACACTATAGAACAGCCACTAGCATTCCCTCCATGGAGGACAGCGTACCTGAGTCCGTTGAGGAACGCATCTCCAGATGTAACACTCTCTTCACCGGTCAACATCTTGAACGTGCTTGTCTTACCGGCACCGTTCACACCTAGCAGACCAAAGCACTACATGGTGTATACAATACAACACCAACCCAAACACACCCGCCACACCCATGCGTACACCCACCCACACCCATTCGTACACACACGCGCACACAGACACACACAGACACACACACACACACACCAGCAATGCAAGACGCAAGCAAAGTAAGATGAAGACCGATACCAAATCATGCATAGCCTTAACATTAGCAGAAAGGGAGCCACACTGCATTCAGGGAGGCTCATGCCAGCAGCAGCAGCAGCAGCAGCAGAAGCAGCAGCAGCAGTTGCTGATGTTGCTTAAGTAAAATCAAACTAAAACCAAGTGGCGCTTCTAGAGCATCAGTGTTCAGATGCAAATGCAACACTCAAAAGAAGGGAAAGAGTGGGTCAGAAGAAGATTACCTCTCCTTTGGGGACACCCAATGACAGCTTTTTGACGGCGCAGTGGTTCTCCCAGCGTGTGCCGTACACCTGCAATTTGCAAACAACGTCATGTCAAGTCACACAGAGAACAAAATACTTGGAAAACAAATGCAGGTTGAAGTAGAGACTTACAGTGGCTGTGCAACAGAAGTTACATGACCACAACAGTTGCACTTGCAGCACTACCACACAACGCTAGTCACATCAGCATGGCTTTGGACGGATGGTATTACTGCAGACGATACCATTCGTATTGATATGGCATGTTTCGCTACCCAAAGTCCATTCCGTAAAAAAACACTCACTCACTGACTTGTCAGTTTGAGCACTATGGCAAGGTGCGTTCGGTCATGGTTTAAATTTGGCTTTAAAATTTCATTGCAACCGCATTTTACCGGTTATAAGTCGACCTTTTAACGACCTAAAAAGCGACCTAAACGGGGCTAGTCGACTTATAACCGGGGCATAGCTGCCCGTAAACCGGTAAATTGAGACCCTAAGTCTAGAGGTCGACTTATAACCGGGGTCGACTTACAACCGGTAAAATACGGTATCAGGTTCGGCCTCATTTTCTCTGTGCTGTGATTGCAAATGTTTTCAGTTCATAAGAAATAGAAATAGTTCTATTTTGTAAAGAGCCGTTTCGGAGAAAGAAGTTTCAGCAAAGCAATAAATAAAACAATTGAAGCCGACTTAATACCATGATGGACTAATAAAACTGCCTGCGTAAGCGCCACGTTGTTCGTAGTAGTACCGTATTTTACCGGTTGTAAGTCGACCCCGGTTATAGGTCGACCCCCGTATCCGGAGGTCTCAATTCTGCGTTTTAAAGTTTTCACCCAAAGAAGCACTACTAACCCCTCCCTGCTATTAACACATCAACAAATATTGTAAACATTCCTTGTTGGAGGTTTTAACATCCCAATCCTTCAAAAGACCAATAAACTGGAAAAATGTGTACACATAGTGCACTCGTGCATGCAGTTCAGGTTTTTTTTTGTAAGATTCTGATAGTTCCCGGTTATAAGTCGAATCCCGGTTGTAAGTCGACCCCCACCCTTTCTCCTTCTATTTTAAGTCGTAAAAGGTCGACTTACAACCGGAAAAATATGGTACATAATTATAATGTTTCGTTTCTTCACTTCACATACATTTTTATTTTACTAGTCCATCATGGTATGATGTCGGCTTCAATTGTTTTATTCATTGCTTTGCTGAAAGTTCTATTTTGCTTGGAGTTCGTTCGCCATGCTTCACGAATAAGTAGCACATCGTCGATGTCGACGGATGAAGAAGTTTCTTTGTATATATTTTATTCCCGTAGCTATGCAGAAGACGTTACTTCAGTAACGTCTGGCGCTAGCCAGGGTCCACACAGCTTTAATTTGGTATTTGTTTGTGTGTTTGTGTCACGCCTGGCGCTATCCCGTATCTGTCTCGTACCGTACCATCAATCACAGCTGGCCACAAACAACTGGCCACCATATTAAAATAGGGCTTTCAAATGCAAGATCATAACGTGAAGCAACTTCGAAGAATGAGTATGAATGCGAAGTGTATTGGGGAATGCATGTAGGGCGATAGCGCGGGTTCGAATCCCAGGTTATGCCTTAAAAAAAAAGAGGAGAATTGAAAACTTTATAACATCCCGATGCTTTTTTTGCCTAGGTCATCAAGGTGGTAGACGGTGTCGTATTACCTTCGACCGTATCTGTCCCGTACCGTATAGGCCTTGACAGATTATGCTAGCATAATTTTTCGCATAATTCCTACCAAAATCGAATAATCGCATAATTCGAGGCAAATTGCATACGAATCGCATCAAATTGGAATAATCCGCCTGTTCGCATCAAATTCCATACAGTTGTACATGTTCTACAAGTACAAGTACGTCATGTAGATGCACCAGGAAGTCGTAGGTTTACGACTCCCTTGAGAACATGTCCAGTCCACTACAATCAGTGACGGTCGTAGCTAGGTCGGACGGTGCGTTGACCCCGTTGAACTTTTGCTACTACAGTACAACGCCCTCTACAAAAAAAATCCCCTGTTATTTTGCACAGAACCATTATACATTAGCAGCATATGTGAGCATAATGCGGCATAATATGATAACTTTTAGCATAAAAATAGCATAATTCTGCAATTTTTTCAGCAATGCGAAAAGCATAATTTCACGAAAATATTAGCATAATCTGTCAAGGCCTAGTACCGTACCGTACCGTACCATCAAAGACGGCTGGCCACAAACAGGTGGCCACGATATTCAAATAGGGCTTTCAAACGCAAGATCATAACGTGAAGCAACTTGGAAGAATTAGTATGTATGCGAAGTGTATCGGGGGATGCATGCAGGGCGATAGTGCGGGTTCGAATCCCAGGCTATGTCTTGAAAAAATAGGAGAAATGAAAAATTTATAACATCCCTAATTCCCTATGCTTTTTTTGCCTAGGTCATCAAGGCAAAAAGGCATAGCGTAGGGCCCTGAGCTTCCAAGCTCTCTCGTTTCCAGATCCGAAATGACCGTGCACTCTACAGGTTTCGTGGATGAAAACTTCCTTGCCTGTTTCCGTGAAATTACACTAAGCGAGGCATGATCTCGGTACAAAAGCAATGATGCAAAAGCAATGCGACAGAAACGACATGCAAAACAACGGGAAGCTACTGGAAAAAAGAAGATGAAAAAGACTCGGAAAAAACACCACAGAATTCAGAAATGACGGGCCAAAAAAAGGAAACTACACGAGCGGTACGAGGAAACAAGACATGAAAAAGATTCTGGAACCTTTCACTGTACCTCGCACAGTTCTCAAAACAGCGTGAATGCAAAAAGCCTCGTACAAGAGGGTTCCGTTTCCGCTGAAACTTTTCAAGCGTCTTTTTCATGCATCTTTTTCATCTTCACACCCGTCACCGTGGCAATATTCACACGCAACTCACTTGCATGCGGGTTTTCAAGTAGTGTGAGTACAACCTTACACGACCACACTATAACTGATACATGCTGTACTTCGCACTAGAGAAGGAAACGTTCTTACCTGTGTCGTATTGACCCATTTTGTTCTCTCATTCTTAGTTTTTTCTACCTACCGTTCACCTCAAGTCTTGTTCCCTTCCATGAGAAGTCAGTTGTCCCCGACCAAAACTTTACTAATGGCTGATCGCTGTTCTCATCTTTCTACATGTATTTCGCTGGTCAAATAATTTTAAACCACTTTTAGGCAGGGTGTAGCCTTGCACGGACGTAAAACAATAATTTAAAGGATTATTTTATGTGTGTGCAAGGCTGCAAGCTGCATGCTCCACATGAATACACTGCTCGCGCTCATGCTTTAGTGATCTTCATGCAGCCATGTTCGGAATATTCTATGATGCGCATGCTCGAGAGGACGAGTCTTTGATCTGGCCGGATAATCCTCGTGTCATGTGTGCATATTCTTAGCAGCACAGCTCCCTATTTTGTAGCAATTAAAAATGTCTTAGCATCCATAAATTTTAGTAACGAATGTTACGAATCGGTCATCTTGTAAAGGTATTGTTCTGGTGTGGTGACACATGGGCAAACCTGACCTTGAGGAGATTTTGCTTACCAGGCACACAGAAAAGCAAGTAACATACAGGTAGGCCTACTACTCAAAGAATTCTCTAGAGCACTACAAAACTTGCTCCCCATGACAAAACAAAATCAAGAGCTCACAACATTGTCTCTCATCCAATAATAGTAACCAGACCATCAATAAACCTGCTGTACCATCCATAAAAGGGTGGAATAACAAAATGCACATTTTGCCGATGGACACTTCCAGAAGTACCCCGATGGACACTTCCAGAAGTACCGCCAGTCTGTTGGCACCCTTCAAAAAGCCTCTCCATGTCGGGCTAGTGAAGTACAGAAGGGAGGAACCCTGGCCTTGCTGTGTAACACTCAGTGTGCAGTGCATTGAGCCTTCTCTAACTCTGACCATTTCCGTGCTTGAAGTGGGGCTTTGGATACAGTGTGTATTCGACAGGTCCAAGATATTGCTAAGACACAGGCACCCCAGCTACGAGAGGTTTGTAGTATATTGTATTCCTGTAGGCAGGCAGGCAGGCAGCACTACTAACCTTAGTAAAGTCGCTCAAGACAATAGTGTCATCAGCAGCACGGCCAGACATCACACGTCTCCTCTCCCTGGCCACGTCATCATCCACGTCATCATCCACTGCCTCCACAGTACCAGCTGCCTCCTTCACTCCACTGCAATCATATTGACAACAAGCAGAGTACATACAACAGGCACTGAGGAAAACTCAGGTTTTTGCCACGAGCAAGATATCTCCAGAAAGCTACATAGAAGCGCTTCAGCAATTGTTGCAATAGAAAGCTGAGCTCCTAAGTACTTCGATTGTGGAATTTGTCATGATTTGAGTGAGGTATGAATGTTACATGCATGGGGCACCACTATCCCAGGGTTCTTGCCAGGGGGGGGGGGGGGGGGGGGAGGGGGAGGGGGCAGCGCCACCCTACTCTGAGCGCGCCTTACTAATCTTTTGATTTTTGTGTTTTTACAAGTCACACGACAAAAATGCGGCCACATATCGATCGTTTCGGGTGCTCGCTGTGCCTGTGCGGTGTATTTTGTGTGACAACCCCCCCCCCCCCCCTACAATTTTTCCTGGCTAGAGTCCTGCTACCCCTTACATTAATTTTAATATCAGATGCAGCATTTTGCAGGTGAGGTGATAACAGTTAACACGATGGATATGGCAAATGACTCGAAATGAGGGTTGGGATAGAGGGTAGGGATACTTACACAATACGACCGTAGATTGCGGAGAGGAATTTGGTTTCCAGCATGAGTGTGATGAGGAAGAAGAAGACCCCACACAGTGCCATGGCCAGCAAGTTACGGCCAATCTGATCAAGATCAAATCCCCATGGTAACTTGTATGGAATCAGGGTATTTCCAACTGTGCAAGAAACAGGATAATATCACACAGACACATATTATTGGCATCTCTCGGAGCTCCATACACCAATGACTGCGCTGAACAAATGGTGGACTTTCACCCAAACTGATGCATTACCACCATGGAAGATATATTTTAAACAGCTACAGATGCTATCTATTCACCCACAACATGCATACAAATTGATATAAAATATGCAGAAAATGTGCAGAAATGTGACCAAAATAGAACGAATGATACTCAGAAGTAGGACACACTTCAGGCTATTGAACATTTTGAAAGTTTTCACTAGTATACTTTAATGCCTTATCATCAGGTGAAGCAAAATCAAATGAACATGGATACTGGATGATTAAGTACAGCAGAGAGGTGATAGAAACAGCCACGTTCATTTGATTTTGCCTGTATTTCACCTGATGAAAAGACATGAAAGCAGGGCGCGAAATAACGGTCGGACATCGGACAATTTCCGACCGTTTACGGTCAGTTTCCGGATGTTTTGTACACACCCGGACAAAGTGTCCGCGCACTTTTTTGCAAAGTAAAAAAAGAAAAGGCACGTCAATCCTTTGTCTCATAGTACTAGTCATTAGTGATGTCGTCTGGCAAGAGTAAGCCAAGCACCGCTGATGCGGGTGCTCCTCTTGGAAAGAAGCCCAGAGGAGTCAAGACGACCACTTGTGACAAGTGGGTCGCCGAGTATGATAGGGAGCTTTCAACTTCTGTTTGGCTGAGCTATGAGCGCAGTCCCTCAGATCGTAGCGTTGTCGAAAATTTGAAGTGTAAGATGTGTTCCCGTTTTGTTGATAAAATTCGCAGCAGCAAGAATTTTTCTGACTCTTTCGTCGTTGGCTCAAGGAACCTGAAAACGTCAGCCTTCAAAGATAATGCTGCTTCTGAAATGTATCGCCGTGCCATGGCATTGTTTGGCAAGGAGCAGTCAAGCGGAAACCCAATAGAGTATGCGCCAATCGCTCGAGCCTTGTGCAAACTTGACGACGCAGCAGCAGCCAAAGCTTGCAGTGGTAAAACAGTAACTACAACAATTTTAATAATGCTCTTTTCATGTCGTGATAACATTTCGATGGTATTAATTCTACGCTGAACATTCTGTGATTTGATGTGAAAATTTGCATGTCCGGACATGTCCGGCCATTTTTGCAATTGGCAGGACATTGTGTCAGAGCACATTTAAATCCTTAGCGTATGCCCTGTGAAAGTATACTGGTGAAAACTTTCAAAAATGTTCAAGAGCCTGAAGTGTGTCCTACTTCCAAGTGTCATTGCATTCTTGTCTCCAAGGAAATTGCTCCCTTAAAATAAAAGGATTTTGCTGTTCATAAATTGATAATGGCAGATGGCAGATCGTCCCTGTACAGAAGGTGGAGCACACACGTGACCCAGTGGAAACACTTTCACATTCGCACAATACATGTACATACATCATGTACATACCTCCAACTGAATCACTGAGTGTCTTCAAGTAATACTGATAGGTAAGATCCATCAAACCTCGGCCAAGACAATAGTTCGGAAACACCAAGAAGGCAACACGTAGGACATCATTGATAGCTGTCAGTTCCTACAATGCACGAGAGCAACAGAGAAGGTGACACAAGCAAATCTTTGCAGGTCACCAGTTTTCCAAATGTACCGGTACATACTTAGCACAGCACAAACACTCCCCCTGATGGCAAATACACCATACACAGGGTATGCAGTAACGTATTACAACCGGCTTGCTGGCCAGTAAAACCTGCAAACGGGTGCACTTTCCACAGCATGAGTCAAGCAGCCGCAGATTGAGCCCTGCAGCTGTGCAGCCTAGCTTAGATCACCATGCAACTCGCTGTGCAATTCTTGAGTAAGTGGTCAGATCTCATTGGTCAGCACTGCCGCAGTGCGCAAGCAGTAGACTAACCTCATCAGACGGGAAGAGCTGTAAGATGAATGTGGCTAGAGTACCAAACACACCGACCAGGATATTACAGGCAACCAGGAACACATACGCTGTTGATGGCACACTGAACACGTAGGTGGCTGGGTACATGAGCGGAGTGATGGACCAGCTGAAGAGAGGAAGTTACAGCACAAAAGTAAGAGTCAGTAGTACATAACCCCAAGAGTGTGCAACTCCAGCTATGGGGTCTGCGACGGCAGAACTTCACATCACGTGATGAACCCGTACACATTATTTGCACTCTGTGCATGATAGATACAGGGTTGTACACAGCCCAGCTTTGGGTACAACTCTCTTGTGGTCACTTTGCACTGTTTGCCAGCATAACCTTTTGAACCATGTCACGTGATGTGAAGTTCTGCCGTCGCAGCACAGCATAGAGGTTGTGCAGGCAGTTGCACACTCTTGGGGTTATGTACTCTTGATTTTACCTGTAGTGTCACTACGCGCTGGAAACAATGAAAGAACATGTGTTGAAGTGACGGCATCACGAAGCAAGACCTCGATAGAGAAGCTCCAGTTTTTTGACATGAGAGAAACCCCTCCAGGTATATAACATGATAATGAGTGAAACTTATATCGCCAAGAATACCAGGAGATCGCAATGCCTTCCACAAAATAGATAGCCACCAAACCTTACCCATAGAAGATGAAAAGAACCAGAACCGCAGGGAAGATTTCGGCTGACGTGTATACTTCAATGTCGAATATTAGGAAGATGAGGATGCAGACGAATACTGTCACCATGTAGTTGCACTAGTGTAGAGGAGGAGAAGACAGCATGCATAAACACACACACACACACACACACACACACACACACACACACACACACACACACACACATGCACACACACACACACACACACACACACACACACACACACACACACACACACACACACACACACACACACACACACACACACACACACACACACACACACACACACACACACACACACACACACACACACACACACACACACACACACACACACACACACACACACACACACACACACACACACACACACACACACACACACACACACACACACACACACACACACACACACACACACACACACACACACACACACACACACACACACACACACACACACACACACACACACACACACACACACACACACACACACACACACACACACACACACACACACACACACACACACACACACACACACACACACACACACACACACACACACACACACACACACACACACACACACACACACACACACACACACACACACACACACACACACACACACACACACACACACACACACACACACACACACACACACACACACACACACACACACACACACACACACACACACACACACACACACACACACACACACACACACACACACACACACACACACACACAACAATCACAATATGCAACAGCAGTCAGGCCTCACAGTGTCACAGCATTCGTCACTACTGTATTAGTCATACACCAGCAAACATGTCACAGCACTGCTGCAGCTAGCTGTGACAACAGTAGCAGTGAACAGTAGTACCGTAAAGTACCGCCAGAGCGCCCCACCTTGATTTTACAGCCAAGGGAAGAAAATCGTATGGCAGAATGCTACTAAGTTTGTACGATGTGAGAACCTTCGTGTACTAAGGTCACACTTGGTATGCTTTTATGTGAAGCTCGAAGGTAAACTGGGTACGGATTGACTGCACAATGTGCAATGTTTGTACAAGGTCCGTGTCGTATGACCTACAGACAGGAATCCACCTCCACAAGGCGGCCACGAAAGGACGAGATGGTGGGGCGCTCTGGCGGTACTTTACGGTAGTGATACAGAATGGCAAGAACCATTCAAGGTGAAAGCCAGTAAAGGTACGACAAAAAGATCCTGTACCATGCCAGCCGGCAGGCACTAGCAACAACAATGGCAGGCATGGGAGAAGAACCTCACCATTTCCCATACATAAGCAGGTATGAGAGAAGAAACTCACCATATCCCATACATAACTGAGAGAAGAAACTCACCATATCCCATACATAACTGAGAGAAGAAACTCACCATATCCCATACATAACTGGCAGACCAGTAGACAAAGCCACTAACACCAGCCAAGCGTTGTAGATGTTTTGCATTACTAGTGCGCTCCTTGATCAAGAAGAGCACAAATGAGGCTGGTACGAATGACATTGCAAAGATGATGCAGACCGAAATGATCAGATCAACACCACTTTTCCTGGAGGACGCAAACAAAAGCATAAGAGAGGGAACTTATTCGCAAAGGCAAGACACCATGACCAGAAGACAATATATATTATCTTGTGCAGCCTACCTAAGGGTGTGCAGACTCCACTGTAGCCACTTCATGTTTCACACAGTTATACACCACTGCTCAAAAACGGTCTCTTGGCTACAAATTCTTCCAAAAATAATAAAATCCAAATTTTCGGGCCAGGCCCATCTTCAGGAATAATAAATCCTTGTGCAGCCTAGACTGAACAATTTCATTTGAGGCACAAACAAGAAAAGTATGGTCTTCAAAAGCTGACCCGAGGCAATCCTGCAATGTGAGAGCCCCATACTGTGCTTGGGCCAGCTTCACACTACGTGTACTGAAAAACACTGTATCCAGAGAAAAACGGAGGTTCCTCCTTTTTATACCGCATAGCATCCCGTGGCCTTTCATGCGTACAAGTGCTTTTTCGACAAGTTTGATGTGGTACGAATCCTCCTCAGCCGAAAAAACATAAAATGTGCAGTTTATACTTTATAGGCGTGGAGGGCTTGCATTTCTCATCGTACTCTCATTTGCTGTTTGTCGCCTGAACTATGTCGTTTCTATGCGATCTGCACAGGAACTTCACGTTTATGTGGATTTGTGTGCAGTGTGAAGCCGGACTTAGCCCAACATAGGTTAAAGTGAGGCATGTCTCCTACACACACATACTCACGCACACACGCACGCACACATGCATGCACACACGCACACACACACACAGAGTCACACACAGAGTCACACACAGAGTCACACACAGAGTCACACACAGAGTCACACACAGAGTCACACACAGAGTCACACACAGAGTCACACACAGAGTCACACACAGAGTCACACACAGAGTCACACACAGAGTCACACACAGAGTCACACACAGAGTCACACACAGAGTCACACACAGAGTCACACACAGAGTCACACACAGAGTCACACACAGAGTCACACACAGAGTCACACACAGAGTCACACACAGAGTCACACACAGAGTCACACACAGAGTCACACACAGAGTCACACACAGAGTCACACACAGAGTCACACACAGAGTCACACACAGAGTCACACACAGAGTCACACACAGAGTCACACACAGAGTCACACACAGAGTCACACACAGAGTCACACACAGAGTCACACACAGAGTCACACACAGAGTCACACACAGAGTCACACACAGAGTCACACACAGAGTCACACACAGAGTCACACACAGAGTCACACACAGAGTCACACACAGAGTCACACACAGAGTCACACACAGAGTCACACACAGAGTCACACACAGAGTCACACACAGAGTCACACACAGAGTCACACACAGAGTCACACACAGAGTCACACACAGAGTCACACACAGAGTCACACACAGAGTCACACACACACACACACACACACACACACACACACACACACACACACACACACACACACACACACACACACACACACACACACACACACACACACACACACACACACACACACACACACACACACACACACACACACACACACACACACACACACACACACACACACACACACACACACACACACACACACACACACACACACACACACACACACACACACACACACACACACACACACACACACACACACACACACACACACACACACACACACACACACACACACACACACACACACACACACACACACACACACACACACACACACACACACACACACACACACACACACACACACACACACACACACACACACACACACACACACACACACACACACACACACACACACACACACACACACACACACACACACACACACACACACACACACACACCTCAGACCTCAGACCTGCCCATCGCGGAAGCGATGATAGCGAACAGCTATGTTGGACATAGCAACTTGTGCTGGGATTACACCATTCACCAGCTTGCAAGGCTGATGAATTGACCGCCACTATTTTTAGCCTGGTGTCCACCACACAGCTGATTGAAGACACACACACACACACACACACACACACACACACACGGTCACACACACACACACACACACACACACACACACACACACACGGTCACACACACACACACACACGGTCACACACACACACACGGTCACACACACACCACACACATGCACGCACGCACACACCCACACCCACACCCATACATACACACTTCACCACTGCCACTGCCATTGCCATCACCACATGTCCTCAATGAACTTACAGGTAGTCTTGTGTTAGCTGCAGCGAGGTCTTGTTGAATGGCTGATTGTACACACTGATGCCTGAAGAGATGAAGAAAGGCAAAGGCACGCACAAAAGACAATGTATGGCGTCAGCACATAATATTATGTGCACACTGGTGCACATAACAGCCAGCACACTCAAGAAAATCCTCTACCCACAAAGCACCAACGGAGCCACATCAGCTATGGGTACCTACAGTGCACGGCTTATGACTTAACGTAAACAAATGGACACCAGCACAACAATGACAATAATGTGTGTGTGTGTGTGTGTGTGTGTGTGTGTGTGTGTGCGTGCGTGCGCGCGTGTGTATGTGTGTGTGTGTGCGCGCGCGCGCATGTGTGCATGTGTGCAAAATTGATAGGAAACAAAACAGGATCCGTTTCATTGACAAAGAAATATTCATACTCAAATGAAGCAGAGGGTTAGTGGACAACAGGCATGCAATGTGCAGAACTGAATCACATGCGCAGTTTGAAGTTTTCCAGTACCATGAGTAGCATAGCAAGTAATGGCCGTGGAAATAACACATCCACTTACCATATTTATTGGGATCAATGGATGGATCGAGTGAGCTACGGAGAATAGCATTGTTCAGCACATTCAAGTAGATCGGATACGTGTGGTAGCCTTTGGTATTGATCCAAGCCTACAGTACAACAGAGTCAGTACATTGAACAATAACTGCTACATGGACATTGTCCCAGTGCATGCTGTATTGAAACCAGCATGAAAGTCAGCTCGAAAATTTCTCCTCAACATGACGCACATGACCCAATGACAATAACCGAAGGAGAGAACCTACTTCTTGGCAGTCAAGATCCAAGGCAGCGTGGTACTCCAGGCAAACATACTTTGATGTGCAACTAGACGGCTAAGCTACTAACAGTTAGAATCTATCAGTTGAATGCACAGAGTATCTGCATAGAACATAGACAGTTCTTGAAAACATGCTTCAGTACTATTTACCCGTGCTGCCTTCCTTCTTGAGAGGCGATTCAGGAAGCGGTAGGAGGATGCATTGTGTGACGAGGTGGTTAGATATTCAGATCCAGCTGAGAGGGCTCCCCACCTGCAAGCATACGATTGTCAATCAACAAGCAAACACAACGAACGATTAGATTAAGAAAGTCTGCAACATGCAAGCACTAGCAATAAGTCACCTGGCACGCACATTTCTCATGTTCCAATATCCGTAGACCATTCCTACAGGTGTGCAACGCTACAGTATGTCCACTGCATGTCGTTGATGTGAAGGGTTTAGGCGGTAGTGCTACTGCTGCTCATGTCAATGATGAAAAGATTTTTTAAACGAGCCGTAGAATGAAACATGTACCTTTGCCTGCGGAAGAAGAGAGTAGTATCAGTAATCCATGCATCCAGGTTAGATGGGGAGATGTCCTGTAGTGTGGTACCACCAAATGTATCAGCTTCGGTGATGTTCCGTGGCAAGTCCTTCTCACACCAGTTCGGGTAGAGTGAGCAGGCATAGCTATAGCGACACTCTGCCTTGCCGGTGTTCGAATCCTCGTCAAACGAGGCTGGGTATGATGTAGTCCTATTGAACCTGGTTAAGCACAGAGTTGCACACATTTACACGTTTAGTCCTGCAAAACGGCCAGCAGTGCAATGATTGACTCTACATGTACATGCACCCTAAAGTACCATTGATTTGCTCCCTGGAGAGGGGGGATAACATATTCGTGAAAATTGCGGAGAGGCACTAACTTTGGCCTCAGTGGCTGTGGGTGAGAAGCAGTCTGGTGCTAGATTGGCTCCCGGAGGTTCCTCTGCAGAGGTTCATTTACCTCAGGATGGATGAAAGCCAACCAGCAGCACCCAGGCCAGCACAACTGTGCGACTACTGTGGAGAGCAGCACCCACCTGGCAAGCAATTCTGTCCTGCTGCCAGGCCAAATTGCAGAAACTGTAACAAGAATGGACACTTAACAGGACTTTACCGCACTCGGCTTTTGGCCTCAGTTTGTATTTGGTGTATATTTTGTATAAACACTCCGGCTCAGGGTCTACCCCATACATACCAGGCCTGAATTGAAGCCTGGTCAGTGGTCACCCTATCAGTGTGTACAGGAACAAGTCTGGCTTCTACAGGTAAACTGGTTTTTTACAGGCACAACAAATAGCTTACTGTAAGGTAGCGCCCCAATAGGCAGGTCGATAGCTAGTTCCGTAGCCTGTGTACGCTGGATAGCTGTAGCATTCACTGATGTTCAGATTCAGATGGAAGTGTTCAGTGCTGATACCACATGGGTGCTTCATACTGGATATGATACGAGAGGACTGTTCTTGCCTATCAACACATGGAGAGAATGCAACACAGCAATACATAGTTGGAGTATAAAAGTGCACAACAGCAGTGCATGGCGCACAGGATGAGAAAACACCACGTTCAAAGCTTCATTGATAAACACAACAACACCATGAGACCTACCAGTAGCTGTTTCCAAACACAGGCTGGGGTATGCCAAGTCGGGTTTTTAAAACTCTTTCAATGCTGATGACGAGATATCTTGCCCTTCCAGGGGACATATTTCGGCCACAGTGCGCATGTTCGGGTTTTCAAACAAAGCGCTTGGATCTCAGTTTTGCAGCGCAGGTTGATTCTGAGGATCGGTTGGATTTGAGTGAGGCGAACAAAAATATGATTCTGCGGCATGATCAGGAAGCTTTGAGAGGACATGGAGGTGGCCTTGGCATGCCAATGGTGCTGAGAGCCACTGAAGTGTCTTCGCTTGGCTCAGACCTTCCCAACAAATCATAGATCGTGGAATCCATCAAGGTATCAAGGTAGCGTGTTATGTTAAGATGGCGACAGATCTTGCTCGGTGCTGTGCATGCAGAATTTGACAGAGAGTAAGTGTGCTGAAAGCCTAGCTGTCCAGGAAACCTAGCCCGGCAGTGAAAGGGTTATTGCAAGGATATGTCACATCGATTCTCAACACAGGATGTACATTACTTACGATGTGTCATAGTTCCTGAACGGTGTCAGCTTCGGGTATGGATAGGTGGATGGGACAAGAAGGAGACTGGGCATGTTGCCAGTTTTGCGTGCCAGCAACTTGACGACCATAGCCAATGCTACAAACACTGCTGGAATAATCACCTAGAGATGAGAGAGAGAGAGAGAGAAAGAGAATGACACACACACACACACACACACACACACGCGCATACACGCACGTGCACACACACACACACACACACACACGCACGCACGCACGCACACACACACACCTATGAATGCAATAAGAGACTATACTAAAGCAGGGACAGTAAACCTGTGTTAAAGCGACCACTGCAACAAGAAACCACCTGTAAATAAAGGTTGTATTTCTCCGCAACATGGGGTAGCTGTTGAATGCAGGTTTGACTGTATGAATAACATAGGAAGGTAATCAAGCTGAACAATTGCTTGTTATTTGTAATGTTCTCTCGACGTCCTAAGTACGTGTCGAGAGTACACCAAATAACTAACTCAACACGGTCTCGTTGTGAGGCAAAGAACCCTTTCAATTATCAGTGCAAGAACACAAAATAGTAGTGCAACAATTATCAGTGCAAGAACACAAAATAGTAGTGCAAGAAACATAATACAGCAGGACAGTCGCGGGTACTCCATATCGGGATCTAGTAGAGTACTTGAGGGTACGCTACAGTGCATGACACATCTAGATCTGGGATGAATCATCAAAGGGATACCGTAATGGATAGTCTAGATGTATAAAGAGAAGAGTCTTCATGACCATCATCCTAATGATGGTCATGAAGACCGAAACGTTGAAACGATACCTCTAATGGATGTGTGTGAAATGCAGTGCTCTCTTGAGTGTAGGCAGGTTGCCTGCAAACTATTCAAGTGTAATGAAGCTGCGTGAAGCGTCCTTCAAAATTTTGAAATAATAAATGTAAAGAGGAAAAGAACAAAATGAGTTATGACCCAAGCGGGATTCACAGAAGCATTTTTGCGATGCGCAATGCGACGCCCACAAACTGGGAAATCCCCAAATTGCATCCATCTCGCAGCTCATGTAACTGAATCTGCCATCTTGCCAAAGAGGGAAAGAACGAAAAAGCACGAGCCTGCAAAAAAGATTGATCCAAAATGGAGTCTCACGAAAATCGTTTTTTATTAGTTTATTTTAAAAAGAATAGAAACTTCGCCCTCGTGTTTGGGAGAAATAAAAACCCTCGTCAATTAACCTCGGCTTCGCCTCGATTTTTTTATTTTTCGTAAACACTCGGGCTCAGTTATTATTCTATAATTAATACTGATACTGACATTTTCGGTGCGTTTTATTTTAGGTAAAAATTGTCGGCACCGAAGTCACCGAAAATAAAACACCACCGAAAATGTCTGCTTTTACAGTAACCCAGTTCCCTCAACACAATCCAACAAGAAAAGCTTAATACATGTACATGCATTTTAGCATACTAGTAACAGTCAGTACAAACCTGCGCTAGAAAGCCCTTGCGGTTGCGCCGTGAGTGGTGGAAGCGCTTCATGAACAGTGCACGGAACTGCTGCAGTAGGATGCGGATACCAGTGACTTGATAAGATCCACTACCGCCAGCAGTGAGATCTGCCGGTTTGACAATGCCATCGGTGTCCTCTACACCTTCCTCAGCAGGTTCCTCTTGGTTATCCATGAGAGGGGCTTCTGTGCAAGACAGAGTTACACCAAAACAGTAGTGCGGTGGTATTGAGAGTATCTCCACGGTCCATATTTGCACGGCATGCTTATACACAGTCACACACAGTCACACACAGCTGCAATCACCCACAGGCAGTGATACAGGCAATAACGCACTCAATGACACAATGAATAGGCGACGAGGAGGCACAAGTAGTTACAGGCCGTAATAAGTGATTAGCACGGCAGGCGAATCAGCAGGTGTTCTGACAGGTACAACACTCCAACGTTTCACACATAAAAGTCGGGCGTAGCCCAACTTCAAGTGAGTTGGTGACCATGGGGACAGGCGAGGATTCAAAGGCTTGAAGGTCCGAAGAGAGAAACATTTTTGTATGACCTTTTCTCTACAAACTACAACTACTTCGTACGAGTTTGTCGTGTATTTAAGTATTTTATCGGATGCTGACTGAACATGCCAAATGGCAACCATCAGATCCAATCTCCAGCAAACTAGTGAGTGAGTTGCCGGGTGACTGCAGCCACTTTCTCCGAGTGAGAATCAAGTTTCACGGAGCTTCCTATCCAGCTGCATTCTGTGAAAAAGTCAGCTTCCCCATTTTCAACTTATTGGCAAGAACATGCAAAAGAGTGACACAAGCAAAACAAGACAAGCCGACCTCCAAACTGAACACATCAAAACACACAAGCTTGGAAAGCACAAAAAGAACTATTTCCTTGTGCAACATGTTCTTCACTGGACTTTCAGGAGCTTAACGCGGGCAAAAAGCTCGCGTGCATGTTTGGATTCCTGCGTGCAAATCCTGCTTGTTCGTAGGCAGATTTCCATGGAAACAGGTCTCAAACGTGAGAATGCCCATTGTGTGAATCGCCTGTAACACGGCTAGTTACAAATCCCACTCGACTCATAAAGCTTGCAAAAGGGTGTCACCCTGAAGAGACTAATAGTAGCTCTATGACACGCGTAGATACACTTGCACACTGCACAGAAAAGACAATGACGAACCTTGGTCATCTGTCATCAGGGGCTGATCGCTGGATATTGGCGAGGCACGATTAGCGACTCCATGCACTGAACCACTACTTGCACGAGTTAGTCTTCGTCTTGCAGCTACAGTAGCAGCAGTAGTGGCATATAGGAAACGGATACACAAACGTCATGATAGCAGATAATATAAGAGACAATATAAAGGACCATGCACACATGTACAGCACAGTACTTGCCCAGTACAACACATCTATTATGCTACAAATTCAATACAAATCAACTACAAGCATACATTGCAACCTTGCACAACAGAGAGACAATAGAGACATGCATGTACCATGTGTACTAAACTAAAGTCTATGATCATGAGGGGACCTCGTTGAATCTCAGTGTGAGGACAGCGGGAGTGAAAACACTGATGACTCTGATTTTCCATGCTGGCCATGGTTCCCCAAATGGAATGATAGCAACCCTGGTGATAGTGTGAGTGCGAGTGTGAGTCATCATTTGATCATGTAAGTTACTTACAAGCAAAGAAACCACCAGTATCAGCCAGGTCTACAGACACAGAGCACAGCACAGGCACAACACACCAGTACTATTAGAGACTATTACTACAAGTAGGACATAAGCAACCAAACTCACCGTGAGCCGAACTTAAAAGATTATATTCGTGACATATGCTCTTGCAAACACCCCGCCCTACCCAACGACAACTAGCCTATTGAGTGTTTCCTGTGTTCCTGTTTTACGGCTGCCACAATTCCTCAATTTCCTACAAAAATACATGCACATGTACATGTCTTCAGGCCCTTCACGCAGACACCATGCCATGCTACTAAGATGTTTAGAATAGCCGCTGATCCACAATATGTACGTGAGTAACGTAACACAAGGAAACAAAAGAAGCAGAAGCAGCCACCACTGAGACGCTGAAGTCGTGAAGATCACCAATCAACGGTAAGCTTCCAGCTAGTGTTGAGCCAAGTCCTGGATGCTGTTTGCTCTGCAATTATCTCCCTCTCCACCACGCTCAAAGTCAGATTTCTCGACTGTTTGTCTTTTATTCTTGCTGTGTAGTAGAGCGAAGGCATCATCAAGCAAACTTACTATCTTTCACAAAGAGCAGCAAACTGCACTTCAACTTTTACTCCTCTGCTACTACTAATATACGGTGTATGTGCGCTTGGAACACATGAAAGAAACTTCACTTCTTTTCCACAACCGTCAACGCAAACACCGGACAGCCAGAACTACAAAACGGTGTGGAACAAACTGCTATGTCAAACATGTTTTTTTTCTTGTGCAGACCATGGTACTGCTGCTAAAGAAGACTTGTGGAGCACGATACATAACCACAGCATGTCCTGACACTGCACAACTGCAGGCAGGTACAGTAGTGACAGTAGTTTGGTTTCAGATTTTGAAAACATGTACCTATGTGTAAATGAAAACGGGGAATATCGTAGAATTGTTAAAGCGTGTGTCCGGCAGACACGCACGTGCGATCAGCGGACAGTGTACCATAGTCTTTGTCGAACAAATATCGAAATATTAGAGGGGGGGGGGGGGGTGCTTTGGCACACAAAGCACCCCCCCCCCCCCCCAACCTATGCCCCCTGTGTTAGGACAACACATAGAGGAAAAGAGAGAGGAACGGAGTCAAGGAGAAAAGAAAAACAAGCATCAGGAAGAGACAAACAGAGACAATACTTGCCATTGTTTACGGAGCCATCATCCGACACCTTCAGGAAAACCTACATGAATAAAGCCAAATTACAAAAAAAGAAGAGTTGTTTGCGTCCTGTCACATTCACTGAAGAGCAGTTACGCCACATTCACGGAAATAAGAGAGTGCCAATCGAGTCCCCTAGTCCAAAAGTTTGTCCGTGCTCGTATACGACTTAAATACTCGGTAAAAGACAGCTACGCACAAAACACATAACCTTTTTAAATTAACTTGTATTGTGCCAACACTGGCCAACACTGGCCAACACTGGCCAACACTCAGATATGCACTGCTTCTTCACACAGTTGAACAATTCTTCTTTCTTCTCAACGTTTCGGTCACGCTGACCATCTTCAGGGTGAAATAGACACGGAAGCAAGGCAGACTTTAAAATAACAAGCTGGCTAGGTGGGTGCGGAATACAGCAGGGAAAAACAAAACAAAAAAACAACTCCCAAGCGAAAAATGACACATGCCACATGATCACAATAGGGGTGATAGTCCTCACATCATGTGAGAGACTAGGGTGGTGACATGTACAATTTGTGGAATACGGCAGGGGGTGGGGGGTGGGAACACTCTCAAACGAAAAAACGGCAACAGCCACATGATTACAATAGTGTTGACAGTCCTCACATAGTGTTAAAGTCTAGGGTGGTGTAGGGTGGTAGGGTGGTGTAGGGTGGTGATATGTACAATTTGTGGGTGCAAAGGTTTCACACGGATAGCTATCACTCCAATGAAAAGCCAGGCAACCACAGTTCACAGGAGATCCCAGCCACTGCTGGTGTTAATATTAGGCTCCATGTCCCGGATCTTGACCTTTTTAAATTGCAGCAAGTAAAATCTATCCGATATTATAGTTTCTATTGGCTGCCCAGTTGAGTTGCAAGCGTAAAGCATGCATAAACGAGAGAGCTTGGAAGCTCAGGGCCCTACGCTATGCTTTTTTGCCTTGATGACCTAGACAACAAAAAGCATAGGGATGTTATATATTCTCTAAAAAATTCCTTTTTTTTAAGACATAACCTGGGATTCGAACCCGCAGTATCGCGCGCCCTGCATGCATCCCCCGAAACACTTCGCATACATACTAATTCTTCCAAGTTGCTTCACGTTATGATCTTGCATTTGAAAGCCCTATTTAAATATGCATTGTGGCCAGCCGTCTTTGATGGTACGGTACGGGATAGGTACGGGACAGGTACGATCGAGGGTAATACGACACCGTCTACCGCCTTGATGACGGCAAAAAAAGCATAGGAATGTTATACATTTTTCAATTCTCCTATTTTTTCAGGCATATCCTGGGATTCGAACCCGCACTATCGCCCTACATGCACTTCGCATTCATACCCATTCTTCCAAGTTGCTTCACGTTATGATCTTGCGTTTGAAAGCCCTATTTGAATATTGCGGCCAGCTCTATGTGGCCAGCTGTGTTTGATGGTACGGTACGGTACGGGACAGATACGGGATAGCGCCAGGCGTGACACAAACAAACAAACACACAAATACCAAACGAGAGAGCTTGGAAGCTCAGGGCCCTGCGCTATGCTTTGTTGCCTAGCTCATCGTGGATGTTGTTAGAACTGATGGAAATGCCTTTTCCTTTGATTAGCTACATCATTGTATTGCAAAAACGTTTCAATGAGATACTGAAGTACAAGTAACGTCTTCTGCATAGCTATGGGACCGGCGCTGACTCTGCCGATCACGGGCGTTCTGGAGTCGACGGGATGTCTGTCCTGACGTTTCCTGGGACTGGCGCTGACTCTGCCGATAACAGGCGTTCTTCTTCTTCTTATTATTATACTGACGGCAACTAACATCCATTCTGATTGCATTTACTCGTCTCCCTACTTCGTATTTTTTTGCAGAAAATCTCCCCATACAGCAGGGAGTCGTTTACATAATATGACTCCCTGCTATAGATCTACATGACTGTATATACGTTATAATTATTATGCTATCGGCCTACATGCGATTCCCGGGCTGGTCGACAGGCGGCCCAGCCAGCCTGCTAGTGGGATCTCGGCCTCGCACACAAATCCACACAAAATGTTACTGCACTGAATGCATTCCCCCGATACACTTCGCATATATACTCATTCTCTTGATGGTACCGTACTCTTGATGGTACGGGACAGGTACGGGATAGCACCAGGCATGTCGATGGCACAAACAAACAAAAATATTGTGGCCAGCTGTCTTTGCTGGTACGGTACAGTACGGGACAGATACGGGATAGCGCCAGGCGTGACACAAACAAACAAACAAACAAACACCAAATTAAAGCTGTGTGGACCCTGGCTAGCGCCAGACGTTACTGAAGTAACGTCTTCTGCATAGCTACAGGAATTAAAGCTGTGTGGACCCTGGCTAGCGCCAGACGTTACTGAAGCAACGTCTTCTGCATAGCTACGGGAATAAAACTGCGTTTATTATAAAAACACGGATTTCAAAGCGGATAGACATGCCATATCGGTGGTCATGTTACCTCTTCAAGGGTGGTGTCAGAGACACCATACGATGCAATACCAAGCTCATTCAAGTGCGCATCCAGGTAAGTAAAGAGGCGTGTAAAGCTGCCATCATGAGCTCCACTGGCTGGTAAGTTGAACATCAACTCAGCACCAATGTCCTCTACCATGTTCACTTCACCAACAAACGACTTCAACACACCAGTCACCACTGATGCCTGACACTCTCCAGTGCCACGAGGAATGGCTTCTACATAGGAGTATGCACGCATGCACACACGCACGCACGCACGCACACACGCATGCACACACACACACACGCACGCACGCACGCACACACACACACTTGAGATCTTACTTGTGCAAATCAACAAAAGTGGATGAAACCTACAGTAAAACTCCCCTAATCCAGGGGCACTACTGACTGAAAGAAAAAAGATCTCTAAATTGATACCTCCACCTCCACAACAAAAACTAGGCTTCTACAGCTTCAAGCTGAATTTTGGCAATTAAGACCGTTTCTTCGCCAGTACCAAATCACAGATTCTAGGAATTACTTCCTCATCCTTTTCGAAATCACAAACTCCTGCCAACACTCGAAAAGAAAGCACAGTCTACATTGTAAACATGTGCCTACGAGTGTGAGTGACCTGCAGTCCTGCACGTGAAGCACAAATTAGTGCTACACTCCATGTATTGCTACATTGTACATGCACATGACAACCGTTCGTGACCGCAAAACGCAAAGGTTTCATAACTGCCTACATGTAGTGTTCTCGTAATCACGCCTTTTCTTAACTGCTAACATGACAATAACACCCTGCGTGTATCTAATAGTACTCATTTTGTTTTCCCTGGCTGCGCTGTTCAACACTGCTACAAGTATCTCAGATCATTGAAATGGAGTAGGACATGTGCAGCAGGATGAGTCATCAAACTCCAGAATGAAATAGCCCAAGGTCAAGAGGTGCTACAAGCAGTCAGGCCCCGTTTGCACAAACTCGACAGCGGTGAAAAAGTTTTGAATGGTTTCAAAACTGCACTGATAGGCCTATCATTTACACAGAGACAGCAAAAAATATCTTTCCATCCTGTTCGTGTAGACACTGAAAATGGACTGAATTCGCTGCAAAGTGTATCACATCATCTCCGTGTAAACGGGGCTTCGTGCAACTACCACAATAACAACCACAAATCGATTCCAATGAATTAGTCGCAAGTAAGATGATGGCTGAAGGGTTTGTCAGGTGATGTATGAAGATCAGATTGCAGTGGGCCGGGCACAAAAATCTGTATTGCAGTGCGATAGGACAAATCAAATTGGACTTTTATTGGCTCACAGCTGTACTACATACCGGCAGCAGCAGCAGCATCTGCTATATCCTTTGCACCATTAGCTTGGGGTACGTCTGATAGAGATGCCATGGAGCCAACACCTTCGTCTTCAACACCTGTCCATCCTAAACAGGGGACAAAGAAAGGTTGTACTGGCACTTTTAAAAGTTCTGCACCGTAAGTCCATAACAATATGCTGCTCTATGGCATGGAAACTGCAAATATGTCGCAGAGCGAGGACATACCTCTCTGGTTTGCAGCATGACCATTATCACCATTGGCACGCTGAGGTGGAGGTGACGCACTGCCAGCTGAACTCTACAGTCAACAACAATGCACATAAAGTAGATGACGATCAGTCCAGAGTTAAGTCTCAGACCTACAGCAGCAACAACAGCCTATGCAGTCTTATGAATGACACAGGTACATTGCACTTCAGCCTTCTGTCACAGACGTTAGGCAATATTAGTACATTCAGCTATGGGTTAGAATTTACTACAGTAACAACACATTTTACAAGTGATGCACGCACACTCCATGGACGAAGGAATGAAGGGGAGAAATGATAATGTGATAACAAATGACAGAACACAAGCAGCATAAGCACAGTTGAGCCACAGTGCATATTCAGTGCATATTCAGTGCACATTCAGTGCATATGCAGCATCCAGGACTGGTGTGACCCTTGATGCCATGGATACTTGGGATGTCATATGAATGCTGCTGGGCACGTGTATATTCTTTCAGGCTATATCCAAGTACATGTACTGCATTCAGAAAGTGTGCATGAAGCGCATAGAGATGAGTGCAGTCAGGTGCTAGCGTTGCACGCTGGGTTGTTTTTCACTGAGCACAACTATAGATAGAGTGGCTCAGAGCGTAAACGATAACAATGTTGAACAAGTAGAGGACAGGTCAGGTAGACTCACCCCTGACAAAAGACACTGCAAATCTAAACCAGCTTTGTTATAGAACTTGTGCGGATTCACAGTGTCCTTTAGAACAGTAGACCCACCTGTCTTACTTAAAGGGGAACTACACCCAAAAATCAAAACTTCATGGTCCGTAGAGTTTTGGACGCTGAGTCGAATGGTGAAGGTCCCACTTCGATCCGATCCGACCAAGCGTATATTATTATATCAGTTTGAAATTGTCCTTTTCGGGTCCGTGCCGTGACGTCACAAATCCGTGACGTCATTGAGACTTGGTGATCCTTTGGCCAGATCCAGAAACACTGGGATTTCGCATCTTCTTTCAGTTTGTCCATGAAAGAAGAGGGTATTTGCTGTCATCATGGCTTCTGGCTGTGTTGTTGGCTACTATAATCTTACTGGCAACCCCCCTGGGATGAACCTGCACCAATTTCCGAAGGATTGTGCTCGGCACAGGCCGAGCAGTGCACCATAGCAGCTATCAAGCGACATAATTATTTGCTTGACAATTTCGGGACTACAATGTAAATCCTTCGCGTGTGTTCCAGCCATTTGGCAGAGGAGGATTTTCAGGAGGAATATTATGCACTCATCCGATGCGGACGCTGGTGGATGAAACTGTGGTGTCCCTTTTTCGCACGCCACACTGTGAAGCGTCAGTCGAAAAGCGGAGGTGAGTGCAATATTTCAAAAACACTAGCTACTGTATGTAGTTCTTTCTTTTCCAAAGCATTTGTAGAATTGTTTTGGACTACATCACTACGAAATGTGAAGCTTTCCGAAACCGGCCTGATGACAGGTGGGCGGCAGTAGATCTACTGTTTCCCTAGGCTATACTGCGTGCGATCGATGAACCTGTCTGCGATTGCTGTTCTTGATTTTACAGGAAGAAGATCAAGAGCGGCTGTACCATCGGTCGCTGTGACTCACTGTTGAGCTACGACCACTGCCACCGCCCAAAGGTTATAGGAAGGACTGTTTGCAGCGCCAGCGCCTCTAGCTAGCATGTTTTTTCCTGTATGAACAGACAGTATGTACTGCTGATAAGCTACAGCACGCAATGACCTGCAGTTCAAGGAGAGAAGATAGTCCACATACCGGCACCAGTGTAGACCTATTCAGGAACTCGTTGCGTTTTCTCAGTATGGATGCAGATGAGAGCCAGACATTATTACTATTGTGTGTGTGCGTGCACGCGCGCACCCATGCGTGAGTGTGCGCGCACGTGAGTGTGTTTGCGCGCACACGCGTGAGAGACAGACATTATTATTATTGTGTGTGCGCGCACGCGCGTGAGTGTGTGCGCTCACTTCCGTGAGTGTGTGTGTGCGCGCGCGCGCATGAATGTGTGTACGCGCGCAGGCGCACACATGTGTGTGCTTTCGTGTAACGTAATTATAACATTTCAAAGATATTCACGTCATCTATTCTGTGTTCTCCTTTATGTCATTCTCTCCCCCTTGCGGGAGGGACATGGAATGACAAGTAGTAGATGCATTGCCGTTAGTGATCCTGAGGGATGTGTGCGTGTGCAACCAAGTGCATGAGTGCGTACATGTGTGCGTGCACGAGCATGTGCACAGGTACTTGTATGCTTATGCACTCGTGTGCGCACGCGCTTGTGAAATTGCGTGTCTGCGTGCGTGAGCATGTGTGACTACTATACTATGTGCCCACCAAGGTGAGCACATGTGCGTGCGTGTGTGTGGGGCGCAGGCGGATATGTGCACACATTTTAGAATGATAATCAAGAAGGACAGAGAGCTGTGAAGGTAATGCAGTCATGAGACACCACAGTAGGGCAAAACGCACTCAATATGCTACTGTGCTGTTGCTGCTAGAGTGCACAGCGTTGGTACACAGCTACGTGAAATGCAAGAGAACGTCTCAGCATTCTGTAAAGACTAAGTGATAATGCAAAAGGTGAGAATGTATTTCGCCACAATACGAATTGAGGTGCAGTCCACTTATGTGAGATAAAGCACAAGTGAACCGATACACATTGCACGACTTGCACGGAGATAATGCTAGCCATGTTACGCAGCAAACTCCATGTACAGGAGTACGAGTGAGGAGACTATTGATCTGAGTACTGTGCGAATACAAAATTTCACACAATTTACGATATGAAGAGAACGATTCGATTTGTGAACATTACGTAGGACTATACTGTGAAAACACTTACGGATTGTCAGGCTTGTCTGAGCTGCTTTGGTCTGCCGCTTCATTTCGAAATAGCCCAGCCAACCGGTCGCCAGATGTTGCTGATGGAGAGCGACTTCTCCAATTGCAGTCATTTCTGCTTCATCCACATTTACAGCCCGAATGGAAGCCACCGCTTGCGCTGCCATATCCTTTCCTGAAAATTTCGGCTCATGCCCGAAGCCAAACATTTTCAGCCCAGTCTCTGAGCTTTCAAGCTCGTCTGATAGGTCGGAATCGCTCATGGTGAGGAACTATTCCTTTCACATACCAAAATACTTGTACTTCTGAGCTTGGCCCAAGCAGGCTAGTCTCAATGACGTAGAAGGGCGTTTGGGGGGGGGGGGGGGGGGGGGGGGGTGTCGCGGCCGCATGACGTCATGGCGCGTCCCCCGAAAGTACAATTTAAACCGAAGATATCTCAGGAACGCTTGGTCGGATCGAAGTGGGACCTTCACCATTCGACTCAGCGTCCAAAACTCTACAGACCATGAAGTTTTGATTTTTGGTGTAGTTCCCCTTTAAATGAAATTGCAACAAGCCTCAAAACTTCTATGGTGAACAAGGTTGCAAATGAATCACAACAACTCACTCCATCCGTGACTTTCTTGACCATGGTGAGTGTATAGCCTTCTCCATACTGGCCCTTCAAGAATAGAGATGAGCCGACACAGCGCAACTTGCCGTTAGAGATGATTGCAATGCGGTCACCAAGAATGTCTGCTTCATCCATGTGATGTGTTGACAAGATAATAGTACGACCTGAAGTGTCCACATTGTACACATACAAACAAACACATCGAACACACACATATCCACAACAGATTACAACACAAGCACAACCAATACACTACCAGTACACAGCAAGACTCAAATTCAGCTAATACACAAGCCCATTGGATACAAACCTGAATAATGAGGAGAGCTAAAACACAAGGAACCTCAGAAGAATGTAAAACAACCCCCACCAAACGGACACTCCTGGCAAAAGTGCATCGTGCTAAAGACGGTGTTGCATGTGCAGACGATCCAATCAAATGTGTATTCATCACAGAGTTCTCGAAAGAAATATGATGCGTGCAGCGCTTTCCCAGGGGACATCATTTCAAAAGGACAAGATTGATATGAAGAGGGAACAGCTTTACCTTTGTTGCGATAGCGCACAAGCATGTCCCAAATAGCACGTCGTGAGTAAGGGTCAACACCAGCAGTGGGCTCATCCAAAATGACTGTGCTCGAGTCCCCGACAAAGGCAATAGCAACAGAGAGCTTGCGCTTCATGCCACCCGAGAGATTCCTTGCAAGGCAATCACGCTTGTTAGACAGGCCGACTTCTGCCAGCCAGCTGCATACAACCATAGAGCGGTAAAGGAAAACACAACATGCAAAACACTGGCTGGCATGTACATTAGTTATGCTGATAACAGCCAGAACACCTGGAAGAGTTCTCAGGAGGAAGTACACATGCTCATGCGTAATTGCTATGGACTGCGAGTAACTTACATCTTTTCGCCAAGTACCAATTAGCAAGTGGACAGATAAGAACTTACTCTGACATCTTCTGCTGGCATTCGGCTCTGGAAACGCCCTTGACCTGCGCGTAGAATTCAAGATGCTCCGCCACTGTCATCCTGAAAGAAAAAAGGACGAGAAAATCCAAATCATAGGTTGGCAAAATGCTCAGTAAGAGAGAGAATGAAAAAGAAGTACTAAGCGAAGACCAAGCGACACTAGATCTCCCTACATAAGGTACTTCATGTCACATAAAAAATGGATATACTAGTATCCCTTTCCAGGTGTTAAATCTTTTGAGCACAAAGGACATAATAACAATATCATTCAAAATGCTGTTGTCCCGCGGAGTACGATTAGGTCCCGATATAATGCCCCCCCCCCCTCCCCCGATTTTATTACTACATCCAATGCATCGCTAAGTTATAAGCGATATTACATGCGTAAGTACAATGTGCTCGTACACGGAGCGCAACATGGTCACATGTGTAGATGTGTGCATGCAAAAAGACACAGTCCCGCGCATGTACTGACGACACGTTATGCCTTTCAGGTGCACATGCCAAACACATGTACACAACAACCACAATTACCCATACTAGGGCCATAGCCACACTGGACCGCCCTAACACGGAGAGGAAAGAGAGGAAGTGCTTAACAGCTCACTGCCTAATATCACTAACTTTGATGCATCTTGCAGCTTCACCTGCAGGAAAGTAGTTGGGTGGACACGCCCATTCCCAAAGCACTGCAAAGGACCGAACCAATTCTTTTACGTAAACTAGGAAACTACTTTCTAAAAATGCATATTGTTTTTTTTAATGGTTTAATCCGATATCACTATAGTCGATGTAGTATACACTCTATAGCCGACACCAAGGGTACATAACCCCCAAGAGTGTGCAACTGCCTGCACAGCCTCTATGCTGGGCTGCGACGGCAGAACTTCACATCACGTGATATAGTTCAAAAGGTTACGCTGGCAAACAGTGCAAAGTGACCACAAGAGAGTTGAACCCTAAGCTGGGTTGCGTACAACCCTGTATCTATCATGCACAGAGTGCAAAAAATGTGTACGGGTTCATCACGTGATGTGAAGTTCTGCCGTCGCAGACCCCATAGCTGGAGTTGCACACTGTTGGGGGTTATGTAGTCTTGGCGACACAGACTGCACAAGGGAGTCAACATGCTCAGCAATACTACCAAGTACTATACCTGTCAAACAGTACGTTGTGCTGCGGGCAAATGCCCATGTTACGGCGAATATCATTGATTTCCGTACGAATGTCATGTCCGTACACGTACGCAGTGCCAGACGTCGGTGGGTACATGCCCGTCAGGACAGACCTGGCAGCAGCACATTCAACACAAGGCAAAAAACCATGAGTTGAGCAATCTCAACAAAATAGAAGCACACGTGATGCACTTGAAGTAGTCATGCACTAATTTCTATCGACCACACGACAGAACATACATGTACATTGTTGGGCCTGACAATAGGTTGTTGAAGTGCCTACGTCACGCTGCCTGAAAACTCGTAGTTACACGTAGTTACAAGGCCAAATGGTGACAAACAATAGTCGCGTCACCTGCAATTGTCGTGTTTCCAACGGTCACGGGATCACTTTGACTGGGGCGCGCTGGTGCAAGATCGCGACTTAAAATTTTGTTTTACTTCAAGCAGTTTCTCCTTCGCTCTCAAGCCATCGTGCAGTGTTTTCCTGCTGAGTGTTCACCAGCACCTGAGAGATAGGAGTTCTGATTTTCGCTTGCTGCTGGACAAGGAAACGAGCTCAGAGTTGGCTGGTCTCAGAACTAAAAGAAATCAGCGATCGCTGCGATAGAATAACAGAGACACCCATCATTGCTTCTTGGCCGGCGACTACATGTAAAGCCGAATGACAGGACAGGCACAGCAGTGGCCAAGCAAAAAATCAGCTACGGCTTCTCCCTCTCTACAAAGCAAAAACTACAAACTCGGCGACAAGTAGCAGTTTATTTGAAACAAGTAGCAGTTTATTCCCGTAGCTATGCAGAAGACGTTACTTCAGTAACGTCTGGCGCTAGCCAGGGTCCACACAGCTTTAATTTGGTGTTTGTGTGTTTGTGTCACGCCTGGTGCTTTCCCGTATCTGTCCCGTACCGTACCGTACCATCAAACACAGCTGGCCACATACAGCTGGCCGCACTATTCAAATAGGGCTTTCAAACGCAAGATCATAACGTGAAGCAACTTGGAAGAATGAGTATGAATGCGAAGCGTATTGGGGAATGCATGTAGGGCGATAGTGCGGGTTCGAATCCCAGGTAATGCCTGAAAAATAGGAGAATTGAATAATTTATAACATCCCTATTCTTTTTTTGCCGTCATCAAGGCGGTAGATGGTGTTGTACTTCCCTCTACCGTACCTGTCGCGTACCTGTCCCGTACCATACCGTACAATCAAAGACGGCTGGCCACAATGCATCTTCAAATCGGGCTTTCAAATACAAGATCATAACGTGAAGCAACTTGGAAGAATTAGTATGTATGCGAAGTGTATCGGGGGATGCATGCAGGGCGATAGTGCGGGTTCGAATCCCAGGTTATGTCTAAAAACAAAAAGTAGAAATTTATAAGAATTTATAACATCCCTATGCTTTTTTTGTCTAAGTCATCAAGGCAAAAAAGCATAGCGTAGGGCCCTGAGCTTCCAAGCTCTCTCGTTTGAAATAAATAGTGTCGCTTGCGCGCTCCTCAGTCAAAATGATACTGTAGCTGTGTTCACTGCATGCTGCTGCCACTGGAAACACGACAAGTGCAGGTGACGCGACTTTTGTTTGTCACCACTTGGCCAAGTAACTACGCGTTGTCAAGAAGCTGTGACGTCAGACTTCGACGGCCTATAGGGAGGTTTAGTTACGGGAACGTGGGTGATCACGCAAAGTTCATGCAATGGACCCACGTTCACAATGTTGTGTTAAGTCACACGGAACAAACAAAAGCATGAAACGAAAGGCCCAAACTTGGTCAAAGACGAAGCTTCGAAGCTCATCGAATGTTTTGATTTCACCCTTCGAAAACTTCTTCAGCTGAGCACCCTCACAGCTTGCACAATGCGCTCCGTTCTGATTTTCACTCACGCTCTGGCGGAACGTGGGTGAGCCTCCATACACGGTATGTCGTGAATCAGAAAACGGCTGTCCGTGGGGTCACTGAGTATCACGTGGTACACACACGTAAAGTACACACGGATTACGTGGGACTAAACCTCCCTAATATGAACATTACCTGTACAGTAAAACCTGACTGAATATCAATAATCGGTACAGTCAATTACCCGACAATACATACATTGTTGTGGTCTTTCCAGCACCGTTGTGGCCTAAGAAAGATGTGATCTGTCCTTCATAGAAGTTCAGGCATAAGTCATCGACGGCCAGCTTGGTCACACCTGTTGCACTGTCATATGATTTGACCAAGTTGTGGAAAGAAACACCGCATTTGAGATGTTTCGGCTCATCCTCAGACGCGAGTGGCGTCCTCACTGCAACCGGAACGCTGCCACCGGCTACACAGTCAGGCGATGCCGAACGAATGGAGTCAGCATCGGCATCTTCCATGTTGTCCACAAGCATGGCACCATCACCTGCCAGTTGGATATGCATGGGATTGCGGCGATTCTTTCGCAGCTTGCGGCGAGCCATACGCTGCGGACCAAGCCAGTAGCTCTTGGTGAAAGGGAAATACCAGACACGTGGTATTCCATACTGACCTGAACAGCAGAGAGAAAGAGATGAGAGAGGGGGGGGGGGGGGCATGTAAACACACAACCAGTTGGCATGGCAAAGCATCGAGCAAACCACGCAGGCATCAGTGGGAACTTGGAAAATTGAAAATCACTGAACAGGGAAAACACTTCTAACTTAGACAATACACTTATACTGCCTAAAGTTCGCTCTTTTCACGAGAAGGGCAAAACGCAAATATTAACCCTTTGGGCCTCCACTGAAATAACCACAACAAGTAAATCCCTCATCGTTTGATTTCCATCATTACATTGGTTCTACTTGACCGACTTTGACAATCCTGGGCTCTTTGGAAAGCTTTTGGAGTCAGGATTACAATGAGCCCAAACTCATCAAGGAAATCCGTAGTAACTGTTGTCAAACACAATATACCAGAAACACTGCTGTAACACAATATACCAGGAACACTGCTGCAACACAATATAGAAAAGGAACACATCGATACCGCCACCATTTCATTGTCATTCACTTAAAATCATTCAATTTTTGGAGAAGATGCAGAAAGTTGCGGCAACGCGCTAGATGTGAAGTCCCGCATTTGTGTGGGTTTGAAGCCGAGAAAACCCTGTTTAGGGCAAAGAAAGGAATTCACCAAGCGCAAGACCGTGAAAATTCGAATTTTTCGTTCTCTTTCCGCTACGTCAAACTTCGTCCCATAAAGCTCGGAGTCGTCTGCACCGACTCCTGATCGTCTCTGCTACCATCTAGGTCTTTCGATTGTTCAATTCGGTTGAGTAATGATCGAGTTAAGATCCGTGGAAGACACATTGCACGACACTATAATTAAATGATCCATTTCGATTGCGAGAGGCCCAAAGGGTTAACCAGCGTGAAGTAAACCTTCAACAGAGGATGTGTGTATAGTCTGTTTCAAAAAGATTTACAATCAGGTTTGGGTCTTAAAAAGTATGAAGATAAGGGAAATTTGGACAACAAAGTACATAGAATGGCTTGTTAGGACACGGCAAATTGTTCTGTGAAGGTTTCGGAACAATTGGACCAACCGTTTAGGAGTTAGAATTTCGGCCAGGTTTCCGGCCTTTTCCCATGGTTTACAATTTGCCCAGGAAGCCAGTATCGATTTTTTATCAAAACCCACGATTTATCCTTTCCTTTTTGGCCTTGTGGTTATGAATGCTGTCTGCTGACCATGAAGTTGTGAGTTCAAATCCCAACCTATCCTCAAGTCAAACTTTTTTTTCATTGTTTTGGACTTTTGGTGATGAAGCTGGTACAAGACAAAGAAGATGGCTGCACCAAACGACTTGTTGTTGGAGCTCGCGCTTCCTGCCGAACTGACTGACACTTGACCTTGTTGACTGGCTCACGCATGTGAACACACCCACAACACTGCAATGGTGTGAGTGAATTATAATGGAAGTCATCGCGCTGTAGCTTTTTGAGATTTATTTTAGTATTTCAAGATCGCCAATTTATTTGAATTTAGCAGTCAACTTCTATCAGCGTTCACAAGCGTCTGCTTTTCTCAAAATGTCGTTGAAGTCACACGGATAGCTTTGCCAAGTCATGGCCTTGGGAATGAGCCCGTGTCGATGTCGTTTTCGTCACACGGTGAGTAAATTGCATCGCAGCTCAAAGAAACTATTTTGGTCACAAAGCGGACCCATGCAGCTCGTCAACATTTACAACACTTTCGTTTCGACATGTCCTCTCTGACTCCATTATCGATACGAGGAAGAACTCGTTTGTTGTAAACCAACATGACTGTGTCAACGTGAGTGAGTTGTCATTTTTCCTGCTTTCGCGCGGAATATTTCTTCGAGTTCACAGTGAGTTTTTCCAGGCAGCGCTCGAGTGCTCATACGGTAAGACGCCAAACTCCGCGGGCGATCGCCAGGATTGTAAATCTTTTTGAAACGGACTGTAGGCACAGATTTCCGTGAACATTCGCCAACGCAAACTCACTGATTTGAGAAATCGCCAAAAAATTAGTGACGGGAACATCGGCTGGTTTACAATACTGATACAGTCAGACCTCGCTTATCCGGTCCTCTTTTATCCGGATCCCTCGCCATCCGGAAGAAAAACGTTGGTTACCGATTTACAGCATATGCCATGCATACATACCGTGTGTGTGTGTGTGTTCGATTATCCGGTTCCCTCGCCTATCCAGTTATTTTTCGTGGAAAACGAATGTGTGCGGTTAAGCGAGGTCTGACTGTAGACCTAGAAAGTGCTGCCATCAGGCAACAGCAGCAAGAACAACATCAAAAGCACTCACCGGGCATCACATTGTCTAGATACCAAACCAGAACACTGTAGATAATGGTATCAATCACCATGAACCACAACGTCAACGTGAAGCTGAAGTCATCATCAACCAACTACAAAAAAAGCCAGCATTCACAGTGAGACATAGGGCAGAACATGCAAGCATTCATAGTGAGAGACAGGGACATTATAACATAAGCATATGAGTGAACTAAAATAAAAGTAATTAGGTGACAAGAGATGAAAACTGAAACAGTGGCAAGCTCAATGTTGACACCTCTCCCCATCTCTCTCCCTCTTCCTCCCCCTCACACACCCACAGCCGCACACATGCACACACGCATGCACACACGCATGCACACACGCACACACACACGCGCGCACGCACACACACACACACACGCACACACACAACCTCCCCTCCGTTAGTGACTTACAGGACTTTCGCTCAAGTTGTCCCACTGCATACCAGTGGCCTGAGTTTCATAGAATGAAACATACTGGGTAGATAATCCGAAAGCTGTCGGCGCCAGTAAACACTATAATTGATATCACACAATACCACAGGACAGTGGCATACAACATTATATACTAACTACTATAGAAATACAGCAACAACTGGATAAGCCATGCAGCAGCAAACAGGCTTGCATGTTCCAAACAAACCAGTCAATCAGTGAATATGAAATGGGCTTCACCGGCATGCCATGCAGTTACCATGGCACTAAAGTAAAACACCAACACCAAGTGTTGCAAAAGAAGGATCCACGAGCGGGATTCAAACACAGCACCCCTGTCTTTCCGGGACAGTGCCCTACCGATTAGGCCACCGGGGATCACACACACACACACACACACCCGTGTGGCTCCTTCTTGCTACACTGCTCCCCCACCCCAACAGGCTGTACCCTCACGCCGTGCCTACTCACGGGGTATGATGGGTCGTGGGTTCGAGCCATTGCCAGGTGCCAATGTTGCAAAAGAAGGATCTACGAGCGGGACTCGAACCCAGCACCCCTGTCTTTCCGGGATAGTGCCCTACCGATTAGGCTACCGGGGATCACACACACCCGTGGCTCCTTCTTGCTACACAAGCTACATATATGTGTTGCACAACCTTCAGCCATTTCCAGGAAAGTGCTAGGCCTACACCGGTTTTTTTAAAATACACATGTTGTCTTCGCTTCACATACAGTAAAATCTGTCAAGGCACCCACTCCGATAAGGCAACCCCACCTGTCTCACGGGACCACTACAACTAGGACCAAGTGGGGTCTTTTCCAGTCAAATGACTCTGGATAAGGAGACCGCCTGCACACAGATGTGGCTTGTTGTCAGCTTTCGTTTACAGGAAATGAAGCTAGGATTAAAAGAACAGAGCACTACCGCTGCATCGTAAGATACCAGAACCAAGAATGCAATCCTTGACACATCACCAGACCTCAGCAGGCCCAGCTTAAAGGCAAGTATAATACTGGGAATAATAAATGCCCTGAGAGCTCTGCACGCAACGTGAGGAGAAAAGACTTACAGCCAAACACTTCTGATAGTAGGTGGTGACATCTTGGCGAATAAACAGTATCACCGATGGCAGATAGCAGCCAAAGTAGATGATGGCACCGCAGCAAGCAGCCAAGTTGGCGCGTGAAAAGAACATACTGACCAGGAAACTAATGATAAACACACAAACACACAGACACACATGGATATGCTGCTGCACCATCAGGAGCAGTACCCACTCCGCTATTTCGCATGTAGTCTAGTTTTGACAACAGTGGTGTTCAAAAGATTCACTCTGCTAATCAGACATTGTGCAAGTAAGTGCTCACAAACTGCTCACAAAACAAAGAACAAGGGAGTCGGAAAGTACCTGTTTTGGTGCATACTTTGAACACGGCACCAAATTCACACCAACCTCGCGTTTACACATTTCAGATGTAAAGCTGAAAATACGATTAGAGATCTACATATTCTACTAACCAGAACGTGATGGTTGAGATGCAGAACAATACCAAGTATAGCCATATCAGCACCACGTTGCTATATTTCAGAACTTCTCCATACTACAGACAAGCAAGATCAGTCAGAACACACATCACTCAGTTTACAATCACAATAACAACAAATGGAGGTGATAGCAACAACAAGAGAACAACAGCTCATGGCAGATACAAAACATAAAAGTTCTTACTTAAGAGGCCATCCGGCATATCGTTAATTTTCACGAAACGAAAAAGTTTAGTTTAGGACCCTCCCCCACCCATCCACCCCCCTGAAGGAAAAATAGATTGACTTGACAGGTAGAATGCATTGATGTCTCACATATCAATATTTTTCAAACCGAAACTCCCCTTGACCCACCCACCCACAAGCGAAACTTTTTTCTTTTCGTGTAAAAGATCAACAATTAAGGACGGCCCCTGGAGATTCAGAAAGAACAAAAGAAAGGCTACAATGGGTAGGGCTTTTGAAGATACCCAGTAAGATACACAAAATAATAATTTGAGTGTCTTTGAAAGGTTGGTGTCCACTATAATGAAGGCACTGCATTTAGAAAAAAATCAAAACACGATCACAGCCTCCATTGGCAACTTCTCTTGTCTATATAGCCAGCACTCAGGGGCGGTGACCCTTTCAGGGCCACTACTAATTCCACGTATTCCCGCCAGGGCACATGGCGAGGCATGTCTCAGCCGGAGTACGCAGCTGTAAAATTTATAATTTCACCATTTTGGTCTCATCGGCAAGCTACAGATCTCCTCTCTCCAAATAATGCAACTAGATGTCCAGTAGGAGCAACAAAATCACCGTCATGCCATTGGGGGCTGCCCTATTGCACGTGAGTGAGATACGGCACCAACCTCGACAATTTTCTTCGGTCCTGAAGTTAATCTCAGTGCAGAACACTGAACCAAAGTTCTCCAGATTCCTGAAGTTCAAGCGAATCTTTTGGGGTCTACTTCGCATGCGCCGTGTAGCGATGAGTCACAGGGGAAGCCCCCTTTTGAGAAGATACTTCTTGCTGCAGTGATCACTGTGCACGCATGATCACTGTGCACGCAATTTGTCTAAAGGTTCAAGCATACTCGTGTTTCTCTCGCTGGCGCTCCGTAAATCCACATCGCGATACATCAAGCTATTTCCGCAGCTCTCTAACGAGCTATCATTTGCGATGATCGTATAATTATGAAAACGTAGACTTACTTTCAAAGCCAGTGTCAGAGTTGTGGCGGATATGACCATTAGGACGAAGCTGTTGAAGAACCAGGCAGCCCAGTGCATGCTACTGTCCAAGCCCATGACTTTCATCACCTGCAACCAGTCGGGAATACCAAGATAACGTACACACCTGGCAATACATACGCTCACACACTCTGTTTCTCTGTCTCTCTGCCTCTCTCTGTATCTCTCTGTCTCTGTCTCTCTCTTTCTCACACACACACACACACACACACACACACACACACACACACACACACACACACACACACACACACACACACACACACACACACACACACACACACGGACACACACACACACACACACGCACGCACGCACACACACACACACACACACACGGACACACATGCACCGGCTAATACCGACCCCAACAAAGGCAGCACTATTAAAAGTATGGCGGATACATTTCGATCCTATGATACTAGTAAGAAGGACTTGGAAGCTGAAGTAAAAGCCTTAGCTCACACTACCATTGTATATCCAGCACTCACCTCCTTTAGACGATTCTCCTTCTCATAGACAATGTTCTTGATGAGCATAGCCACAGACAAGATCCAGCCAAGGACACCAACAAGTGGCATGATACTAGCTATGGCCGATGCAAACCTACAACACAATGGATGACAAATATAGTCAACTTGATGAGTTATAGCAGCAGGTGTAGACTCTTAGCATGAGTCCATAACCCCCCAGAGTGTGCAACGCCGATCCAGCTCTGCATAGGGTCTTGGTCGAGCGGAATCGGATCTTCTGATGTCATGCGTACACTCCACACCAGCGCAAGGCCGGTCTCGAGGCAGGGCACCATTGTTTTTGATCCGAGAGTACCCGCGACTTCCCGGGTTCCCCTCAGATGTGTACGGTATTATGACGCAAAGATCCGATTCCGCTCGACCAAGACCCTATGCACAGCTGGATCAGGCGTTGCACACTCTGGGGGGTTATGTACTCTTGCTCTTAGTAATTGCAATTTATGCATTTGTACCATGTCCATGTGGTTATAATATTACGACTATCTCCTTGATTCTCTCTCATTTCGCACATGTTGATGTGGATAACTACTAGTGAAGGTGGTGTGTTGGCTAATTCATTCAGTGAGAATGTGAAGTTAATCCTGTGAAAAGGCTGTGATGCATCCTGCAGAGCTTGGACATTCAAGGAGTGTACAGCAGAGTGTCAGAGAGATTTTTTATGACACTTCAACAAAGTGGAAAAAAGCAGGACACCAAACAACTAGTTCAATACTATCCGGATGCAGTGCACGCTCAAGGCTACCGACAGACGAGATCAACCTACTCTACGAGATAACATACCGTATTTCCCCATAAGTTAGTACGTACTAACTTTCGAACTTAGCAGCCACATGAGTACTAACTTTCGGGGGTGGCACTATCTTTCGGGGGTGGCACTATCTTTCGGGGAGTACTTTTTTATCGGGGGTAAATGACACGCAGTGGGAAGCCTGCGCAACTCTAGTGTCCGTGCATATGATGTATGTACTGTACGGTGTCTGTACATGTAGGACGGGTACGAACTTACTATCTTTCGGGGGGAACTGTCTTTCGGGGTGATAACCTCGGCAGTGGAAAGTGTATTTTTTATAGGGGGTACTAAGTCAATGGAGAGAACTAACGTACGGGGAAATACGGTAGTTCACAGACAGTGATACAATCATACAGCGGTGGCAACTGAAATCCAATTCCAGGAGCAGTGCGCTTGAACAGCACCAACACACCACACAACCACACCAGCCCCAAGGCATGAACGGTGCATGCATTCGCACAGCGTACACATACTTGCGCTCGTCAAGTATTTGGTGTATTCATGAACATAGGAAAGCACACAGTACAACGGTGCACATGTACATATACTAGTACACACGCATACACATAACAAGAGAACGAATGCCATAAAGGCGATTTCATGCGTTGCTAGCGTGCCAGGGGAGTGCACACTACTTGCGAAGATTCATTTTAGCTCCGCAAGATTGGTACGTAAAAATCCACGCAGTTGGATTTCACTTTCCAAAGCTGTACAATAATAAACAGAACAGGCCAATAGCATTGACGGAGGTCCTTTTCCGAACAGCAGTAGTACCTGTCATTCAAAAAGCATGGATACGGGAAGTCCTGCACCCATGCACCAGGATCGAGCTCTATCTTGTTTGTCTGCAACTCCTGTATAGCTCTGTCAATCAGGTCTTGAAGGAACAGGAATCCACCATAGCGGTAGCGAGAGCAATACCAGCGACACGGTCCCGGCGACCAAAATCTGTCCAAGTGTTCAAACATAACACACACATACACAGCCACAGTCCACACCCACACATCCACACACACCACGCATGCACGCACACACACACCCAAACACAGCCACAGTCACAGTCCACACCCACATATCCACACACACCACGCATGCACGCGCGCACACACACACACACACACACACACACACACACACACACACACCACACACACACACACACACCACACACACACCACACACACACACATACACACACATACACACACACACATACACACACACACACACACACACACACACACACACACACACACACACACACACACACACACAAACACACAAACACAGAATGACTACTTTGAAGCACTTGTAGCCACCAGTCAACTGGCCAGTACCTAGCAAAACTAGTACGCACTCTGAGACTACCGAAAACAATTTACTTCTAGAACACTGTCAGTGTAAATTTACATAGTGAGCCTACCTACTAGCCTACCTACTAGCCTACCTACTTGTCTCATACACAGGGTGCCATGTGTGAATTTTTCACTTTATTCTACGATTCAATGGGGAAAGTTTGAAAAATTCACAACACATCAGACCAGTATCTCCACGTTTGAAGACACAATTAGAAGAAGAAACATGACTGGTGTGCTGCACGTTTGTCTATCACAATAGAATGGGTGCTGCAGAAAATTCATCTATCACAATAGAATGGGTGGTACTGCACATTCGTCCATAACATGAGGGTAGAAATGCAGTCATCTAGACAAAACATGCATATAATCACCATGCACGAAGTAGGGCAGTGATCATGACGATGGGCAGGGCAGGACACAGTAGGAAGGTGATAACCGAGTAGTGATGAGGACGATGGGCAGAACGATGGGCAGGGCAGGGCAGTATGAAAGTCATAGGTAGGATGATGGGCAGGGCAATGGGCAGGGCAGTGGGAAGGTGAAGGGCAGGGCGAAGGGCAAGATGATGGGTTGGATGATGGGCAGGGCGATGGGCAAGATGATGGGCAGGGCAGTGGAAAGGTGATGAGTATGGCAATGGGCAGGGCAGTGGGAAGGTGAAGGGCAGGGCGAAGGGCAAGGTGATGGGTAGGATGATGGGCAGGATGGGCAAGGCAGAAAAACAGGGTGTGCTGGCATGCAAGACTGCTTGAACTTACAGTCTGGACAGTTTACGGGTGCTTGGCACAAAGGTCTCGTTCTGTCGTATCTTGTATATCACATGTGGGACTTTGTTCAGGGAGGTTTCGTTGCTAGGCAAGTTCGTGAAGACAACACCTGGCAAAGATTTTCACAAATTCCAAACAAAACGGAACAAATTTAACTTACATGTTTGCCAGCCACCGAGTGCTTGGCACAAACGTCTCATTTTGTCGAATCTTGTAAACGACGTGTGGAACGTTATGCAGAGACGTTTCGTTGTCAGGCAAGTTGGTAAAAACAAGTCCTGTCACCAAAGATTAAAAATGAACTCTATTTACTAACGGGACTCCAGGCAATGAACGCAAAACACAATCATTCCAAATTTCCAATACCTATATACAACCAGCTGGGTCATCTAATCAGTTGAAAACACATGCATGCACATACGAGAGGGAGTCGTACATGCACACACAAAAATACGCTTTCAGGGTGTTATCTAAAGTGACCTACCGTATTTCCTCGATTAATAGACCCGGTCTTTTGTTTTTTGAAGAGGGCTGGACCCCCGGTCTCTTATTTGGGCATGGCCCATTATTTGAGCATGGTCCACTATATTTTCATCGGCACATCGCTGGAAATAGTGGATTTTTAACACGTCATCAATATAGAAGTTCTATAATGATTTTTAACACGTCATAATATTATTATGACGTGTTAAAAATCCACCATTTCCAGCGATGTGCCGATGAAAATATAGTGGACCGTGCTCAAATGATGAAAGAAAGCACTAGCCACTACAAAAATTGTAGTTGCGCAACCTAAAATCGCGTCCTTTTTGGATCCACCACGTGCTTTCTCAGTGCGCATGCGCAAAGCGATGAACTCTAATAAGAGACCGGGTCTCTTATTCGGGCATGGTCTACCATTTTTCCGTGAGGACTCTAGGAGGGTCTACTATTTGAGCATGGTCTATTATTCGAGCATGGTCCATTAATCGAGGAAATACGGTACATTGGCCCTGTGCTACTCCCGGTTTTGGTGTGCCTTCGACAGCTTTGCACAAGCTTTCGTCATAGCATACTTAGTGTACATGCTCAACCATCAACTTTTCTAGTTTCACGTATTACTGTGAGCACTAGGGAAAGATGAAGAACAGCTGATATTCTCAAGGAAAATATGATTGTACTCATCTCTAAGGTTCTCTAGATAATGCCCTTTGACTGCTGCAGAGTAGTGCTGCCCGCCCACTAAGTAAGGGCCAGCAAAACGGGTGACTTTTAGTGAAAAGAAATGACCTCTAAAAGTCCGTGACTCTGGCATCCACTCTCAAATTTCATGGTCTTTGGCTTACAGCGACAAGGAAAACGATAAGCTTAAGCGCAAGTCACCACAAGTTTGGAAACCAGCTTGAAAGCCAATCGAATCTGTCCCAAAGTTGTAGTGCAGTCGCGCAGGTCAAAGAAACTGTGCTTTTAACCAACATTCACTCTCCTTGAGCTCAAATTAGTCCACTGCTCAATTCGAACTGAGATTGTCATGGCACCAAGCGGCAAGAAGTGCAGAAAATAGAAAATCAAGAGCCCACGCATTGGGCAAAAAAGTTAATGCGCATGTGAAGTTGTGGTTCCATCAAGTGCCATAAGGCCCATAACTGAACACAGTTGCCCCTATCACTCCAGCGATTGTCGCAATTGCAAGCTGAGAGTTTTCTCTTCGACCTACATTATTCCGAGCATGAGAATCGCGTAAGAATGGGCGAAGTTACGATCATTTGAGCATACACGCATCCTGAAAATCCTCATCAATGCGCGATATACATTCAGGACATAAAAACACATAACAGTACAAGCTCGGGTGTCATCCAGAATCACGTAATAGTACGAGCTGAGCAGTGGATGGGTTAAAAGAATCCTCACCGGCACACATTGTCACGATAGCCACATAGTCGATTTACCCTACCCCCTCTGATACTGCCCTGACAAAATCCATCGCTTTCTGTGTGTTAACTCAGAAGGTGCAGAGATAGATAAACATGAAGGGAGCCGATGAGCACTGCGAAACCGAGCGGTGACTGACCACAGCTTACCAGCTAGAGCAATGATCTTGTTGGCATACTCGTTATCAGCCAGCACCTCCAAGTCATATTCAGTCGGTAGACCCAGAAACAGGCTACGTACATAGCGTTCGCCAGTGGAGCTGTAGTTGACCAGTGTGCTAAAAGCCGTGTCAGTGTACAGCGCCAAGTCATCCAGCTCAGGCACAGTGATACCCTGGGGAAATCCTGCCAGCAGGATTTTCGCAACGGCAGAGCTGACTCCAAGAGGCTGGTTGAAAATCTGACGTCCCAAAATGATATACTCACACAACTGACGGTTACTTGCAAGCTGCAAGATAGCACAAAATAAGAGCACAAAATGGCAACACTAGTAGCAATCAAGTTGAACTCTAAAAATCTATGCAAATGCCGAAGAGATTTTCAGGAACTTAATCTCAACAAAAGAAGGCAAATACCATTGGTCCACTATCATTCAGCCACAAAAAAAGAGAGAAAAAAGAATTCTGTATCCCTGACTGTGCCAACCAAGAACTTACCATTGTCTGGACCGACGAGCAACTCGTTGCCACAAATGTGTCAGCAAAGGGTGATGACAGTGAGGCATTCACCTGCGGAATAATGGCAGCCAGACTTGATGGCAGCCCTCGGAAAGATGAGTTTAATGCGATGACAAGGTCTTTCAGCTCCACCAACGGCTCAAGCATCTGTTACACATAGAAGAGTTGCCCACAAAACGTTAGGCAATTTGAGGCAATTTGAACCTGGGTAGCAAGTTTATTGCCAAGTGAGAGGCAGCAATAAATGGCATAGCTGAATACATTGTACTCCCGTTTCATCTTGCCCACTCTGCTTGGATAGCTGTGCCAAGAAAATCCAACCTTATCAACTGTGACACATCCCACCAGCATTGAGTTAGCGCTTACACTCACACTTCCATTCACACCTTATTCCCGCATCTACACTTGAATTGTGTTAGTTACCACCTATGTTCTCCCCCTATATATACCATGCTATCTACTCCCATTCAGTATCTACTCCTCGGCTCAAGAAGTTGTTACATGCAGATGATGGTGTCAGAAGTGGGATACAAGCATCTGTTACACATAGAAGAGTTGCCCACAAAACGTTAGGCAATTTGAACCTGGGTAGCAAGTTTATTGCCAAGTGAGAGGCAGCAATAAATGGCATAGCTGAATACATTGTACTCCCGTTTCATCTTGCCCACTCTGCTTGTATAGCTGTGCCAAGAAAATCCAACCTTATCAACTGTGACACATCCCACCAGCATTGAGTTAGCGCTTACACTCACACTTCCATTCACACCTTATTCCCGCACTTACATCATCTACACTTGAATTGTGTTAGTTACCACCTATGTTCTCCCCCTATATATACCATGCTATCTACTCCTCGGCTCAAGAAGTTGTTACATGCAGATGATGGTGTCAGAAGTGGGATAGCATTGGGACCTACGCAGAACCAGTACATGAAAATGTGAACCAGAAACACGTAGGTCATGGTGCTGTGCACAGGAAGTGTGCTACGTATACTATAGAGTCAAGGGTCAGCTCTATCAGGTAAATGCATTGTATAATACCTGATCGATGATTTGATTGCCCAATGCATTGTTGGGTGAGTAGAGGATCTTCAGAGAGCCATTAAGGAGATGTTCAGAGATCTGACCAAACAGCTTAGATGTCACCAGATTCTCTGCATTTTGGGCACCACTGTTAGCCAATCTAACACATGTATAACCACAGAGACATACACACATACATACAATGTACCGAAAACGTTAGTACAGTAGGCTCGTACGCCCAAGAACGCGGTTTCAGAGGGCCAGCCTAGCAAAGTTCTTATTTTTCAGCGTCCCTGGCTACGTTCTTATTTCGCGTTCTTACACGTCCAACATGACCCGTGACGCTCATGTACAATGCACTTTGCGCTACATGTACCGGTTGTACACTTTACATGCACGTGTAGTATGTAGCGCTGCACTGGGTGATGTTTTCGCGAGGACCCGACAAGAGTTTGTGGTTGCGGACTTGTTTTTCGTGTACTCGGACAAGATCATGAACTGATGAAGGAAAAATGTGGTCCGAGCCACCTTAAATCCAGGCTGGGGCGTTCTTAGATTTCCAGCCTGGACGTTCTTGGGCGTACGAGTCTACTGTAGCATAATCTAAAAAGCCAGCCCCTACACCAAAGTATCAAGTTCCAATCTTCCTATGTACAGTACCCTTCACTACTCTCTGAATGTACACACAAACTAAACCAAGCTTCACTCTGACAGTCCAACGTTCACCTTGCACAAGTGGGCATCATCATGGATATGAGCAGCAGTGAACACTGAACCAACCTATATACATGTGTACACAGTGTCAAACTCAAACATGCAATGTGACAACACCCCCCCCCCCCCCCCCACACACACACACCCAGCTCTTGGGATTGAGGAAAATGTGATATAAAGGCCTGAAGTATGAAGAAAGAGTCATACATCACACAGCAGTCACTAGAGAGGTTCTGCAAAACGAAAATGCGTACGAAGTTTCGCAACGGGCCTTGCGAGAGTTTGCGCGAATTTTCGCACGAACTTTGTGTTCTGCACATTTTGCAGCTCACACGCACTCCATACCTGCCAAGCATCCCGATTTTCGGAAGACCTTCCGAAATTCAAAAATTCTTCACAAATATAAAAAAAAACTTTAGTGATTCATAAACTAGCACGAATCGGCGAGGAGATATTTTCTGTTGATCGCAATTCTAAAACATATTTATTTAAGGGATCAGAGTTTCATGCCGTAAAATTCATGCATTTCATATGCTGTGCAATTGGCGACGCCTAAAGCGGGATTCACAGAAGCTTTTTGCGATGCGATGGGCGATGCGACGCGATTGGCGACGGAGGCGTGCGATGCGAACTCGCGAAATACCATTCACAGAAGAAGTCAACGATGCGACGACGATTTGCAGATCTGGCGCGAATTTCACTGCAGGTGAGTATGTCACCATGGTATTCGCGCGGTTTGCTACAACTTGTACAAATTTACAGGCAACTCTTGAACCTTTGTACAACTTTGCTGTAGAAAAGGTCAAAATCGTACGCCAAATCGCTTGTCGCATCGCAAAAGTTAAGCCAAGCTCAACTTCTGCGATGGCCCAGTTGCGGCAGTTGCGTGGGGTGTGAGATCGCTGCGATTTGGGGATTTCCCGGTTTCGCGGCTGTCGCATCGCGAGTCGCATCGCAAAAAAGCTTCTGTGAATCCCGCTTAACGTTAGCGAAAGAAATCCTTTAGCTTCACCAGTGTAGAATAACCATTTTACAGTATTCACCCAAAAGTCCTCACTTATCATTAGACACAGTGGCCTCCTCAGTGAAGGGTAGCGTAATTCCTGGTTGTGTTGTTCCAGTTGTTCCTGGAGTGGCAGTGGCACCAGCACCAGTTTGCAAATAGTTCAGTACAGTTGGCGCAGATACCACCAGAAGACGAGCGAGTTGTTCGACGGACTGTAAATTATCTGGCAAAAGGGGATGAGACAAAGAGCAGATGCTGAGAACAACGAAATGTAATAGCACAGAGCAGGGTCATTGCATGCAATGACAAGAAAAACTTCATAAAGTTCAATAGATTACAGATGGCAAAACCTTGCCATCTTCAAACAAGAAGAGACTGACCATGTCACTGAAGAGAAATGCCATACTGCCTTGATTGGTCAAAGAAATAGTACAAGTTGAGTACGGACAACTATACAACACTACAGATCATGTACCATTGTAGCCGTTGAAGCTATTTCTGTATGGCAAGTCAGACCCACAGAGGAAGTTCGATCCGATGTCCACCACCGAATTGTTCTCGCCCAGCTGAAGGGAGGGAGAGAGAGAGAAAGAGAAAGAGAAAGAGAGAGCAGAGAGCAGAGAGCAGAGAGAGAGAGAGAGAGAGAGAGAGAGAGAGAGAGAGAGAGAGAGAGAGAGAGAGAGAGAGAGAGAGAGAGAGAGAGAGAGAGAGAGAGCGAGAGAGCGAGAGAGCGAGAGAGCGAGAGAGAGAGAGAGAGAGAGAGAGAGAGAGAGAGAGAGAGAGAGAGAGAGAGAGAGAGAGAGAGAGAGAGAGAGAGAGAGAGAGAGAGAGAGAGAGAGAGAGAGAGAGAGAGAGAGAGAGAGAGAGAGAGAGAGAGAGAGAGAGAGAGAGAGAGAGAGAGAGAGAGAGAGAGAGCACAAAGACAGACCATTCGAATTGAACAAATATGAACAAACAGAACGCCAGTAATAATACGGCCTTGTACATCTTATAGGGTAAAGTTAGAACCAACTTGTTCCGGCTTACCTTCTTGATGGCATAGTTGCCAAAGTCCACCAGCACACCAAGATCGGTATCATTCAGCAACTTGAGACTGTCGTTTAGAAGAGTAATCTAAAAAGCAAAAGCACACGCATACACACACGCACGCACACACGCACGCACGCACGCACGCACGCACACACACACACACACACACACACAGGTAGAATGAACAACTACTTGGCTCCCAATACATAGAGTACAAGCAGTGGCAGGTTTAGCAGTAATGCCACTTCTGCTGCTGCTATTCAGAAGGGAAAATGGTCTTCACTAACCAATACTTTGGTGTCGTTTTTCTTCAGCGAATCAACTTTTGTGACTTAGAACATGAATGTGCTCGAGATCAAGAGAGGTTTCACTGTTGCAGTCAAGCAAAGCCCAGAAAACAACTTTGAAGCAGTCAATGACTATCTTACCACATCATTATAGCGACAAGTCGTGTTTATGGACAGTGGACTAGACAAAGGTGTTAGTGAACAATGTCGTACTTCAAAGTACGTATATGTGCGAGCAGCACTGACATAAAGAAGATGCATGTACTACCTGTGTTCACAACTGGCGCGTGTACGAGGTACTACCTCAGACAAGCGAAACTTGGCGTGTTTTTTTACTTCAAATTACTCGAAATAACTCACACTTTACAATCAAAACTAATGATTGACTCACCAAAATTCAACTTTGTATTGCTCAACAAGGACATTAGAGACATCTGTTAGGCTGAACAACTCTCCTCTGATTCAGAGATCGCAGTTTCTTTCGGACAGGAATTGTCCCTGTTTTGAGACGAAAGTGCGACTAGAGCGGATTCAGTTGCAGCAAGTACCTCTGTTGTAATCGCTCTGACAATCTCGATGTCGCTCCTGTGTGCAGTGCTCGAGCCACGGTGTCGAGGGTAGTCGTTTCCGCCGCCACTATCCAGATTGAAGTGGTAAGAACTGTGCAACACCTCCACAAGCGCCTGGAGTCCAACTGTTTTGCAGGGTATTCTTGCCAACTGTCCAAAATTGCCTGCAGCAATTCCTGGCGATTTTCCTTAGCCACCAGAGACGCATTGCTCTGGTGACTGTTGAAAGGCACTAGGATTGTTTGGCATGGACGCATGGACTCTGTGCTGGCGGAGTGACCAAGAGGAGAGAGAGAGAACTCCTTGGTTTTGCATTGCAACGCGAAAGCACGACGATTCTCCTTCGCAGAATGGACGCGCGCACAGTTTTGCTAGTACACGAGAGACACGCACGCCTCTGACTAAGTCTGAGCCATGTGCCACTCACTAGCTCGTCGCTTGGCTTCCTGCACCCGGTTGCATGGAGCTACAACTAGTACAAGTAGATCGTACCTCACAGCCTTGTGAAATAGTTTTGGTACCAACACAAAAAAATCAAAAACCGCGCCAAGTTTCGCTTGTCGGAGGTAGTATGTTTGTTGGTTTGTGCCCAAACGTGCGTCCAGGCTTTCACAGAAAATAGAAATTCAACTTGAATTTTAGGTCATGCTACGCCTTTGACTTTGACTACAATTGCTTTGATCCCGCCAGTCAAAGTGACTGGCAGGTACGCCAGTACGCGCTTGATAAGAGCCGAAAAATATAACAATCATGTTGGGATTTCTATTTCAGCACGTTTCCAAATACGTGACGCCCGCAGGTCAGCAAATATACGCGCACACACACACACACACACACACACACACACACACACACACACACACACACACACACACACACACACACACACACACACACACACACACACACACACACACACACACACACACACACACACACACACACACACACACACACACACACACACACACACACACACACACACACACACACACACACACACACACACACACACACACACACACACACACACACACACACACACACACACACACACACACACACACACACACACACACACACACACACACACACACACACACACACACACACACACACACACACACACACACACACACACACACACACACACACACACACACACACACACACACACACACACACACACACACACACACACACACACACACACACACACACACACACACACACACACACACACACACACACACACACACACACACACACACACACACACACACACACACACACACACAGTGACACATGTGATTTCACGCGCACACATGCCAGATATGATAACTTATGAAAACAGCTTTAGTGCAGTACTGTGTAAGCAGAAATATCCGTCTGGAATGTAATTTCGTCTTTTCGTTCAAGGAGTTGTCCAGCTTTTAAATAGGTCCGTGGACTAAATTCTAAACCAGACGAACTCCCTTTCTATGGAGTTGGACGAAATTATTGACCGGCTAAATGTTCTGCTTGTACAGTAGATACCTGTACAGTGGAGCCCGGGTGAGACGTACCCCATGAGAAACAGGAAAGTGTGCTCAGTGTCTGAGGACTTCTTATCCAAACACAATTCACTACGGAACAATTCAACCGTGCCTAGGACAACGCCGGTACTACGCCAGTGCACATGTTATCAGAGTACGAACTAGGGGAGTTCCGCTGCACATGTACATTTCAGTAGAGCAAGAAAAACCTACGTCAGCGGCCAGTTCAGAAAAAGCAGCAGGCTGTTGCTGGATTGCACGAGTGACATTGGCTAGGACGCCAGTACCCTGTACAAAAGTGTAAAGCACACAAGGACACAAACTGACAATGTAGTATCTTCAATTATCACCATGCAAGTCACTGTCGCTTGTGCTTGTGGCATGCTGCTATACAAAACAGCCAGTATAGGTGTTCAAACACACTGCCTCAGATCCTAAATGTATGTGAACCGAATTGAGTTGCATTGCATCCCCCCCCCCCCCCCCCCAACACACACACCACTCGCATACTTGAACTTGAAGCAATCGGGCAAGACAACTACTCCCATTTATAACTTGTTATCTTTTGTAAGACCACATACCGTAAAAGCCTCTGTATACGCCCACTCGAAATTACGCCCACCCTCCGTGTACACACCCGGTCAGGGGAAGTCAACACTTTTGTTTCAAAATAGCGTCCCTGCCCATGTATCTCTTAATTTGCTAAATCCTATATATAGGATTTTGGTCATACTTTTCAACTCAAAATGGGTGTGGCATGAGAATAGCAAAAAGTATGTGACCAATTCTTCCTTGCTAGGTCTTATTAGATATCGAGAGTTGAATAAGATAATTTTTTCAAACACTAACATCTCAGGCTCATCTCCTTGCCCAGTATTACTAAGGCCTGTGCCCTATTTTTCGAATCCTATATATAGGATTTCAGATTTTATTGGACCTTGTTTTATCCTTAAAACTGGTACTTTCATGACGGCATGTGCGATATGTCGTCATGAAGCCACCCCGTACCACACCTGTAATGTTCTTCTGCACATTCACTGCTTCAGTCCTTTCCATGACAGCAGCTGAACAATTATGCTCAAATTTCCAATTATTGCGGAAAATAGGTATTCATCAGAAATATTATCACCCTATGAATCTAAAATGTAAACATTCATGCCTCAAACATATTTACAACTTCCATGAAAACCATTATGCTGTTATTATTGGTCGTGATGACCAATAACAACAGCATAAAAGGCACACATTTTCAAATCCTATATATAGGATTTTCGGCCAGCAAATTAAGAGATACGCCCAGGTATACCGGCAACACCAGTATATGTACTTGTACAGGTACTGATACTCAAAACTTACTGCTATCCCTATTCCAAGTATACGCCCGGTTCCAAAATAACGCCCGTGCCCTTGTATACACCCAGGAAATCGAGGCTGCTATTCTATACGCCCGGGGCCTATACACGGGTTTTTGCGGTAGTTAAACGCCATTTAAAAAAAAGTGGTCTTACAGTATTTGTACACAAAAACGCCTCTCCCAGAACAACACAAAGATACCATCGGCACTTACATCCACTGTATTTGTAAGGTCAGTGATCAAGTTCGCCAACTGGGTTGCGTTGATATGACACAAGCTTGACTGAATCGTAGCCTGCAGAGAAAGAGCAACACAAGCAAAAACAAAACAAAAAGCAAGAAGGAGGAGGAGGAGGAGGAGGAGGAGGAGAGAGAGAAAGCAACGAACCATACGGTAAATAACAATAAAATCAGTGTAATGCGGTAACAGCAAGATGTACTCAGGATGCACTAAGGCAAGAAACAACATTAGTCACTGCCTAAAAACTTGAAAGAGTCTGTTCTACTTTGCTCCTCTTCGCGCCCAGTCACACTGTTCATGCACGAGTAATGCACCGTAAATACTTGAGATATTCGGTTTTGGAGAAATGTTCTTAAAAATGGCATATCTCAGACTACCGTAGAGGCCCATAAATGGCATAATACAGGTGGAATCCTGATACATGTAAATCAAGCCCCAAAATACCAGGGAAAAACGTCTAACTATCCGACATTATAATTATCCAAACACACACTTGAGAGGGATCAAAAGCGTTTCTTCTGTAACACGGTTTTAACCGATTTTCACGGTTTTAACCGATCATCAGACAGCAACTTGACTACAAATTTCAGAAGATATAGGCTGCAAGCTTGGATCATAGCGCGAATGGATGATCCGGGCTGATAGTGTAAATATGAAAATGATTGCGTGAGTTGGTTGATGGGGTGCAAAAATAGGCGCAAAAATTATCCAAACATGTACCCACAACACATTATGCAGGTAAAAAGGCTCGCATTTTCACGCAGAGTTATGCTATGCACCTGAGACACAGATTTTACGGGCACTGAACTGGACACAACAGCCTGCTCATGCACACTGAGCTGCCTTGTATCATGTGCAATCAACTTCGAATTATGCTCTGCCAACTTTGGATTATCAGCCTCAATCCCACACAATTTCTATGTAGATTCCGTGGGACTTTTGATTAAAGGGGCACTCCGGCTTCATTTTCGACGCCGAGTTTTCGATGCCAAGACGAAGGTAGGTGAAAGAGAAGACCCCTCGAACAAGAACGAGTCTCCAGAAGCGATCGAGTCGAGCAGGAAGACGACTTTTGAATTTCGCCGAGCGAGCGCTGACGACGTAATGAGGGATTAGCTTGCCAGTGGAAATGCACCTGCGCACATACATTTCACACACTTTTTGGCCAATTTTCAATCGAAGAGGAGGTTGTTTGCTATGTTCTCCCAACGTCGTGAGCGATCCCGCCTTCTATACCCTTCCAGGTACCCTGAAGGTCCTCCAGAGGAGAATTTATCTCCAGCAAAGCGTCGTTGATCCGCTAAATTCGTCTCGAAACATATTCACCCAGTGCAGTGCTGATAAATGTAGAATGTTGAATCTGTGATAATTGTCGGCGATGGAGAGAGAGGTTGATAGCCGCTGTCGCAGGGAGAGTGAAGCTGCTGGAAGTAACAACGGGGAGCCCGTTTGTATCACCTGAACAACCAGACTTCAAAGCAGCTTGACCAAATCGGAGGGTGCCTCGTTGCTTATCGTGAATATTATACCGACATGAATTACTACAAGTAGACTGGTGAGTTTTTATCTTGTTTTGTTCGTATGCTAATACCCTGGCCTGGAGTTCTCGTTAGCAAATTCCTATTCCCTGGCGTTTTCTAAACATTCCGTGTAGTACTGAATATGTGATCAAGTATTCCGATTTGGGTAGATGTGGAATTTGGACATGTATTTTATAAAAAAATTCAATTTTCCAAATAGAGCGTTCGTAGAGAAATGGTTGCCCAAATACAACAAAATTGATTCTGCAGTTCTACAACTTGTACTGAAATCCTGTCAAAGTAAAAATGATTCTTCATGACAGTTCGGGTCAATGAAATCTGATCCAGGCAAATGAATGGTGACGCCTGCCACCCCGGGAACGAATGCCCATTTGGTGGGGATACCAAAGTACTCGAAAGCGTTGCGTGTTTCAATGTGGCATTTGGAAGTTCTATAATGATCTCTGGTCAATGCAGCATACGATAGCCATCATGAATTGCAGGCCTCGAACGCAACTCGGACCAGAATTGGCAGTTCCCTAAGTTAGATGCTTTATATTTCCATGGTCCCAGCTGTAGTTATAGAGGTTTTGTTGCACATTATTCTTATAGTCGATAGGTTTATACTGATGGCCACAAACAATGGCAGTTCAAACTTCACTGATGTGTTCATGAGCTGAGAGATTTCTCTCCACTATTTCTGTTGTGCACACAGGTCTGTCCAATATGCATTGACCGTATTGGGTATGGTATCTGCTTTGAGAAGGGAATCGCTGGAGCCACAGTCCAACTATACAGGCTTTCAAGAAACAGAGAGGAGCCATCTGAGATACCATACGGACTACGTCTGGTGTATACTTCATACTTCATAGTACTCCTTCGACTACTGTCTAGAATCAAGTCAACTGAAACAAGTTCAAACAACTCTGGCTTCAAACGAGCCGTCGGTTAGACAAACAAAACATTCTCTCATAATATTATACTAGAGCACTCTGACAACTCACGACCTATTCCTAACGATCGCCACCGCTTATAAATATGTAGACTGCTGATTGGAATGTTCTCACAATCTCAACAATTCATTGCTATAATTATTTGAACAATGTAGAAATTATTCCACTTTTCCTTCCATAAATGTTGTATCCACATATAATCCACAGTGCTGCAAAGTTTCAGAGTTCTCAGGGTACAAACAAAATTATTTCAAATACAGTGAAATTGTTCGCGGACATTATAGCGTAACTTGTAGTTCCCTGGTCCTTTTCTTTGCTATAAATCAATCCTTTGCTCTCTAGCCGCCGGCGAGTCCAACAGTGAAATTGTTAGTTCATATTATTATAATGTGGGTATGTGGGAGGGGGAGGGGGAGGGGGTTGAACATATTTCTATATAAGGGACCTGCAACTGTAATACTACAGGGTACAGTAGCCGGCAAATATGTAGAAAACAGAAATACATGTTCCCATCATTGTACATGGACGGGCGCAGCAGGCCGAAGCTATCAGCCAGAACAGGATTTACAATCACCTAGAGATACTTGAGCTATTCCAGTATTCTCCGTGAGCTGTCCCATTCCACAATGGTCCGTGCCACCATTATTTCGGGTAGTATCCATGTGCATAATTCCAACACCATCTCAGATTCTTCAGCAATTTGTGTCACGGCAAAAGACAACGCTTGACTCGGTCACTGGGGCTGTCAAACTTCCCATCACAAATGAACTTCAATTTCTCATGTGTTTCAAGTATATTGTACAGCCATGACTTGACCATGCTTCAACCACAGCTGGGCGAAGATTGTGGCGTTGAATTCCATAGCGCACCTTCTTGCTGCCATGCAGGAGTATGTTGAGAGAAGTGAACATATTTTTACTAAAAAAACAACAGCCGCTGAAGAGGATAGCAATAGCCTTGGGTGAATTTCCTGAAGGTAAACGTTGTTGGTAGGTCTACTGGTCGGTCTCCATATTGTCAAGTTCAGAAATCACCTGTACTACACATCTTGTAGAAGGGATCCTGATCGAATAATTTTCTGGTCATAAAATTCACTAAACTGAGGGCGAGACAAATTATTAGTCAGTACTCCCCGATTCCGTCAAGCTGCTTTGAAGTCTGGATGCTCATGTGATGCTAACAAGCTCTCCATTGTTACTTCCAGCAGCTTCACTTTCCCTGCGACAGCGGCTATCAACCTCTCTCTCCATCGTCGACAATTATCACAGATTCAACATTCTACATTTATCAGCACCACACTGGGTGAATATGTCTCGAGACTAATTTAGCGGATCAACAACGCTTTGCTGGAGATAAATTCTCCTCTGGAGGACCTTCAGGGTACCTGGAAGGATATAGAAGACGGGATCGCTCACGGCGGTGAGAGAACATAGAAAACAACCTCCTTTTCGATTGAAAATTGGCCAAAAAGTGTGTGAAATGTATGTGTGCAGATGCATTTCCACTGGCAAGCTAATCCCTCATTACGTCATCAGCGCTCGCTCAGCGAAATTCAAGTCGTCTTCCTGCTCGACTCGATCGCTTCTGGAGACTCGTTCTTGTTCGAGGGGTCTTCTCTTTCACCAACCTTCGTCTTGGCATCGAAAACTCGGCGTCGAAAATGAAGCCGGAGTGCCCCTTTAAGGGGGTTCGGGACAGTTAGGCCCAAAAAATTAATTTCAACATCAGCCCAATCTGACATCAGGTTTGAATAGGTACAGCCTTATATTTTCGCTTAGTAACATCAGTTTTTCAATTGCCTGAATAGGTCTTGCCAAAAACACAATTTTCCTTGATAACACAAAATATCGCAAAATCCGAAAAATGATGAGAAATCGTCCATAACACCAGATAGGACAGAAAATATGACAGAAAATTATACAGGCTGTTTGAGGTATTGACTAAGATGATATCAACACCGAAAAATGTACACTTTGGTTGACGATGGGATCCAGGTCGTCATTTCCTGGAGAAGAACAAAAAGACGCAAAAAATGAAACTTTGAATATTTTTTGCAGCTTACTGTATAACACCTTTATTTCGGTGTAATTTAAATTTCGGTAACTTCGGTACTGGTCCTGGATCACCTAATTTAACATTACACCTAAATTTTCCGAAATACCGAAAATATGTAAAAAAAAATCATGAAAATCACTGTCAAATTAAAAAAATCAACTCGTATACTGGTATACTGGTAGTACATTGTACATACATAACATGTACCGGTATTATACATATTTATGTGGAGCCTTTTGGCCTTGGCGGAGATATTAGTGCAAGAGCGTTTTTTTGTTTTTTTTTGGTGCCATGCATACCGAATTTATCCTTACACCGAAAGGTCAGGGGTTGGCTTTTACCGAAATTTTACAACACCGAAAATAAGGTGATATACAGTATTTTTGAGTTTGCCCCATATGTGGATACTTCAAATACGTTCTATATGTGGGTTGGAACAGGTTTACCGCGGCGAAAATAGAGGTCACCGTGCATATTCTGGAGAAAAATCCAAAAAACTGTCAAAATTTGCCTAAAATTGGTAAATTCACGTATCTATATTGCTTGTACTTCTCTGCTGCTGCTGCTTTGGTCATAACTTATTGGATTTTTGGCTGTGAGGTGTTGCATAAACTCGCTAGAGCCCTCGGCGTTCAGAAGAATACAAGGATGGAATAGCTGAACTAGTGAATTTGCCGGAAAACCCTGGGTGCACGCATTATCGATAGGTACTTTTCTCCATGATCACTCTCCTGTTGGTACTTGGTTTTGATACATGTACATGTAGCTGTGATAGCGCTTAGCACTGCCCCATATCAAACTACAATGAAAGCGGACATGTTGGAACGAATCAGACAACATTGAGTCCTCTTGTTCTTCAACTATGCGAGCTAGAACGTGTCCCCACACTGGCAAAAATGATGGTATTTTCGGTGCGCACAAACAAGTGAAGCACTGTGCCACAGGGCGTTACTTACAGTTGTGTTGCTGCTGGTTCTTGGCTAGGTGTTCAGCCACCGCTAATATAATCTTCCTTGAGGCTGTCACCCGCTTCTTACCTCCGACTTGCTCCTTCATCAGTCTGGAAATGGGTGGCTCACCACTTCGTTTGTAGGACAAGACAAAGTGCTTCATCACCAACCCACTAGCAGCTGCCCGCACTGCAACTGATTTAGAGAAGCACGTTGCTTGGACCAACGGTTGAAGGGTGGCCAGCCGCTTTTGCTGATGTTCTGCAAACTCCATCGCCGAACATGCTGATGCAAAAGTGACAGAGTGCTACAGGATACTGGCATCAGGGCGAGCTTCGACAATTTTAGCTAGGGCCGCAACATCCGCAACAGCATCATGAGCAGCGAACTCATTCCCAACGATGAACTATAAATCAATCGGAGGCTGTAGCTTGGGAGCTCCGGTATCGCAGTTTAGGGATCAGAGTGTTCACCCAGCACAAAAATGCACACCATCGACACACACATGCGTTCACACATACACATACACACACACACACACACACACACACATGTAACACAAAAAATTATAGAACCGCAATAATGGGATAAAAGTACCGGCAATCAGAATTGAAAACACTTGTAAATTCGCCAACACTCCAAAACACTCCAAAGCTGTGCTTAGTATGACGATAGTGTAAATGTGATAATAAGACAAGAAAGACGAAGCAAACTCTATGAGCACCAAAGAAAAAACTCTACCATGAACAAGAAAGCCACCAAGACAAGGCTACTTCTTGCCCAGAGGAACAGTCCCGAAAAGGTGCTATGAAACCAGAAAAGGATACAAGAAAAGAAACAAGTGCAAAATTCCGTACTGCGCCGCACGGTGCGTGAGAACCCCGCGCGGGATCAGCGGAAACTTCGCGGAGAGATTTAGGACACGCATTGCCAAAAGGAGAAGTGTGAAGAGGTCAAAGTACAAGTGCGATTCCAGTGCAAAACAGCAGATCACAGAAAACTATCGCAGGCAAGTCAAACTACACGTATGCATGCGTACCACTACGGCACTAGCAGATCCGCGGATCTGGCGCTAGCAACAATCGCTCGTGATCACATGATCAATGACATAATAATTATTCAAAAATGGCGCTGCTGCGACTGCACACTTCGGCAGCTGGCACATGCACATGGCAAGAAAGAAACGAAAATAATTCAAAAACAGTTCGAACACAACGAAGGAATAAGTTTGAGAGAACAATTAAATTTATCAAGTAGAACAATGTAGTATGAATCTGCCAGGGGGTGCTTGCACCTAGCGCTGGGTGACAGTAAGCGCTGAGAGACAGAAGAGAAAGAACTAACAGAGGAAGAGAAATACTACAGCGCTGCAGAACGACGATCAAACGGCAAATTCAGTAAGTCTGTCTGAGCACGCAGCGCGGACAACACTCATCATTGAACGCACTACAAAACGCAGGCCCACGCCAATACACACACACACACACACGCATGCTCTCACACGCAATAGAACACACGCGCGCGCGTACACACACATACCTTCACGCACGTGTACGTACCCACCCACATGCATGTGCACACTCATGTGCACGAGTGGAGATGCCCGCATACACATGTCACACCAACATGCCCTGGGAGCGGTCATGCACGTGTGTATAGTATGTGTGCGAGGGCACGTCCACATGAGCGCATATGCATGTGCATGTTCATACATGCGTATGGTGCACACATGCACAAACATGTAGGTCTAAGCAAACACACACACGCTCGCGCGGGCCGCGCATACAGTGTGCTCATACATTTCCATAGCCATACGGTGGCAATGACTCGCAAATATCATGAATAAATCTTATGAGATTGAAAAACACACTTACCCAAAGCAGCCTTTGGTGTTGCTTGTGGAAGCACGCGCACGGAGGCCAGGGTGCTGAGCAGTTACAGGGCTATCTGTATCTATAAAATTCTCCATCCCACACTGCTGACACGGAATGACAAGTACGCTGCCCAGGCCGTACCTCTTCTCTTCAACGCAATCAATAAGCGCCAGAGGTTTGCCACATCCAGGATTCTGGCACGCAGACAATCCCACAGCCAGATACCTGAAATGAACGATTCGTCGACCGTGAAGAGGGGCACTGAACGACCTCTTCGCGGGAGTCGAATCCAGTGGCGTTGGTGGTGGAGATCGCCCTTTTCCGTTTTTTCAGGAACTCAATCGATCGTTTGAGCTTGCGAAGCGTCCCCTCCTCGGCTTCTTGAATCGTCCAGTACGCAGAATGCGAGGCCGCGTCGTGGGTGACAGATTACTCTCCCGCGTCTTCATCTCCACGACACATCGGCAGGAGAACCAAGCTATCCAAAAACCGCCGATGTCAAAACAAATCCGCAAGTCCACTAGCTACTGAGCTTCTTCCTCAAATCTTGTCTCGACTCGAGCACGCGCTGCGAAGTCATGGTCAAACTGCTTACTCGATTGTGCATGATCGTGTCCCATTTTTCCACTCCGAAAGGCATTATTTTTCAGAAAAAAATTCGGAAATCCAACATGGTGCTAACTGTCGCGGACCCCCTTAACTGGACATCCCCAGTTCGAGGTTTGAATTATCAGATATTGTTATGTGGGAATCGTACTGATGGAAATCGGTCCTAGAGGAAACTTCTAATTAAAGGTCCATAATACAGGCGTTAATATGGGCCTGGGCGTTATTTCGGCCACATGAAATCAGACAAGATTTCACATCAACATATTCATCAACCACTAGGGTCTGTGGGTAACTAACTCTACTACCGTACTGCACTTGCACGTGGAGCTGTGCATGCACTGCCCAATGGGCGTACACACAGTGGCGGGCTAGGAAACGGAACAAGAGTGTTGACACGCAGCATCCGGTCGCGTACACGGGTAGTGCGCATTATGCTGGGTGGGCGCCTACACTGGCTTTTACAGTACTGCATACTGTCAGAAGTTAGAACGTAGTTACCGGGCATGACTTGTGCATGTACGGTGCAACTGGATGCAAAGAGGAGGCTCGTAGAACTCCAATTGGGGTTGGAATGCTACAAGTCTCCTGAAGTTTCTATTCACACAACATACCTTGCTTGCTGCACTGGTTGCAGCTGGAAAAGTGAAGACACTGTCAAACTGTGCGCTGTTGCAGAACACTAAACGGAAGCTACTAGCTGACAGGTTGGCCGATTGGATCTAAAAAATACAAAAAAGGAGAATATATACCAGATTGTATGTATGTGTGTGTGTGTGCGTGCATGCGTGCGTGTGCGCGCGCGCGTGTGTGTGTGTGTGCGTGCAAGTGCGTGCGTGTGTGTGTGTGGTGTGTGGTGTGTGTGTGTGTGTGTGTGTGTGTGCGTGTGTGTGTGCAGCCAGTGCATGCCGGAGTATGTGGTGTGATGTGTGTGCGGGAGCAAAAATAAAAAAGACCAAAAAGTAGGGATTCACTGGCCAAATAGCTGTGTGGTGTAGACCAGGCTGAATAGTGGCGGTCAATTCTTCAGCCTTGCAAGCTGCTGAATGGTGCAATCCCAGTACAAGTTGCTTTGGCTGTAGCATCGCTATCATCACCTCCGGCGATGGGCGTCCAATGGTCCAATTTTGTGTGTGTGTGTGTGTGTGTGTGTGTGTGTTGTTGACTGTCTTCTTGGGGGACAGTTTGAATTTTTCTAGCTCCGGAATTTTTCTATTTGCTGAGACTAGTTAGAGCCTCCGAAGCAGCGTAGGTACACTCAGGGCTCTCCTAGCTTGCTAGGAGAGCCCCTGGCGTGTCAAGTGTAGACCTTTTGAATTTAGGGCAGCGGATCCAACGACGTGACTTACAGGACAATTATTTGAATTTGATATTGTCACTGTCGCGTCGTCCGTAGTCCTCCATCCGCAGTGGGCTAGCTACCCCTCGGATGTGTAGAGTTTCAGCTTCAAAGCAGCCAGAGTTTGGAGGCACCCGTCGGAGGCGCCCAGCTGGTGCTCTTGTCAAATTTGCTTCGTGGAACGTCAGGACTTTAGTGAACATCGATGGCCCGGTTTCAACTGCTGCTCGTGGAAAGCGCGTCGTGGAAGACAAGAAAATCAACATCGTTGTCAGTGAACTTCGTCGGTACGAAATAGAAGTGGCTGGATTCCAGGAGTCGAAGTGGTTTGGTAAAGATATATTCCGTGTCGAGGATGCAATTGTTCTCACGTCAGGTCGCGCCATCCCAACGGACGATTTCAAACGAGGCGAAGGAGTTGGAGTCGTACTACGCGGACGCGCACAGCAAGCGTTCGTAGCAGGGGGAAATCAGTGGTCTGCTGTCTCATCGCGTGTAGCACGCTGCAAGCTAAAGTTCGGTGACATTTGGGTCCACGTCGTGGTGTGCTACGCACCGACTTTCCGGTCCAGTCGCGATGCAAAGAACGATTTCTTTGACTCTCTTCAGGAAGTTATTCTGTCCGTACCCACCCAGGACTCCTTGATAATCTTGGGAGACTTCAACGCTAGAGTTGGAGCTGAAATCTGTGACGATGGCTGGTATGGAACACGTGGCCCACATGGTGTTGGCACTGTCAATGAGGCTGGCGCTGAGCTTCTCCAGTTTTTAGCGTGCAACAGCCTTACTGTGTGCAACACCTGGTTCATGAAACGTAACATCCACAAGTGTACCTGGCAACATCCCCGCTCGAAGCGGTGGCACTGCATCGACTATGCAATGGTCCGGGAACAAGACCTGTCCAACTGCATGGATTGCCATGTCATCAGGGGAGCTGAGTGTAGTACAGATCACAACCTTGTGTGTCTCACATACCGCATCCGCTCATCTGCTTGCCACAAGCGTGCAAAAAGACCTGTCAAGTTTGATGTGCAACAACTTGTCAAACACTCCTGCATGACGGAAGCGCAGAGAGCTGCAACCTGTAAAACTCGTGAGCAATATGCGACGTCTGTTGCGTCAGAGTTACGATCCTGGAATCATGATGGCTGCGTTGAGGACAAATGGTCTGCCGTCAAATCTGCTATCGTCACCAGCGCTGAGAAGCATCTTGGCCGTCCACGTCGTCGCCAGCCTGATTGGTTTGAAGCGTGTGCTGATGTTCTTGCACCTATGCTGGATAGCCGCAATGCCTTACATCGCAAATGGCTCGCCTCTGGTTCTGACGCTGACAGGCGTCGCTTTGTCGAGGCTCGTGGCAAGTGCAGAGCTGCCGTGCGTAACGCAAAGAGTGAGTGGATTGGACGTAAAGCTAATGTGGTTGAGTCAAGTCGGTTTAGTGGCAAGCACGCATGGTCTGCAATCCGTGATATACAGAAGTGCTATTCGGGACTATCACCTATCTCCATTCCATCCATCCGTGACAGTGACGGAGTTATCTGTAGCTCCCAGGAGGGGCAAGAGAAATGCTGGCTGCAGCATTTTGCCCGTCTATTGAACATTCGCAGCACCTTCGATGCTACCATCTTTGACCACATTGAGCAGCGTGAAGTTGATGAGTCACTCGGCCAACTTCCCTCGCTAGAGGACCTCACTATGGCTATACGCCAGCTGGCTAATTGCAAGGCTCCTGGCTCATCTGGAATTGCACCTGAACTGCTTAAAGCTGGTGGTACACCATTGCTTGAGGCTCTGCTTGATGTTATTCACACTGCATGGACCAACGGAACGGTTCCCCAGGATTGGCGGGATGCCCAACTCGTCCCGATTCCCAAAAAGGGTGACTTGACCAACTGCAACAACTGGCGCGGCATTGCCCTCCTAGATGTCGCTGGCAAGGTTTGTGGCCGTCTCATTCAGGACCGTCTCCAACTTGTCGCGGAACAAGAACTTCCAGAATCCCAGTGTGGCTTTCGCCCTGGTCGCGGCTGCGCTGATGCCATCTTTTCCATTCGCCAGCTCATCGAGAAATCGTACGAGCACCGTCAGAAGCTGTTCTGTGTCTTCGTAGACCTGAAGAAAGCATATGATTCCGTACCACGCCAAGCACTCTGGCTAGCATTGGGGAGGCTAGGCATTCCTGAAGGGCTCCTCAATCTAATCCAATCGTTCCACGAGAGCATGCAGGCAGCTGTGCGCGTCGGTGCCAGCACTACCGAGCCGTTTGCGGTCAACAATGGCCTCCGTCAAGGCTGTGTGATGGCCCCAGTACTTTTTAATCTGTACTTCGGTGTTGTGCTTGAGCGGTGGGCACAAGTGATGCAGGACAGCGACCATCCACCTGGCATCCCCATCCAATTTAGCATCAATGGCAACCTTTTCTCAAAGCCCGCTCGCCAGTCTACTGCCGCAATCATCAACGACATTGAGTACGCAGATGACGCGGTCTTGCTCGCTGAAGACCGCCCTGGTGCTGAGAAGTGCCTTGAAACATTCTGCACGGTTGCCTCTTCCTTTGGCCTCTGCGTCAACGCTGCTAAAACGAAATTTCTCGTGGCAGGTAGCCAAGTCAACATGCCTGATAGAGCCGATATGAACGTCAACGGTGATACTGTGGAGCACGTTCCATCCTTCATTTATCTGGGGTCCGTCGTGACACCGGATGCCCGCTCCTCTACTGACATCAGTCGCCGCATAGCTGAGGCTTCCAAAGCCTTTGGAGCTCTTCTTCCAGTCTTGTCGGATCGCTCGCTGTCATTAGTCAGTAAGCGAAAGCTATACGTGGCCTGTGTCTTGTCCATTTTGCTGTACGGCAGTGAGTGCTGGACGCCCTTGAAAGCTGATAGTAGACGTTTGGATGCCTTCCATCATCGCTGCATCCGCACAATATTAGCCATCCCTCGCAGTCAGCAGCAATCCGATCGCATCACGTCTGCGCAGTTACGTCGTCACTGGGGTGACCCAGTGCCACTCTCTGTTAAGATGTGCCATCGTCGTTTAGAGTGGCTTGGTCATGTGGCTCGGATGTCGGAGGACCGTGTCCCATTGCAGCTGTTGTTTGGTCGTTTGTTGGCTGCGCGCCCCTTCTGCGGTCCCAGGCGTAGGTGGAGAGACGTTGTGGCTACTGACACGAAGTCCATTCCAAACTGGTTTGATTGCGCACAAGACCGGTCAGCTTGGCGAGAGCAGGTTCTGGTTTTTCAGCCTCCTCGGGCAGTAGAGAAATCCGTACTCTGCTCATCTTGCAACCGGGCTTTCTCTCGTCCTCAAGACAAGGCACGGCACAAGTGTTTGGCTGAGCGCCAACTTCCCGTCCACCAACAGCGTGGTTCAGCACAGTGCGTCAGTTGCTGCCGATGGTTCCGCAGTAAGGGTGGGCTTGCAGTTCATCGCTGCCAGCCTGCACTCCCTGAACATGCAGATACGGCATTGACGGCGTCTCTCGCTAGTTGCTGCTTCCAGCATTGTCAACGCTGCAATCGCTGCTTCAAGTCCCGGGCTGGTTTTAACCGCCATAACTGCAACCGTGGAAAACGTCTTGCTGCAGCCGATAGGGAATCACTGCCGCTGATCTGCATGCATTGCCCGAAACGTTTCCGACGACAGCAAGATTTGACGAGGCACCAGAACTCCTGCCAATGACGGTGCACTCCAAACTCTGGCCCCCTCCGGGGGTGACATTGCCCAATGGGCAGTCATGCTATAGTAGTAGTAGTGTGTGTGTGTGTGTGTGTGTGTGTGTGTGTGTGTGTGCGCGTGTGTGTGCGTGTGTGTGCGAGCACATACCAGTTTGTTGAGGTTGGCTGGGCCCAGCGGCTGGCCATTCAACAAATCCTGCAACGATATACTGCCTGTAGTGGAGTAAATAGACGCAACCGACGCCGCGAGAAGTGGATTGGCCAGTAGTTGCTGACGGCACAGGCTTGCAACAAGTGGCAGCTGATCACATAGCTGAAGCGGACCTTTGAGGACTTCCTGAGTGGTGTTAGAATCACTCAAAACTAGCCTTGCCAGCTGTAATGGACAATATCAAGAACACAGGATGGAGATAGAATTACAATCCGAATTTGAGAGAGAGAGAGAGAGAGAGAGAGAGAGAGAGAGAGAGAGAGAGAGAGAGAGAGAGAGAGAGAGAGAGAGAGAGAGAGAGTGGGTGAGTGAGAGAGAAAGAGAGAGAAGGCAGCAAAAGATATCCCTGTACCTCGGTATAGTTCACAGATGCTCCAGCTAAAGCCGCCGCATCAACTGGCGATAATTGCAGTTGCTGTTGAAGTTCTCTCTGCAAAGCCGTCACTGAACAAGACAATAATAATTACACACAGCACACACAGTTGGAGAGAAGGGCAAATTTACCACAATGCTCATAGAGACAACTTCAAGCAGAGCACTGAATCTAGTTGTTGGAGAAAGAAAAAAGGATAGAGAGGTACTGATACACATGTGGATGGTGACAGGCATAAGTGTATGACAACACTCACCATTCGGATTGAATTGTGACGTGTTTGCTGCCAGCAAGCCCAATCCACCAGGAGTCTGTAGTGCCTGTGGGGCACAAACATTTTAAGCATGAAGATCAAGTCAGTATTTATTTAGTATTCGAGCATACTAAATTGGCCGTTGACAACTTTGTAGCAACTGAGTACAAGCAACCATAGCGTCCCCCACCATGTGTTGTTTTGCAGTGAAAATTTCAAATTTTACAGTGTACCTAGATATCTTTTCTCCATTCGGGAAATAAGTCCACCAGCCCTTCCTCCCTCCAGCAGCACAGCATAGAGCAGTGACTTGCAGGAAATCACAATCACCAGTCATCGTGCGAGTCCTGCGCTTTACATTGTCTTTCCCGAGCAGCAAGGAGATCGACTTGGACTCGCAGGTAATGTCTCCTGCTGACTGTGGGAGGCGATGAGCCCACAGATTGCTAAAAAAAACAGTGATGAGCAAAACGACGCTAAGGTTTTTGTACCAACACAGCTCGTTGGCATGCGTCTGGTGTGTGTGTGTGATGTGTGTGTGTGTGCGCACGCGCGTGTGAGTGTGTGTGAAGTCATAACTTTGGAGCCCTATAGGGAAGCAGGAGTTGTCTATTCAACATGGTCATCAGAATGGTGACATTCTGCGCATACCGAAGAAATGGTCTGGAACGCACGCGGGATGTTATTCAACTGAGAAAAGTCCTGACCCGATCCAGCAAGTACTTGAACCACATTAGTCAAAACCGACGCTCTAAAGGCAACAAGACAAGAAAAGCACACCAAGATAGACAGCAAGCGCAAAACAAGGACAGACTGATTGCGACACAATTGTGTGTGTGTGTGTGTGTGTGTGTGTGTGTGTGTGTGTGTGTGTCCGTACCCAAGCGCGTATTGGGACTGGAGGGGAGGGGGTAATTCACTGGTCAACAGGCTTTGCTAATGGGTTACTGAATAGTGGCAATGAAGGGACGTTCGCATGAACTATCTGTAGAGCCTAAGGGTGCTTTCATACTAAAGGATTGCGGTAACCTTTACCAGCGGTTTTAGTGTGATCAGGCCAATTCTCCATTCACATGCACTAGTAAGTAACCCCATCATGGGAAACCCCAGCCTGTTCCCATCATGGATCTGCTAAGTTGACCCACACCTGCTCGTAAATTCTCATGGGATGATTCTCCTTCTCCGAGGTGAACATGACCAGAGGCATTCTAGATCAAGAGTTGCATGTCTAGGCATCTAAAGTACTCAGCAAGAGCCCAAAGGTGAATGGACACAATGGAAAGTACAGTGGTCTGCGTGTGCTGTGTGCCAGTGCTACATATTAATTGCTGTACGTTGCCGGCAGTAAAGGCTTCTGGACTCCTTAGAAGTGGTGAGACATATTTAACGTAAATTTTGAAAAATGTCAAGGCGATATTCCCATTACTGGCGCTCTATCCCAAAGCATGAATTCACCCTACTTATAGGGGATTCACACTCACGGGGAAACCTGAGGTCACGGGACAAGGTAAAAGTTGGGACCTTCGGGCAACGGAGTGGGTCCGTTCACACCCGTGGTCAGCTTTCCCTTGGCCACATGTTTGGCCATGAATTTGTGGCGGGGCAATTAAAAAAATAACCTGTACTGCATTTTGTAGTACATTCTGTACTATATTTTGCATTCGCCATGCACGATTATCCGATGGGCACTGTCTGAAAATGCAGGTTGCGATGCACTCGTACACCTAGGGTTCAGTGTTCTCGCCAAAGACAAGATCTACGCATGCGCGTCTTATAACCATGGGATTTTTCCCTTGACAAACGCCCTGAGGCCCACGGCCACGGCTTTGCCAATTTTTCCCGAGAGGTTCTTCCTTTCCCCCAGTACCATGGTTTCCATAACCACTTTCCCATAACCTTATTTTACATGTGTGTGTGAATCCCCTATTAGATAGCCCAGTGGCAAAGGCAGGCGCATCAACTCATGCAAGGACATGGATACGAGTGAATGTGCAAAAGGCATTCTAAGGCTGTACATAAGCCGTAGTGTGCAGTTCATTCACAATACACTCATACCTTCTTTATCCGAGCAGTCTGGGACCACTGCCCGAAACTTTGAAATGTCTGTAACTCAGAATCACGTACCGTATTTTCCGGAGTATAGTGCGCACTTTAGATGTGCTATTGTAGGCCCTAAATCGCAGGTGCGCACTATGCACTATGAAATGCATGTACTTCAATGAAGATTGAAGTGCGCACCCCCAATGAAGATTGGGGGTGCGCGTTATACAAAGGTGCGCACTATACTCCGAAAAATACGGTACATTTTGAAAGGCATTAGATATGGCATATGGCATCACTATTTCCATAAAAAGTGACAAAAGAGTAGTCATATTTTCCACTAAAACTCGTTCAAAGGGTGCCCAGGTAAACCAAAGTGCCTATAACTGAGGTATAAGTGCACTGAAGAACTGAAAGGGGCTGCTATGCGCGCACATATGCATGCAGCCACATCAAAACTTACGGTGTGAATGAGAAGTCAGGGAACCCATTCCGGTCCACCTTCTGTGCACGTGCACCGTGTGTGCTGCAAACGTACGTCTGCATCCATGGAATATAGCCAGCTGACGGCATAGCAACTCCCCTGCCACGCTCTGAAGGCAAAAGAGATTGAAGTGTACATCAACAGTAGCAGCAGCAGCAGTATCACCACCGCTGCCATCACCACCTCCAGTAACACGCGCCCAGTAGCACAGAAAGCAGCTGGGACTCATTCACTTACAAATGATAGCTTGCAGCAGTAGTCAGGAAACAACACCACATCACCATACAACTGGTCATACAGTGATTCCTCACCCGGTCCTTCACAGCAATAGTTTTGAACTGTAACTGCTCAGATGGTCAAAGTCAATACAATCCGTCATACAGATGGTGCTTGGCGGTTCATTGCAAAGAACCACTATTTCTAGCATAATGCATACATGAACGCCGCTGTCACGAGGCAAGCTTGGAAAATTGTGGCCAAGAATGAGATACGTGAACGAACAATGAAGCACTGTAGCTGTAGTGCTGTGCATTTTGAAAAAGACTTAGGCTTACCACTAAAGATTTTTAAAAGACTATTTTTGACCATTTTTTTTAAGAAAAAAAGAAGAAGAAGAAACCAACACGGTACAAGCAAAAAAATTAGTCGGTGAGTAATTTCGTCCAACTCTAAGAATTTAAGTTTGTCCCGCCGAAAATGTACAGCATTTAACTTAGTCTGAAAACTCCTTGGCTGGAAAAGACAACATTAAATTCCTGACAGCAATTTCTGCTTACACAGAACTAAATTTGGTCACCATCTGAAGATGCCAGGTATCCAGCCTTTTGAAGTAACTCAGCCAAACATGCTGTGCACGGTCAAGAATAGTCTACTTGCACTAGTGAGAGACATTAAGGAACACGACTTACGTTGCATGTCCCAGGAGCCCTTGCGTGTCCGCCGAATCCCGCAGATAATCAGTACCAGAATAAGCGGCCATATCAGCTCTACAAGAACAACAATCTGAGACAAGCAAAGAGAGGACAAAAACAAGGGAGATATCGGTGATGCTAAGACTAGAGCGATCTACACTGTGCTGGGCATGTGCACAGTGACAGGCACGAGTGCAATGACTAAAACACACACTTATATACATGAATGGACTTGGATGGAGAGCCAAGGGAGATGTGCTAGAGCTGTTAGCCAGTTAGTTGTAGAACGTCAGTACCGTCGGTCAGTGTCGTGCAATGTTATCGCATGAGCTGATTGTTTAGTAACTGGTGGTGTTAGTGGACATTATAGCGTAACTTGTAGTTTCTTGGTCTTTTTTTCTTTACTTTTAACCCTTTATTACTGGCCTGCAGACTTTCGATCATATATGATCGAAAGTCTGCAGGCCAGTAATATCTTCGTGACTCGACCATTTCTTGTGCGAATTCAACAATCGAAAGGTCGATTTGGTAGCGGAAACTCCAAGCTATCCAATGCAATAATCGCCGAAGAGTTACCATGTCGGACACCAGAGATATCGCACGCCGTATTCTCACCTCGGCAAAATTCAAATTTTTGATCGATCACTTCGCCATTTTTTGGGAAAATCCCTTGTCGTGCGCTCTTTGAGCGACTAAGCACATGATAATGACGTAGTCAGCTGAAGTTTGAATCGTCTGAAACAAATTTGAGCGTTCTGCGATGAAGGAGAGTGGAATGGCGTTGATGGGACGAATTTGCTTGCATATCAGGCTTGGAGACAACTTTGCTATGTTACCACACCTGATCTGTGGCGACTGGATAATGGAGCTTGGTACCCTGGCGTTGCTCTCGCCAAGAGCTTTCCAACGAGCCCTAGATTGTGAAAATCAAGTGAAGGAGACCAAAGTTATGACCTGGTGAAGTTGGAAATTGTGCTGAAATTCGTAATCCTGGTGCATGCTGTGCAAGTAATCCGGTAATAAAGGGTTAACTTATATACATGTAGCTAACATGTTGTTAGTTTGACAGCATGAAATAAGGTGGGGGACACTGTGTTCGGAAACAGTGACCTTACTACAACCACCCACGGTTGGCAGAGTTAAAGTAGCTACATGACTATCAGGACATCCAGGAGCGATCAAAGAATACACGACTGACGTAAGGAGAAGTCTAAAAACTCCCCTAGCATAATGAGGGTCAGAACCGGGTTCAACACCCATATGGTAGCCAGTGCAGGCTAAATTTTATTTTTCAAGGAAACCCTTCGAAAATGGTACCAATCGATTCAGCATGGCATTTTCATTCCTCCTGCAAAGTTTCAGCTGATTTGGAGTGATGACAAGGACGCTATGGCGATTTGAAGATCGAAAAACTTCACTTTTGTTTGTCAAGAAGAAAGACCATGATCGCACACAAATCATACAACCCGTGTGGCACAATGATTTTTGAACGAAGTTGATCCGCGGACCCCGTGCATGCTTCGCGCATGCATCATCATTGCATGCATGCATACTGCATGCACACACACAGTGCAGAGGCTTTTTTGAACGCGGATATGTAGTTCTTCGTCTTCTTCGAAATGTCTTCCAAATGCGTGGTGCTGGTGTTGTTCTCAGCTTCGTCAAGGCAGAATGCAGCTGCATGTGATGCTCCTGTGTGTTCATGCATGTTCTCTTTTCGCGTCTCGACATTGTAGCGTCCAGACTCAGCTCGACTGGAGAAGATTGAGGAGACTATGCTTTGATCCACATGGAAAATCGATGAAATTTGGTAATTATCGTCGGGCGCTAAAAAGCGCTGGGGAGCATGGGGCTAAAACTTCGTAGCAGTCATCCCTACCATGACAGGCATCGACTGGTATATGTTCCATTCTGTTCCCAACCACTACGGGTAGTCTGCAAAGCTTTCTTCTTCGCCGATTCTCGGACAGATCGTACGTCTTCGCACTGTATCTCTCGTCTCCCTCAACGGATCAAAACACGGTTTTCGCCAGGACGAACACAAACCCCCAGATTTCGCGGCGGCAACAACTTCGAGTAGGGAAAAGCTAGCAGCTAACCAGGAATCACCAAAAAACACGTGTAATACTCAGTGTGATTTGCGACAGCTGTCATTGTGCCGTCGCACCATGCATGTACCATGCACGGGAATGGAACACGGATGAGTCGTTTTATTACGACAGCCTGCACTGGCTACATATGGTTCAGATGGTCCCAACGGACCGGGGCCCTGCCAACAGTGGATGGTTGTAGTAAGGTCACTGTTTCTGCACACAGTGTCCTCCACCTTGTTTCATGCTGCCAAACTAACAACATGTGTGAACTATACCAAGGTTTATCTAATACTTATATTACTAGCATTGAACTAGTATTGGGTTATATAATACCATGTAGCTAACATGTAGCTAATATGGTTTCAGAAAGAAAACGTATCACTCACACTCTTCAAGTAATACGCATGCACTATAACGTTCATCCACACAGTATCACATTCATCTGCCACTACCTTTCTCACATACACTATATTCACACACAGGAAAGGTGTAAACTTCGCTTTTTGCTCTTGCTGGCTGCTGTATTTCTACCATATTTAGCTACATGTATAACTGTGTGTTTTAGTTATTACATTTTTATGTGACGGCGTTCCACTGATGAAAGTCACGAGAAAACGTTATGGAACTTAACTTTCTTCATAATTTGCTGTTGTTCTCAGTGCACAATTGATCTTATTGCCATAGGGGACAAGATCTGGAAAAAACAGATCAAGACTGCCTATACCGTAGAATCCCGCAGATAAGCCATGGGCTTATCTGTTTCATAAGGACATTTCGGTGGGCTTATACAAGAACATGGGCTTATACGCGGACATGGGCTTATAGCTATACGCTGACACCAACATTGTGCTATTGAAAAGTACCAAGAGAAATACATTGCTGAAAGCCACTGTGCAAACAAAAACAACCAAAGATTGTGTTGAAATGTACAAAAAAACCTACATGACATTGTACTACCTACATTTACATGGTACGACTTAGGCCCATGGGCTTGTATCACACACTGTCTGTCACAGTGTCAGCGAGAGAGCATGTGCCAGGTGCCTGACTGATACTAGTAGTATAGTTTTCAAGGAAAGGCTTTGCATAGACAAAAGAAAAAATGAATTACACGATGCAACAAGTGCAATAGTATAATTATTGGATACGGTGCAGAGTTTTCAAGGAAGCAGCATCACACAAGGTCGTAACTAATAAAATACTTAGTTCTGCAAATCATACGAATACGAGCTGTTGCCACCTTTGTTTGCGTCGCAGCTGACGCCTCTGTTTAGCATAATGAATTTATACTTCCACATGATCATGCAAAATAATCACATCTCACGTGCACGCATCACTGAAATCTCTCATCGGTGGATTAGATCGTGTAGATTTAATCAACAGCACCAAACTAATATTACTTGACCATTACTAACCGGCTGTCTTCTACGTAGGAGAAAGTTTTTCCACACTAACAGCTTGAGCTGAGCAAACTTCAGTCGAATCATAATGCTACGATATTCCCATGTACAAACAGTTCGTCTCAAACAGATCGAGAAGACAACACGAGGCTTCCTCTCTCACAGCCAATCAACGTTACAAATTGCAAACGGTGTATATCGATCAACACCCTCCACCTTCCAAATCCAACATCTTGTTCGTCCAATGAACACTGTCAATCTGACTGAATGATGGACTGACTTTTCAGCTTCGTACCAACACCAAAAATAGAAAACACACAAGTAGTTCTCCTTGACTCCACCTGATCTGAGCTGACCTGTATCATTCATGTGTATGCACCAGGGTGTCGTAGCCGGATACATGTACCTGCCACGACTCCCTGGCCTGGTAGTCTACTACAAGTACTACTACATTTTGTACTAGTACTATGGCATCCATGCATGGTATGCACACATTGCACAGTCAGTGGGGTCGACACACAAATCGCGTGAAGTTACGTCTTGATGAAGGTATGCATACACCATGTACACCGCGCGCGGTACCGGTACCGGTATCCGCATGTGCATGTGAAATGACGGAGTAGATCTACGAGTCGTAGATCTACGAGTCGTAGATCTACTCTCAAGTGGAGGTCATCATGACGCAGCGCAGAAGGTGTATATCTACTGATTCAGTGATTGCATGCAGGGAGCCCTACACATACCAATTTATTTACCATGCATACCGGGAGGTGACACGGGCACAGAAACTGTGCATGACGGTATGTGTAGGGCTCCGGAGCTCCCTGATTGCATGCACATCCAAAACCAGGGACGCGACGCGACCGGGAGTCGTAAATACCATAATTAATATTAATTATTAAATTATTTTTACGACTCCCTGTCCAAAACTGTTACTTGCCTGCTCCATAAAATGCAGTGCAGGCATGCCGGTGGCCGTGGAGACTTCTAGAAGTAGAAGTACGTAACACCGTCATTGTATACTACTAGTTAGTTACCGCAATATGATGTGAGGCGCTATGCCTTGACATCCTGAGCCAGCTCTGTGCCACTTTGTGGCTGGGCCGTCATCAAAGTAAAATAGCGCTCCTCTTGTCTTAGTCTTGGTGTCATGTGGTGCCAACAATCGCGATCGCGATATCGCGCAGTGTGCCTCGCACATAATTATTATTACCCATATAAAAACCGCTCTGTGAGCGGTTCTGAAAAACCTCTACTGGTGCAGCCCCGTCGTAAAAGTAAGAAATTAGAACTGGCGCATTGTCCTCCCAAATGTGAACTGATCCACCTAAATCGCGATTGACGGGACCCGAACGCACCAGTAGCACGAGGTTCCTACCTGTGGATGCAGCTGGGGACGCTGGTCCATAGCCAAAGCCAAAGCGGCAAAGGTGGGCTTCGGGGTAGATCTAAGTGTTGTATGGTAACTTGATCAGCGCCGACGCCGGCTGTGATCCTGTGCCCTCCCGACCTCGTGCTACTGGTGCGTTCGGGTCCCGTCAATCGCGATTTAGGTGGATCAGTTCACATTTGGGAGGACAATGCGCCAGTTCTAATTTCTTACTTTTACGACGGGGCTGCACCAGTAGAGGTTTTTCAGAACCGCTCACAGAGCGGTTTTTATATGGGTAATTTCAGTTCTTTTTCTGTTCCCTCCCCCACCCTAGCCCAGCTCCGAAGATAAACATGGTGAGCACGCGCGCGATGCACTGTATGTAGCCATGCAACTGCAGTAGCACACTGATACATTCCAGCCCTCCCCACCTCCCTACCCCGCACACAGACACCTTGTGACAAACACGCACATGCACATGGCACACACACACATGGGCACGCACACACATACATACACACACACACGACCCAAACAGGAAATTCTTGATGAACATTGTATAATGCCATGCAAAGCAGTGGCCACCATACTTCAGGAAGTCAGTTGTGAAACAAAAATAATTCAACTACAATGTGTAGGTAAGCTAGCAGCCAAAGTATAACATTGCAAACCGTGATGATATTTGCCTAAGGATTGCAGTTTGCAGACCACACCATGGAAGCAGTGAATACAGAATTATTGTAATGTCATACAAAGACGAGCAAAGAAGTGGCCACCATACACCAGAAACTTGCAGAAAGTCACATATCCAACAGATAGAGAAGTGAACAGCATCTGGTACAGCCCACACAAAACCAAGCTGACCTGATACTCGTCCGAAGATCGTAAGTGGCAGATCCTTTTCAACGATAGCATGCAGGTGTACGTTACACGCATGGACAAAATCTGACCGTGTCATCGGCATACATTGTCATCACATGCATACCCCACAGGTTACACACATGCACAGTAGAAGCACAATAAAAGCAATGGAAAAATATGAAGGGGTTGCTGAAGCATCTTCACACTTCAATTTCAGACTTCGATGTGGTCGTCACGGGGTGATATACCTGTAAGATACAAGTGATACAGAAAGAAAGCATAAGGTCGTGAGGTAGGCTATGAGACACCACAAATGGGTCACCTACATGTATGTTCAGGGCTGGTGTACACACACACGCAGAATTATCATAATCGAGAATTTCCCAAACTACAGAAGAGCAATGAAATCCATTTGCATGCACAGGAGCAATTTTGCAGTATGATGCGCAGCTCGGGAATACACCTGTTGGCAATGGATTACATTCCCATTGGAATTCCCATTCACGTGGGATTCACAGAAGCAATTTGGCAGTGTGCTGCGCAATGCGACACGACCTGCGATTCTGCGTGCGATGCAAACTCGCACAAAATACCATTCACAGAATCAGGACAAGACGTCAGCGATGCAACAGCGCCTTGCTGACGTGCCTCAAGTCAAACCTCAATGAGAATGCGTTTGTCGGTTACAACTGGTACAAATGTACAAGCAATTTCTGAAAATGCTCCTGTGAATCCTGCTTTAAGCAGTGCAGGAATGTCCCTCCTCCGCTCCCCCCCCCCCCCCCCCCTCCACACCCTCAGGGAACTTGACAAGGAAGGGTGGTCTTCGCGGTTCCCAACATCTATTTGCAGTTTCTGGTCTCCACTATGTCTTTTCAATGGGGATTTGTACGTACCATAAAAGCAAGCCTAAAAAATGAACAGCACATTTGCCGTTCCCCCACTGGGGAGGATGCGTTCCAAAGCTATCCTGACAAGATACTCCGAGAAGCGGTGCTGAGTGCAATGCATTGTGAAACTGAAAAAGCTGACCAAGCCGCGGCATATAACGTCTAAACTTCAATTGTAGTTCGCCAGCTGACTACTTTCAGACTCCATGTAGGTTGGAGTACAGCTGGCTTAGAAGTTTGACAACGGCGCACGCACATAAGCAATGGCCACCTTACCTGTACTGTGGCAGTACTTCCGAGTTCCCGTATGGGAGTTCCCTCACTGTGTGTGCAATAGCAGCCTCATCGGACCAGTTCAATGCGACGCGGACAGTCCGACACTGAGGAGGACATTGAAGAAGTCAGAGACAGGAAGAATGGTTGATTTACAATTCAACTAGCAAGGCTGCACACCAACGAAGTTCCACTCACCATTGTGCCGTCCTTCTTGGAATGCAGAAATAACGCTTCCTCTCGAGAACGCAGCCTGTGACAGAGAAAAAGGAAGGAGCATCGCCATCGGCATTGGTCCTCTGCTATCACCGATTGCCGAGTTGCACAGTTCACTCTAACAAGACTGAGGATGTTCAAGAACTCCCCATCCATACCATTATTGGGGTAAGAGGAAAGGTCAGATTGCCTAGTTCCTAGGGCCTAGCATTCCTGGATGCCAGGATGTGCTGCCCCCCCCCTCCCTTCTACTGCCTGGAAAGGGCAACATATGTGACAGCGTTCACCAGTACAGTCGGAGGAGAACATGGGAGAAGGCAAAAAAGGGCAACACACATGAATCCCTTATAAACAAGCAGTGGTAACTCTAGCACCAGCAATGTTGGACTTACATCCCAGCCATTGCCGCCGGATTCAGCGGCTTCTTCTTCTTCGTCTCCCATCTTGGAAGCACTCCTTCCCGTAAGTTCAGTCCTGGGATCGGGAGTACAGTCGGAGGAGGACGTCGGAAAAGGCAAAAAGGCAACACGCATGATTCCCTTATAAGCAAGCAGTGGCTACTCTGGCACCAGCAATGTTGGACTTACATCCCACCCATTGCCGCCGGATTCCCACGCTTCCTCTTCGTCGTCTTCCAGTTCCCAGGTTCCATCTTGCAAATACTCCTTCCCGTAAGTAAGTGCAGTCCTGGCCTGGGTGGATGCGCAGTCATTGACGATGGCGGAGATGGAGCAGGTCAGGGAGCCCTATAGGGGTCCCGAGAGCAGATTGTGGCCAAATTCGGGACGATGCCGGACGCCAGTCAGTATGAAGTAGCGAATTGCGGACCGCCACGTAGATTGGGGTCGCGGGGTCATAATCCATGGGCACTACTCGTACGTTGCTCCAAAAAAGGGCACTGCACTGTTCCACAGTTGCTGTTAGCGGTCGCCAAAGGCACTTGGTAGGCCGGTAATTGGGTCACGTGTCAACAAAGTGTCAACAACGTGTCAACAACGTGTCGACCACGTGTCTTTAGCGGTACACTAATTTTGGTGTCCCCAAACTGAAAACATCGAGCACCAGTATGGAAAGGCTTTAGACAGAAAGCCTTTCCAATAGTGCAGTGAGTCCGTACCGTGTCCACCGTGTACTGGCTGCTCTCAACACTGCACGAGCGATCCACTACTGCACTGCACTTTGTCACCATGGTCACAAAGTAAGTAAGTACTAGTAGTAGTAGTACTAGTAGGGAGGTTTCGCTCTACGGAATTACGTATGAAAATAACGTATGAACTGCACGGAATTTTCATACGTGAAAATCAGAGCTGTTGGGTTTCGCTCTACGTGATTTCTCCACGACTGCTCAACATGCGTTGTTGCTTTGGAGACGCGTTGGCTGCATGCGCCCACCGTATGCACCATGAACCGAAACCGCGTTTTCCATGATATTATGCACGTGGTGTACGGTGTGTGTACCTTGTGTTTCGCGCGGCTTGAATGTTGCCATGGACAAATGCGGAAAATGCGAAAATATATTTCAAAAAGTCCTACGGAGGACCCAACGTAGGAAAGAGCTTTCCTACGGAAATCCGTAGAGAGATTTACGTATGAAAGTTGCCCTCGCTCCCCGGATCGTACGACATACGGATTTTCATACGTAATTACGTAGAGCGAAACCTCCCTAGTGTAAGGGCGCGTTCGAATTGTCTTCATCAACTGTTCAAACAAATTTTATAAAGAGATTACCGGTAGTCACAGTGAAGTGTCCCATTAGAACGGTTTCTATCATTAAATTTTTATAGTTTTTCGGTGGAATTGTCATGGCGATGATGACGTCCGATCAGATCCACCATCTCCACGTACTACGTGACGTAGCTATTCCAAACTAGGCCTCGACCAAATATGCTAAAAAAAGAGCATATTATGCTCGTCGCATATCAGGGAAAACGTCGATAATATGCCAAAGGCTTAGCAAGATATGCAAAAGATATGCCAAAATACGCTCGACAAAAGCAGAACTCTGAGTGTAGATCATTTCAGTAAAATAATACAACCTTGGAATATTCATTGGCTTCAAGGCTATCATGCTTATGGTAGGGATCTCAGTGCGTGAACTGCGCAGCCAGTCTGCGCAGGTGAGATTTCGATCCCAAACGCGTCCAGTGAAGAAACCGTGGAAAAGAACATTTTTTTCGAAATAAATCAAGTAACTTAGTTGAAGGCCGCAGACAGTAGAAATGGCTGAATGTTGCGTCCAGGAAAGCACGTTCTACGGCCATCTCCAAGCTACCTATCTCCCAGACACTCTCTCAGAGGAACTATGGAGGGTCAAAGAGCACAATATTTCACTCTTGGACGCAGCGTGAACACCTCTTCTACTGAGCGCGATGTCTTCTTTCTGAGTGATAATGGCGGCGATGTTCAAGTCGCGATGGCTGATGCACTGAAAATCGAAGTTAGGACCTAACCGGAGAAAACGTCTGAATTTTTGACGGAATCCTCTCTGAAGTGGGTTCTTGCCGCATGGCAAATTATAGGAAAATCGACCGGGGCGATATCGCCTTGGCCACGCTGTCCTTCGGCGGGAATCACAAAGTATGTTCGAACGACGATGAAGATGACGATTCCACTAGTGTCCACCGCTTCCGCTAGCGTCGAAAATCGACCGTCGCCCCATTTTCTGCTGTGTCCGCGATAGGCCTGTCTGGATTATTTTTCGCATTTTGGGTTCAGCTTTTTTTCGCATTTTGGGGGTTTTTCAGCATTTTTCAACATTTTGAGCATATTTTGCATGCTCATCGGGATCTGTACGGTCGGCAGCCTTGAGTGCACTGGCTCTGAAGAAGCCATTATTTTTATTTTTATTCTCGTATCCGTTCCCAAGGGGAACTCACGACAATGGAGTGAAAAACATACACAAAAATAAAAAAACATGGTGATGTGGAGATAATAGTGTTGCATACATTGAGTACAAAATAATACAGATACAACCAGTGCTTCGGATGCCTGTAGACCCTGATATACATGTAGTGAGCACAAGCACCGTCCACACACGTAAGACAGTCCATATGTTCATGTGATGTCCGAGCAGATGTTGCCCCATCTCGTTCGATCGGCCGCAAAGTCCCGGAGCGTGTCTAGGTGTCGATTCGTCTTCAGTGCAGCTGCACGGTTAGCTTGCAGTCTCGAAGAAGCCATACAACCAAACAAAATGATCGATTCCTTTAGACTATCGAAAACAACCACATCCTTTGCACGCGCTTCCTCCACGTGCACTTGGAACGGCAAGGGATTCAAGTTTTGCGCCATTTCGGTTGCCATGGTAATGGCAGCATAATTTTGCATTTTGGGTGAAATTTTGAATTTTTTTAAAAAGATTTTTTAGCATTTTGGGTAAATTTCCAAAAAATAAACATTTCCATTTTGACCCTTCAAAAAACGCATAATCCGGACAGGGTTTAATAGTCCGCGAGCTGCACTCAAAACTCGATGACGCAATGTATGGACAAACACCCTGCGCAGTGCGCACTGCACGCGCTGAGATCCCTACTTATGGTGCAAATCAAAACACATGCGGAATAGTATGGCTGGGGGTGTGTCCCCAGCAACCGTAGCGATAGTAGTGTTCATCCATGGGGAAATGTAGCAAACGTCTCAACCATTCCAAATTCATCCGTAAAAGGCACTGTCTGAACGCATTTTGTCCATAATAATTATGAATGTTTTGTCCTCATTTTCTTCAGAATATTTGAATTATATGCTGGCTTCATTCCAATACCGTAAAATTCCGTAAATAAGCCCACCCTAAATAACGCCCATGTCCGATAATAAGCCCAGTTTTAGGCGGTGTACACTTCAAGTCCTTTTTAGCGCCCATGCCCGAAATAAGCCCAGGGCGTAAAGTGGACTCAAAATGACCAGCGCGTGAGCATGCCTTCGCGTAAATGCCGGTACCTGTTGTGCCTTGTACTTACATGTACATGTATATAGCAAGTGGTTTACATATCAAATCTGTAATTTATCGCTACATTCTTGGTTACGACCAAATTTCCAGCTGTGGTTTGATGTACCTGTACCGCGCTCAGTGTGAATGATAGTTCACTGAAACTAGGGGGTTGCTGATAGATTGATCTTCTGCAGATTGCGTCCGAAATAACGCCCATGCCCTAAAATAAGCCCATGCCCAAATATACGCCTGGTTTTTGACCCTCTGCTAAGTATACGCCCAGGGCTTTTTACGGTATTCCCTTTGTCGCTCAAGGAAGAGGGATTCCCGCAGTATGAAAAGCAATGAGGAGCTAAAGACATGTACGTATCGATAATAATACTACACGGCATGGCAAGTTTATGAGTCAGTCGAGCTACGCATGATACGATCCGTACCATGATGCCACGGCCAATAACAATCAATGAGCCTGAAAGGACGAAAAAGACAGTTCAATTGCACACTGATCACAAACGAAGAAGATGAGTCCGTCTATGAGGGAATGGTGGAGTTGGGAGTACAGAGACAGCTGCTAGCCAGGGTCAAGATACGGAAACTAACCTATTACGGACACACACTGAATCGGAACGTGGCGCTGCACAACATCAGATTCATCTGCCCCCCCCCCCCCCCCCCCCTTAGCCACAGTCCTCAACAACGTATACAGATCGCCTGCTCGTCTGTTCGTCACTAGTGGCGTGGAACTCTCATCGGAGGAGGGTACCACTCAGGGGTGTCCTCTGTCGATGGCCATGTATGCACGGAGTGTGGTCCCGTTGATCGCGGCCTGCAGCGACGTACCCGTCGGCGATGTCATCAAGGCCATCCAGGTGTGGTTTGCTGATGATGCCGCCGCCGGAGGCCGGTTGATTTCACTCCGCCGCTTCTTGGACAAGCTTATGTCTGCAGGCCCTGCGTATGGCTACTTTCCGAAGCCCAGCGAAACATTCTTGGTAGTGAAGCCCGAACATCGCGACGAAGCAGCGCGAATCTTTGCCGGTACAGGCATCAAGATAGCCGGTGATGGTGACAACCTGGCCCACAAAGCTGGACAGCGTTATCTGGGTGCAGCCATAGGCTCAAATGCGTTCATCGAGAGGTACCTCGACTCGAAAGTTGATGCATGGACAGCACAAGTGGACCGCCTCGCCGACATTGCCGCAACACACCCGCATGCTGCATTTGCTGGCTATGTCTTTGGCCTCCGGCATCGTTGGACCTTCCTCCAGCGTAACATGCCTACAATGGGCACTCATATGCAGCCCTTGCTCAGTGCTATTCGCAGCCATTTGTTACCCGCCCTGACCAAGCATGAGGGCAGTGACGTCGAGATGGATATAGTTGCGCTTCCAGCTCGATATGGAGGTCTGTCGTTGGACCGTTGAACCCCGTCATCGATTCCTCCCGCAAACACACGGCATCGGTTGAGTGCACCGCTAATCTTGCAACCCAGATCGCCACAGGCGGCTCGGACCTGATAGGGAGCATCAGACAAGACCATGAAGCAAAGACTGCCGTGAAACAGCGTCACCGCGCCAACCTCGACACCAAGGCTAACAAAATCCAGTCTCGGCTGCCCGAGCCACAACAACGGGCCATGGCTTTGGCAAGAGAGAAGGGAGCCTCCAGCACGCTCGCAACAATACCGGTGGCTGAGCACGGATTCTGCTTCGATGTCAAGTCAGACTTCCATGACCACGTGCGCATGCGATATTGTTGGCCACTGGACAACCTGCCGGCTTCTTGCCCGTGTGGAGCACGCCGGCTACTCGGTGGATCATGCGCAGATTTGTAAACTCTCCGGCTTCAACCATATGCGTCACAATGATCCTACCGACTTTATCGCCTCATGCATGAAGGAGGTGCATTGTGACGTTGAGGTGGAGCCGAAGCTCCAACCTCTCACCGGTGAGGTCCTCCAGCGACGCACCGCCAACACCGATCCGGATGCCCGCGCTGACCTGAGAGTGAGGGGGTTCTGGGCGGATTGCAGAAACGCATTCTTTGATACAAGGGTGTTCTATCCTCATGCGCATGCGTCAAGTTACCGCTCCAGATCCCTCTCCTCTCTGTACCGAAGCTTTGAAGGGGAGAAGAAGCGTGCGTATGGGGAGAGAATTCCCCACATCGAGCATGGTTCCTTCACCCCTCTGGTCTTCTCTTCCT